GCATCATGGGAGAAACGCGTCTCCTCTGCCTGAAATGACGCGCTGTACGACTCCAGCGCAGTAACAGATTGTTGTCCAGACGCAGCCGCGATTCATTTTCGAATTATTTTACCAACAATGGCCAATACAGAGAATGTAACACACGAAGATCAGAGCAAGTATCAGTGTGCGAACGTGTGGCTCCAGAGTGAGTCAAAATTGGGGGTGCGTACCCCTGTTCAGGACCTACACGCACAGAGACGACCCGGTGTTCCCCGTGATCACACAGCAACCAACATTTGTTATTTTAGGCTTTAATTAACCAAATAATTTCATGGCAATAGGCAATCGCCTATTCAATTGATACAACTTAAAAAAGTCCCTGCTTCTGGCCTAGTGTGAGAGAAATACAGTCGGACTAGATCCAAACCAGAGTCCCGAACCAGCGGGGGCAGCTCCGGTTCAGTCCGGGCTCAGAGGAGCTGGAGCGGGGAGCCTCGACCTGAGGAAGCGCTTTCCCCGGGAAGAACCAAATGCGCGGAGGACGGACGCTCAGAACAACATATAACAAACCAAACTGGACTCACGCTTCTGTCCGGATGCTGCACCACCTCGGAACCAGCCGCGGTTCTTGAGCGCGGAGGACAGGAGCAGCGCGCCCGGACCTGTAGTCCACAGCGCATTCTTGCTTTCTCCCGCACAGAACCAGCGCGCAGACGACGGAACGTACCCGCTCAGACCCAGTCATTGCGCACTGGTCTTGCTCGCCACCGTTTGGAACCAGCACATGGAGGATGAAGCCTCCGGACCATCTGACCAACGAACTTGTAGGACGACAGAAGACCAAGGACCAGACCCCAGCCCCGTCCTGAGGAGCTGCGCGCTACTGTGAGCGCTGTTGGCTGCTGCTGTTACCCGAACTCTGGGCTGATGCGATGAGTTTGTACAAAGTTCTACATGTTGCTGTTTTATAAGTTCATGGTGATAATTTGAGATGAGGACGGCCCGTGGTATTAACAGGAACATCGGTATTGATAATTGGAGGTATCTCTGTTTTCCCTGGAAGCAGAGACACGTGAATCGAACCAGTTTTGGTTCGTTTGCCGGTGTGAACGCGGATAATAACAATTTTATTGCCTGGTGCGGACCAACTAATCGAACTAGCGGTGTGAAAACGACCTAAAACAGGTCTAAAACCAGGACTAAAACAGGTCTAAACCAGGAATGACCTAGGACTAAAACCAGGTCTAAACTAGATCTAAACCAGATCTAAAACAGGTCTAAACCAGGACTAAAACAGGACTAAACTAGAGCTAAACCAGGACTAAAACCAGGTCTAAACCAGATCTAAACCAGGTCTAAAACAGGTCTAAAACCAGGACTAAAACAGGTCTAAACCAGGAATGACCTAGGACTAAAACCAGGTCTAAACTAGATCTAAACCAGATCTAAAACAGGTCTAAACCAGGACTAAAACAGGACTAAACTAGCTAAAAGCTAAACCAGATCTAAACCAGGTCTAAAACAGGTCTAAAACCAGGACTAAAACGGGTCTAAACCAGGACTGAACTAGATCTAAACCAGGAATGACCTAGGACTAAAACCAGGTCTAAACTAGATCTAAACTAGATTTAAACCAGATCTAAAACAGGTCTAAATCAGGACTAAACCAGGACTAAAACAGGTCTAAACCAGATCTAAACCAGGACTAAACTAGAGCTAAACCAGGACTAAAACCAGGTCTAAACTAGATCTAAACCAGGTCTAAAACAGGTCTAAAACCAGGACTAAAACAGGTCTAAACCAGAACTAAAACAGGTCTAAACCAGAACTGAACTAGGACTAAAACCAGGTCTAAACTAGATCTAAACCAGGACTAAAATCAGGTCTAAAACCAGGTCTAAAATAGATCAAAACTAGATCTAAACCAGATCTAACCCACATCTAAAACAGGTCTAAAACCAGGACTAAACCACGACTAAAACCAGGTCTAAACCAGGTCTAAACTAGATCTAAACCAGATCGTAAACAGGTCTAAAAACTAGGACTAAACCAGGACTAAACCAGGTCTAAACCAGGACTGAACTTGGACCAAAACCAGGTCTAAACTAGATCTAAACTGTATCTAAACCAGGACTAAAATCAGGTCTAAACTAGATCCAAACCAGGACTAAATCAGGTCTAAACCAGGACTACATCGGGTCTGAACCAGGTCTAAACCATGTCTAAACCAGGACTAAATCAGGTCGAAACCAGGTTGAAACCAGAACTAAACCAGGTCGAAACCAAGTCTTAACCAGGTCTAAACCCGGACTAAACCAGAACTACACCAGGAACAGTAAAAATACATGTTTTTGCAGTAGTTTGGAGAAATCAAGACAGCAGTAGTAGTATAAAAACAAGATATATTTGTTTAATACTGTGGAACATAGCAGTAGTAGTAGTTATAAGTTTAAACCTCATAATTAGGACTTTAAAACTCATAATTCTGACTTTCTGTGAGGCTTTCATTTTTTATTTACTGGTGGAAATGGGCTTCCATAATTTAGGCCTTTATTGTCCATTAGAATTCAGAATTCCTGGGAAAGATTGCTATATGTGGCATATAAATGTATGTTTTTGTTAGTATTTAGGACATTTTTCCTCTGATGAGCTGAACAATTTGGGAAGATTTTTTTATTTTTTTTTTGTTTTTATTTTTTGACCACCTTTGCAATTGTGACTAGATTTGTGATTTATGTTTTAATAAAAGGGTTCTGTTCAAAGTTCACATTTTAAACAAGAGAACTGACAAAAAAAAGTTGAAAATTAGGGTTGGGTGATATATCAGTTCCAGTATTGGTATTGGCCGATACCGATATATGTATAACTATATTACAAAACAGACATATAGTCATATAAATCCAGAAATCAACTTTATATACAAAAGGCTGTGAGGAAAACAGTGCAAAGATGATTTGATGATTGACAGAACAGAGGAGCCAAATATTGTAATGTAATAGTAATGCTTTTTAAAAATAATGTTACTCAAGTAGAAGTACAAAGTAGTCGTAGGAATTAAAGTAAGAGTGAAAAAGTATTTTGGACAAGCACTACTGGACTAAGAGTACAGAACAAATCTGAACAATAGCACATAATATCTGATTTATCATTTGAATTGAACTGAATTTGGAACACAAAACATAAGATGAAGAACATGATGTGATATTTTCAAAGGACAGACACAGAAATGACAAAAACTAAAGCACATGTGAACGAGTGGTGTATACGAACAGCTTTATGAATTTAAACTTGACAGATTCTCAGAAATAAAGTCAACATGACAGCTATTACAAATAATAATAATTATAATAAAAAAACACTATATTAAACACTAGATTAAAAAAATCTGGCAGTTATTATTTTGATTAATTCTCCAACACCAACACGTTTTCTGATTACAAATAAAGCTGTTTTCAGTTTACTTACTTGGTAAAATAAATAAAGTCACGTTTGAACAGTAAGGCAGCATTTGTAGCAGTTATAAAATAGACTTTAGAAAAGTATAAACTTTCCATCCCCTAACTGAACACTTGTGTCAAAGATCTTGTAGCTGTGAACAAAGCCAGACTGAAGTTAATTCCTGTTACTAATTATTATTTATAGGAGTGGGACATTAACGTGTTAATTGTGATTAATTAGGCAAGGCAAGTTTATTTGTACAGCATCATTCGTACACACAATAATTCAAAGTGCTTTACAGAATAAGAAATACATTAAAATCACAATACAAACAAATCAAAACATAAATAATCATCATAAAATTAAAAAGAGAGAAAAAAAAAAAACATTAAATGAGAGAGAAGAGTGCAGAATGAAAAATGAAACCCTTTCAGTCAGACGCAGTTAAACAGAAGTGTTCTGAGTTTGAGTCGAGTCTGTCTCACATGTTCAGACTGTTCCAGGTTTTAGCTGCATGAATCTGAAACTCTGACTCCCCGTGTTTAGTCCTGACTCTGGGCACTAGCAATTAATGAATTAACTACAAAGAAAATAATGCATTCAAAATATGAACGCATTTGATCGCGGTTTGTCAACCAACGCGGAACGTTTCTCAGTTCACCAAATCCTGGTACGGCACTTATACTGACGCACACACTTCCGACAACAACAACAATGGCGCAGGAACATGAGCAGGAAAGTGTCTGTGTCTGTTTTATTTTTTATTTTTTATTTAATATGTTCAGGGACAGGGACATCGAAGACACACAAAAACACAGAACTAACACAGAGGACACCTGGGCTGATATGCAGTCACTTACACAAGAGAGAGAGAGAGAGAAAAACAAGACAAGACCACGGAACCAAGTCTACTTAACCAAATCTTAAAACAGTATCACATTTTCTGTTAGGTATTTCCTACACATATTGTATGTTTTAATAGCTTTTTTGTTTTTGACCTGTTTTACTGTTTGGGAATATTGTTGTATTTGGTTATTATAAAGGGGCTCTTTTTTTTTTTTTTTTCTACAGTATGGGGGGTGGTTTGCAAATGATCATACAGGGGAGCAGAAGGAATGAAACTAAAACTAAACAACAAAGAAAGAAATATAATCAAATCAAAATAATATCAGAAATTAAATAAAACTATACTATATTTTTATAGATATTGTAAGTTTTAACAGCTTTTTTGTTCTGGACCTGTTTTATCGTTTGAAAGTATTGTTGGATTACGATATTATATTGATGAATATTTGGTTTATTTTGAGCCAAAGTTAGTCGTTAGTTGAAATTCATATTTGCTGAATATAAAAAAGGAAAAATAGCGGGAGAATGAGAGTTCACTTCGTCTTTTATTTGAATTTATCCTACCAGTGTTTTTTTCAGTGCACATACTGTCCAGATGATGGCACCAAAGAGCCTGTGTTCTCTGTCACGTCCTCTATCAGTGAATAAAGACTGTGTGCGCGGAGAGTCCAGTCATCTTTTGGTTCAAGTGACTCAGAAGTGAATATGTCTGGTAGAGGAAAGGGAGGAAAAGGTCTGGGGAAAGGAGGCGCCAAGCGTCACCGTAAAGTTCTCCGTGATAACATCCAGGGCATTACCAAGCCCGCTATCCGCCGTCTGGCTCGTCGCGGCGGTGTCAAGCGTATCTCCGGTCTGATCTACGAGGAGACTCGCGGTGTGCTCAAGGTTTTCCTGGAGAACGTGATCCGTGATGCCGTCACGTACACCGAGCACGCCAAGAGGAAGACCGTGACCGCCATGGACGTGGTGTACGCCCTGAAGAGACAGGGCCGCACTCTGTACGGCTTCGGAGGTTAAACTCTACTTCTCTTGGTGACTCACAACGGCTCTTTTCAGGGCCACACAACTCTTGTAAGAGCATGTTCTATTACTGTACTGGTCCTACAACTGTAATACAACTTCCGTTAGACGTCTGTGGTACAGGCCGTACTTAAACGTGCAGAAGACTAGAAAATTACGCTGGCTACGAAAATTCTCATGAGTACCCTTGAGCGTTGTTTTTTTTGGGGTAACTATTAGTTGCACTTGTCAGTTAACATTCTGAAACAAAATGGAAGCTCCACAAAAAAAACATTTCACGCAAGTAGCATCTTTTTAATAAAACTATTAAAGTGTGACTCCCCTTTAAAATACGCATGGTTGCACCGATTTCGTGCATACAATTCTCTGAAGTTTGCGCCAGGATTCCTTCAATAAAATATTTGGTGTTGCCTTATTTGGAAGTTTTTTTTTCTGCATGAAACATGGATTGTGAAGAGGAGCGTAGAGACTGCTGTGAGTTTAGTGAAATTCAGAGGTTGGAGTTATTGCGCTGACGTCCCGTGTCAGCATTATTTGTCCTAAAGAGCAAAGGAACGTTGGATTTATACTCCGTTCCCTGTGAAGCGCTGAAGCTACAAATGTCAGAGCTTTCAGTGAAATTGGGGCATGTTTTATTGTGGACAGTGGAGACTGACTTAACTCCGTCACATTTAGTTAAAGGCAAAAATAACTTGAGGAGGACTGGGCATCTCGAGAACAAAACAGGGGATGGGTGCTTTTAGTCCGTTTCCCTCCAAAAATCACTGAAGACCGCACAGCCCCTCCCATAAACCCCCTGCACATCCTGCGCGCGCTCGGGCTTCACCAATCAGAGCGCAGCGAGGCCCAGATAAAAGCAGCGGCCGCGCTCCCGTTTCCTCAGTGTCCTGATTCCGATCAGAAAAATGCCTGAACCCGCCAAGGCTGCGCCCAAGAAGGGCTCCAAGAAAGCCGTGACCAAGACCGCCGGGAAAGGCGGTAAGAAGAAGAGAAAGACCAGGAAGGAGAGCTACGCCATCTACGTGTACAAGGTGCTCAAGCAGGTCCACCCCGACACCGGCATCTCCTCCAAGGCCATGAGCATCATGAACTCTTTCGTCAACGACATCTTTGAGCGCATCGGCGGAGAGGCCTCCCGCCTGGCGCACTACAACAAGCGCTCCACCATCACCTCCAGGGAGATCCAGACCGCCGTGCGTCTCCTGCTGCCCGGAGAGCTGGCCAAGCACGCCGTGTCCGAGGGCACCAAGGCCGTCACCAAGTACACCAGCTCCAAGTAAACTGCTCCACCACAATATACACACACAACGGCTCTTTTAAGAGCCACACATTCTACTAAAGGGCTTTTCTGTTTCATCTCTGCTTTTCTTTGTCTATCACATAAGTCCTGTGTGTTTCTGTAAACGTTTGTAACTCTACTATTGCATTTGGTCATCTATACATTTATCTGTTAAACTGCTCACAATCTCAGGATTGCAGTTAATAAAATAGAAGGTAATTTTAAAATCCTTAGCACTATCAAATTTGAAATGACTATTTTACTTGATTAAACCAGCAGGTCCCGTTGATTTGTAGAATATTTTGAGACCTGACCAAAGCAGCAGCTAAACAAAAATCATAATTATAAAAACATGTATCCCAAGAAACAGACTTCTCTGTCACTGTGCTTCACAATTTTCATGAAGTTACCAAGTGACACCATGGATATCTGTCTATACCTTATTCCCACTGATGGAAGAATACATGTGTTATGAAGGCAGGGCGGTAATATCGCGTAAGTCAGAGTGCAGTACCAAGCCTGTTTTGTAAGCAGATAAAAAGTTGACAGTGTTTTCATTATTGATTTGTGCATCATCAAGTCACGTTATTTGGATCTTTTGTCACGCTTCAGTCAGCCTTACGTATGTGTTTGGGGATTATGTTTTCTACTGAGCAGTTGGGATTAATGAGGATATTTTATTGTCTGAGTGATCGTGTCTCTGAACAATTAGTATTACTCAAGTTTGAAACAATGACAGTCATTTTAGCCTATTTGGACATTTAATGTAGCCCATTTCTTTTTTTCTTTTCAGTATTCAATTGAACCAGCAATACTGGAACAAAATGGTCAAGAAAATAATTACAAAAAGATTAGAAATGATACAAGACATGTCTTAACATTTAAACATTTCTAATGACAATGGTGGGCCTGTGTTTTTGTAGTGTGTTCAGTCCGGGTACAGGAGGAGACGCAGCAGCAGATCAGGTGCAGTGTTCAGTCTGTTTCTGTGCTTTGTCTTAATTTTTGTGAACACAGAAAATCTCATGTGTCAGAACTGTATATTGCAGACCTACATGCAGATCGTGACAAAATGACCAAAAAAAAAAACTCTTCGGGAAACAGTGAGTTACTGAATACAAAATGCATTAAAATGTTTTTTGTATAATCCAATCTGAGTCCTGTATCCTGCATACTTAGTACTATATTGAGTTGCATATCAGTTACACATATAAATAATAATATAATACAGTAATATAAATAGTGCAAAGAAGCAGCATAGCATTAAAGACAGCTTTATAGTCAATTGTTATATGTTTTTATCACTGACTGGAGAACTGTATTCTGAATGCCACCAAGAAGTTGCTGTACCAGATTACAGGCACTCATAATTAGTATTCTGAATATTTATTTCACAACACTGATCCCAAGACCGAGCTGCATAGGAAAAGGTGGATTTCCCCAGCTCAATGGAAACACACAGTGGAAAGTAACTGTGGGAAGGAGATGCTAAATACTTGATCTGAGGTTAAGGTGCCCTGGGAGTTTTCTCAAATATGACTTTGTAAATAAACATGAACCATAGACTATATATATAAACAGACATAGCTCTTCCAGTTCCTACTGACCCTGTCTCAAATATTGTGGCCCCCTCTCTATAACTGCTGCTGTGATCCTCGTCAGGTCTTAAAATGTTTGTATTAACCCGCTCTATATGATCTTGGTGTTTCCATTTCACTATTTTGTCTGTAAAAAAAATCATATTCATATTATAGAGCAGGGGTGTCAAACATACGGCCCGGGGTCCAAATCCGGCCCTTCAAGACCTTTAATCTGGCTCTCAGATGATTTTCTACTAGAATATTTGAATGATATTTTCTATTAAAATATAATTTTCAGCGGTGCTTAGCACAGCAGTGTCTCCAGCGTCTCTGTACGTGGCCCCTCCCACCACAGCAGCACAAATGAAGACTTGTCTCTTTCCAAACGCTCTTAAAGGACGATCGTTTTGACTGTTGACCGTGACACCCTCATCAGAAAAATGTCCAACATGAGAAAAGTGAAGCCGAGTGCAGGATTTTACAACAAAAATTGACTTATTCCTATTTACATACAAGTTAAAGTTAAAACATTGTGTTGAAATTACTTCTTTTTTTTTTTTTAAGTTTCAGGTTGTTCATAATATTATAATATTTTGTGAAAGAAAGATTTCATCAATTAAAAAATATATATTTCTGCAATAGATTTGAGTTTCTCTGCACAAATATTTGAACTTATTGCTATTTTTGGGGTTTATATGCCATGAGATTTTGATGAAAGTAGGTTGGATACGACCCCCAGACCAAAATGAGTTTGACACCCCTGTTATAGAGCAATCTATAGCAAAGGAGAAATTCCAAAGGAGATGGTAATATTCTGAGCTTTTCATCACTATTTAGAAAAAATACCATCCTAACTGTGAGTTGAGTTTTCCATAAAGTTTTCAAAGCAATCCCTCCAACATGACTTCATTTCTTTCAAAGTACACTTCAGTATTCAAATGTGAGGATATACTTACCTCTTCTGAAGGTAAAAGGGTTTAAGGTAATAGATTCTAAATATAACAATATACTCAATGTGGTCAAAGGTGAGACAAATCATTTATAATGACTTTAATAGAACTTCTTTTAGGGACATGCCCAATGAAAACCTCCTCTAAAGAGTTACCGCTTTCTCCTGACATAAAGGAGACTCATTTCATAAAAAAATATCTATGGACTTGTTTCATAAAAGAAGATTTAAATTTGAGGTTAAAATTTGTATTTTTTTGCTGTTCAGATGAAGAATCTTTGGGTCGTCTTTGGGTTTGCCCTCACTCCCAATTTTCTGGTCACATGTCAGAAACTCTTACCCTGATTCATCAGTTGGTTTCACTTCATAGAAACCATCTGACCTCTCATCATTAGAACTGGTTTGCTCAATGGTAGGAGGCTACTTTTTTCATATTTTTTAATTTAACCAATCGCTGCTATTTGGTTGTGACATATCTAATGCGCCGCTAACGGGGTTAACTGGTATATTAAGCTTTTTCCAAATCCTGTAGGAAGGTCAATAACGTTGTTCCCCTTGATAAAATTCACCAAACATTCTCTTTGTTTCGACTTTAAATCCTCGATCTTGGGAGTCATTGCCAACACAGAATGTCTGGCTCTTCATTGATTGGCTGGTGCCCAGACTCACGCTTCTGGGTTTTTTGTGAACCGTCTAGTGTATTCCGATTCTTTACCTAGTTGCTGGAGAGAAATTAAATTGAGCGGAGGCACTAGGAGGCACCAGCCTGGCTAAGAAGCTATATCTGAAAATGAGAATTCCCACATTCAAGATTTCTCACATTTTGTTTTATGGACAATTTGCATTTTACCACAAAATATGAGTGAATATTGTTTTGCTTTTGGTGAAATAATAATATCCATTGTAGCAAATGGAGAGGGAATAAGCCCCCATTTTCTTATTTTATTAAATAATTTTGAGTTGTTTAGGTTTAAGACTATTCTGATATATCCTGGTTTTAGTCCTGTGTAGTCCTGATTTAGTCTTCTTTTAGATCTACTTTAGTTCTGATTTATGTCTTCAATTTAGAGTTAAGTTATATTGGCTCCATTTTTAGTTTAAGTTGGTTAAGTTTTGGTTAAATTGTACTTCAATGGAAAGTTGGAAGACAGCTAGACCTCCAACCTGATTTCAACATTTGATGGTCCATGTAATAATTGCACTTTTGTCATTTTGTGTTGTCATGTATTTATGTATGAATTTATTTAGTCATTATTTTATGACGCTACTCCCCATAGCATGTTCTTACATGTCGACACCTCTGCGAGAGTTTGGCTGTTTTATTCATTGAACACAAACCTACAAAAAAAAAAAAAAAAGCAATACAAAATGATGCAGCTACCCCAGAAGTGCTGGAGGTCAGACGTCATGAAAGTGAAAATCACGTGCTTAAACAAGTGTGCGCTCTAGTGCCACCGACTGAACTGATCAAATGACATGTCCAAACTTTATAATGCCACAGATAGATAATTTACTCATCCAAAAGGAGGAATTCAGGTGTCCATTATGGCCTTCAGTCTGCGCCTCTGGATTGAGAGAGTCCTAATCACAGAGCTGGACTTCTACACCAGCTTCTGCACAACACACACCATAAGAGTAACAGTGTAATTCTGTATGTTGTTTCCCTCTCAAAAACAGACCTGGAGTTGTGTTTTGTTTCATTCACGCATGTTTGGTCTGTCTCCAAAGCTCATAATGCTATGTTCCACCCTGTGATGTCATGTAGTGGTAATTTTCAGGTTAAGATAAATTTTACTTTAGATTGGAATTTCCAGGTCTGAAATCATCCAAATGATAGTGAAAGTGTATGGAGTGTAAAAACACAATGGAGCTCTTTCTGTATCACCACTCAACACCGTTTTTATTTGATTTCTTTTCTAAATCTACCTGATCAGTTCAAAGTATGTATAGCACTCTCTTTCCTGACTCACTGCTCCTACAGGCTGTACACACACTGAACAATAAACAGGCCTTGTGAGGAGTGTGGCAGCCCCAAGCTCACAACATATAAACATGTGGAAGGATTACTGCAGTGATTCTCAACCACTGTGCCGCAGCACACTAGTGTGCCGTGAGAGATCGTCAGGTGTGCCGTGAGAAATTATCCAATATCATTTTAAAAAAAATAAACATTTATTAATTATTACCTGCAAATATTATGTCATTGTCGAGTGTCCGTGCTGTAGTATGTAGTATATAATGACTGGCAGAGTGATCTAATATTCGTCCGTGTGGCGACAGGCAGTTAATTGCCTCGTTCCTTTAAATCAGTGGTGTTCAATACGTCGATCCCGATCTACCAGTCGATCGCCCAGGTCGTGTGGGTAGATCGCCGTGTCTCGCCTCAGACTCACGTTTGGACTCGGTCTTGTCTCTCACTCAAGGTCTGACACTCAACAAGTGCGATCATATTTCATTAAGGCCGCTGCTGTTGGTAATAAACTTGTACAGGTGTGCCAGAGCGTGTGGGGCATCTCAGTGCAGCCTGTGCGCTCATTTGAAACCCGCGGAGACTCTACGGCACATCACAAACACACACGCTCCCTATGCACGGCTCGTCTGCGACAGCGTGTGCCCTCGTGTACCAGCGTGCATCACAGGGCAGATTAAACTTCCTAAACATCCTACCTGTCCATCTGCCTCACGTCAGCACGCCGCCCCTCGCCTTTTCACGCTCTCGCTCCTTCCTGCGTACAGCGAACACAAGCCCCTCCCACAGTGCACTGATTAGAAGAGCAAGACCAAACGTGAAGCAAAAACCAGTCTAAATTTGTGTTCCAGTGTTGGCACAAGCAGGTCTACAGCATAGAGCAGATCTACAGAACAGACCTACTGCCACATTTGGCTGAAGTTTGTCTAACAAAAGTGCACAAATGCATCTGTGTTTGTCACGATGTGCGTTTGGTTTGGTAAACGTGCAGAGGCTGGTAAATATCTGCAATATCTGCAAAACCAGAAAAGAATGAAACTCCAGTTTGGAACTTTAAAAAACAGGTTTAAAAATTTTCCTTCACTTTTTTCACAGTTTTGTGTAAAGTGCCAGAGGAAGTTCTCTTAAAGAAGGGGTTCTCAAACTGTGGATGAGGGTCCAAAAAAGGGGCACAGAGTGTTTCAGTGCAGTTTGTTTGGCTTTGTATTAGGTAGATCTTTATGACTTGGTCATTTTGTAAGTAGCTCGTATGCTGAAAAAGTGTGAGCACCCCTGCTTTAAAAGAATTAGTAACGCATGTGCATGGTGACAGTCATGGAAAAGTTTTTAAAATGGACAAATGCGAACTCCGAAATGGGCCCTGGACAAGATTCTGACCCAGAAGAAGAGCTTTTCAAGCTTAACTGTTATAAAAACTAAAAACAGAGAGAGACTGAGAGCTGTTGATGAAGAACTTCATGTGTGTCTTTCTTCTATTCCTGCCAGGATATCAGCTTTGTGTTCATCTAAACAGGCGCAGGTCTCACACTCAGTAAGTAGAAATTAATGTAGAAATTATATTAAATATACTATATAGTGTCATTTTTGTAACATTTTGGTTAGTGGTGTGCCGCAAGATTTTTCCAATGTAAAAAACGTGCCGTGGCTCAAAAAAGGTTGAGAAACACTGGATTACTGTGCACCAGTCTGTTGCACACGCATCATGCCTGTTTCAGATGGGGCTCAGAAAACTCTGGACACCTTTGTTCCAAATAACATAATAATGGGGTTATGTTAGTTGCTGGATTTTAGATGACATCACATATGCAGCAGCTAAAGTGTAGGTCTTTGTTTTAATATAGTGAGGTCTCAGGAGTACTCTACTTGTGAATTTATCTTAAATATTCCATTTAACATGTATACATTTCAGTTCTAATGCAAGTATGCGACTATAATAGAAGCTGTTCTAAAGCCTGGGTTACCATTTTCAGACCATGTGCTGCAGGGTTGGAATTGTGATTTCAGAACTTTCAAATATACAAACCTAAATTCAACACATGTATACAACCTTATGATACATAATTAACAAAAAAAAAAAAAAAGGTGTAGAAGAAAAGCGGCTCTTTCTCACGTGTGGTGGCTCTTAAAAGAGCCGTTGTGTTGTGGGGTAAAAGCAGACGCTTTAAGCCCTCTCTCCGCGGATACGCCGGGCCAGCTGGATGTCTTTGGGCATGATGGTGACCCTCTTGGCGTGGATGGCGCACAGGTTGGTATCCTCAAACAGTCCCACCAGATAGGCCTCACTGGCCTCCTGCAGAGCCATGACGGCGGAGCTCTGGAAGCGCAGGTCGGTCTTGAAGTCCTGGGCGATCTCCCTGACCAGGCGCTGGAAGGGCAGCTTGCGGATGAGCAGCTCGGTGGATTTCTGGTAACGGCGGATCTCCCTCAGAGCCACGGTCCCGGGCCTGTAACGGTGAGGCTTCTTGACGCCTCCGGTGGCCGGGGCGCTCTTACGCGCGGCCTTTGTGGCCAGCTGCTTCCTGGGGGCTTTACCTCCGGTGGATTTACGCGCGGTCTGCTTGGTTCTGGCCATGTTTTTAGTGTCCTTTCTACGAACAGAGAAAAGGAAGTGCAGAAAAGCGGCACACGAGCCGTTTTTAAACGGTCAGCCTCACGCGCACACTGCCTCGGGCTCTGTGATTGGTCTGCGTCATACTCTGACGCAGAGCGCCGCCCAGAGAAAAAGCGCTTTCGAAAGGAGCGCGTGCGTTTGAAGTGAGCGCGCCAAACTGAGCGGACGCGTGTGGAGGGGGCGGGGCTACTGCAGCAATATTTTCTGTCCTGTATTCAGATGATTGTTCTCCACCGCTTCTAGTGTAAACAAAGCCTTGATCCACCGACACTTAAGGGACGTTTCGGGTCGAACTGTGACTCCAGTCCCACCGGTTTCGAAAGTGGAAGGGTAACACAGATCATATACTGATTTATATAAATATAATTTTCACACGTGCGAGAATTGTATGGGTTTACCGTTTCATGTGCATTTTATAGATGAATCCATTTTACTTTACTCGGGGGAAACTCCGGTCTAATTTTCATGTTTCGTTCTATATATACTGAGAATCCATTTCCCTACTGCGGTATTGTGCCATAGTCCGACTCGGCTATAAACAAGTGTGCTCTTTTCTGAGAGTGCGTGGCTCTTAAAAGAGCCGTTGTTGTGAGTCGAGTCTCGGGGCGTCTTTACTTGGCCTTCTCGGTCTTCTTGGGCAGCAGCACAGCCTGGATGTTGGGCAGCACGCCTCCCTGAGCGATGGTGACTCCTCCCAGCAGTTTGTTGAGCTCCTCGTCGTTGCGGACGGCCAGCTGCAGGTGGCGGGGGATGATGCGGGTCTTCTTGTTGTCACGAGCCGCGTTTCCCGCCAGCTCCAGGATCTCAGCGGTCAGATACTCGAGCACGGCCGCCAGGTACACGGGAGCTCCGGCGCCGACGCGCTCCGCGTAGTTGCCTTTACGGAGCAGCCTGTGCACACGGCCCACTGGGAACTGCAGCCCGGCCCTGGAGGAGCGGGACTTGGCCTTAGCGCGGGCCTTTCCTCCGGTTTTGCCTCTTCCGCTCATGATTAGACTTTAACTCAGTGAAGTGGTGAGAGAATGAATGTCCTCAGACGGAGCGCAGCGTATTTATGTGCGAGAGCGCGTGCGTTTCAGCGCCGCACCAATGAGCGGCCGCGCTCAGACAAGAGGAGGAGCTCTGACTTGAACAGAATTCTCTACGGAGGAGCATCAGTTATTATGCTGGACTATTTGGCCTGTACAGGATAGAATAATTTAGGCTGTCACGATTAATATATTCATAGTGATAATTCAAAACTATCACAGTCTTATTTTGATCATTATAATCATTATTTGGACTGTACAGGACTCAACTTCAGTCATCACCAATGTACATTTGGTTAAAAATGTTTTGAAAGTCAAAATTTACAATTAAATTTTGACTATTCACATAGGTGACTAAATAATCATTGACTAGACTAGAGAAATATTAAAATAATAATTAGCACCAGTGTGAAGTGAGCTTAAGGGGCTTATCATTTGTCCCGCTCCATAGGTCCAAACAAGAACACTAATGAGGTATGTCTGATCAGAGTCTACATGAGCTTCTAGCTTCCAGTCTGACCCGACACGATGCCAATGATGAGAAGTGTCCATCTTAATGTTCACCAATATCACATATGGAGATCATTAAAAACTCTACAACTACATGCCCAAAAAGTTAGTACTTTTTTGTGGAAATTTCCAGAGGCTCAAGTGACGTCACTAGAATGGATGTCCGGGTGTATGCACAAGTCTATTAAGTTGCAAACATGTCCAGAAGTAGACAGGTGTTGGGAAGAAGACAAAAAATAAGAGCTCTTTAGTGGAGTGTGTGGCTCTTAAAAGAGCCGTTGTGTGTGTATATTGTGGTGGAGCAGTTTACTTGGAGCTGGTGTACTTGGTGACGGCCTTGGTGCCCTCGGACACGGCGTGCTTGGCCAGCTCTCCGGGCAGCAGGAGACGCACGGCGGTCTGGATCTCCCTGGAGGTGATGGTGGAGCGCTTGTTGTAGTGCGCCAGGCGGGAGGCCTCTCCGCCGATGCGCTCAAAGATGTCGTTGACGAAAGAGTTCATGATGCTCATGGCCTTGGAGGAGATGCCGGTGTCGGGGTGGACCTGCTTGAGCACCTTGTACACGTAGATGGCGTAGCTCTCCTTCCTGGTCTTTCTCTTCTTCTTGCCGCCTTTCCCGGCGGTCTTGGTCACGGCTTTCTTGGAGCCCTTCTTGGGCGCAGACTTGGCTGGTTCAGGCATATTTCAGCGCTCAGATCACATAAATGAACTGATGAAAAGAGACGCAGCAGTGGCTTTTATAACAGCCTCATGCAGATCTGCTGTGCCGTGTCTAAGCTGTGATTGGAGGAGCGCCTGAGCTCCTCGGCATGGAGGAGGGGCACATGGAAACACGAAATAGTTTCGAATTAAACCTATTTGATTCGATTTCTTGTCCTCAGGGGTAAAGTCTTTTCCACAAACACAGAGCGTGTTTTATGTAGCTTTACAAAAAGACAAATCAACAATATAATCATTACAATAGACAGAAGGGTGCACTCAGTGGGGCTGTACTTTTAGGTCTATATGGAGTTGTTTCTGCTTGCACTTCATTTTCGCTCTTAACCCACTTAACCCCCATATGAAGCATTTCGGTCAGCTGAAGTCGTATCATGTATGTCAATAGACTTCATTTGAATGGTACACGGTGACAGTAGTGCATTTATTTAGTTGAAAATGCTATCTTTAGTAAAGCACTTTCGAAACTGTGTTGCTTATTAAATGTTCTACAGAAATAATATTACGACATATACAATCGTGTAACTTTAAAACTGAAAAACTTCAATATTTTCCAAAATTACAACATGAACATAATTAAGGCCAGTCTTTCTTAAAAAAGACACTTGAATAAAGGGAATATGAGGACATTTATACAGAGCAGTACATTGATTACATCATAGCAGTAGTTATACACCACGTAAGCCTAGTTATTTATCCTAACAACCGCTCCTCAAAATGTGTAAAATGACTCTGGACCCATAACCAGTTAGCAGGGTCCCTCTACACAGTGTTCATCGTGACCATTCAAACACAGTTCATGGTATATTCTCTTTTAGTGTGATCACCATTCATGATTTTGGGCCTCGTGACCAAAAATTCACACGATATTGGACATTAAGAATACAAATCATAATTATATATAACACAAACAAATAATAACAAAATGAGAGCACAACTGAACAAGACTATAACATGACTTAAAACTTACAAGAATCTATTTTGCGCAATATAAGACTTTTAAGAGTGACAAACAGCCCTTTAGAATAGATCACAATGGAAGTCATTATATACACTGTTTCAACATGTAACAACAGGGGGCGCTGTGCACGTCGCTGCAGTCGACGCGCATCATCTTCGTCATCATTAGTGGACAAACTACTGCCACATGTGTCTCTTTACCGGCCCCGTCTCAATGGGAAATGTGTGAAATCCACGAGCTCTCTTTCGTTATTCCGTTTCCATCCGTGCAGGATTTGTAGCTGCCGTGTGTGTCTGATCATGGCGGAGTCTGGAGCCGAGAAGAGCCGCGGGTTACGGTTCGCCGAACGTCAGCTGCTGCGCCACGGCTGGGAGCACGGTAAACGCTTCTCCTCGCTGTGGCCTAGAGCTTTAACGAGTGGACACATGCATAGTGACATCCCTGAGTTGGATATCCCTGGGTTGTGGTGGTTGGTAATAGTAAAATTGTGAAACTAGGGCATAATTAAGGAAAACTGTTCTGCACTCGGCCCACGTGAGTCAATCTAGTCACATTTTCTTTGTGTTTTGGTGATTTTTAAGCAGCTTTTCTGTGTTTTATCCAAACAAATGACAGTGTATGCCTCTCTTTGCTGTTGGCAAGGATCAAATTGGTCAAAAATAGGGACACCTGGGACATATCTTGTATAAAACTGTGATAAATCAGTGGTTTTGGATAAATCTGCAGGGCAGGGGACACAGGGCTCAAAACTGGGACTGTCCCGGGTAAATAGGGACGTCTGGTCACACTACACATGCACCCCAGTATTCCTATGATCAGATGCGTGAAGTGGTCACAATAATAACAACAAAACAGCGCTTCATAAAAGAGAAAGGATTGTGCAGAGAAGCAGGAATGGAGCTACTTGTATGTGCTTTTAATGCTGGTGCCATTTCACTGTTTCCTATTCTAAGCAACACAAATAATGAATATTACAAGTGATGCATATATTGTTGTTTTATCTGCTTTTATTATTGTCAACAATTTTTTTTTTTCAAAACCAAAAACTGAGACACCCCCCGTTTGTGGTGGTTGGTAATAATAAAATTGTGAAACGAGTGCATAATTAAAGAAAACTGTTCTGCACTCAGCCAATCCATGACTTATTCATGACTAACATGTGAGTCAGTATAGTCACATTTTCTTTGTTTAGGTAAAATACAGAAAAGCTGCTTTAAAATGACCAAAACACAAATGACAATTTATGCCTCTCTTTACTGGTGGCAGGTGTCAAATTTGTCAGAAAAGTAGGGACACCTGGGACATTCCTTGTGGGACAAATCAATAGTTTTGGATAAATCTGCTGGGACAGGGGACTCAGGGCTCAACTGAGACTATCTCGGGTAAATAGGGACATCTGGTCACCCTAAGCCTCTTCGCTAACTGACCCTTGCCACTGCCTTGTCCTGCAGATAGAGGACACTTTTGTCTCATTCTTAGTATATGGACAGATCATGTCTCATTTGAAAGCTCAGAACCTTCAGAATCCCCTCCCTGAGCTGCAGAGGCTGCACTAGCACTGACTCATGATTGGTGCAGATGCTGGGGTTTAGGGAGTGACCATTCAGATCAGAGAGGCATTTTAGGTTTAAACCAAATGGAAATGACAAAATCATTGGACCTGATGGTCAACCAGCTTGTTTTAGTTTAGAATAAGTCAGCATTACAATTGTTATTTTCAGTAAAAGTTAGATTTAAATTTACAAACCCACAATTTCATAAACATGACCTTGCAAATAGTTACTTACTTAAATATGACATATTCATAATGAACAGTATTTTCTATTTCTTTGTATGTATATTCACAGGTAAAGGGCTCGGGCGAGACGAAAACGGCATTTCTGAGGCCATCAAAGTGAAGGTGAAATGCGACAAAAGTGGCATCGGGCACAAGGAGGGCGACCAGTTCACCTTTCACTGGTGGGATCACGTGTTCAACCAGACCTCTGCCAGCCTCCAGGTGGAGTCCGACCACTCCGGCACCAAACTCCACAAAAGTGGCAGCGAAAGCGAGGGTGCCATCTCCAACAAGAAACCACTAAATGCCAAATTGGCTAAAGATAAACTGTACGGCGGGTTCGTAAAATCGGCTACGCTATTGTCCGGCCTGGAGCAAGCCACGAGGACAGCTTCTAGTGACAGCAGCAGCAGCTCGGACGATGAGGACGATGCAAAATTGGACTTATCCTCGACTACCAAGATGTCCGATGTGGAGCTGGTGAGGGCGTGCGGCGGTCGGACGGCGCACAAAGGGGCCAGGCACGGGCTGAAGATGAGCGCCAAGCTTGCCCGTCTAGAGCAGCAGGAGGCAGAGTTCATGGCCAAGTATGGCAAAAAGACACAGACACCAGAACAACCGAGTGGAGAGAGCGAGGAAAACGCAAATAACGCAGAGAAAAGGACAAAGAAGAAAAAGAAGAGGAAAGCTAGTGAGCCGAGCTGTTTGGAACCACAGGAGAGCGCAGGAGCTGAAGAGGTCACAGTTAAGCGTAAGAAGAAAAAGAAAAAGAGGGATGCGGTGGAGGAGGAATTACAAGTCCAGGGAGACAACGATGCCCAAGAGAACCCACCACCACCACTTAAAAAGAAGAAGAAGAAGTCCAAGGAGTAATGCACTATCAGAGTTGCCTGGCAAGTCCAGAAGTGAAGGGAGTGGAGACCAAACATACTCAGTGGTCAAACAAAATCAAATGTCTCAGTTTAGTTCACTCTTTAGTTCGGTTTTTCAGTCCCCTGTGAACTCTATTTCCTTGTAAGCAGGCGTATAAGATTTGTTATGGACAGATCGTACGTGTCTCTGATTGGCTAATCTAACTTTCAATCAGACCCCTCTGAACTCTGGGAGATTCAGCTGTGACCAGACTCGCGCCTTATTGAAGAAGTAGGTATTCTGGATCTCAGGCAACAATCAGACTTTTCTTGTCTAAATCTGATAATGGATCAAATATTCTCAGTCAGTCAGTTATGGTTCATTTTCACTGAAGGTTGTATGAATTCTGTCTTTTGAATAGGCAAATGAATTTCATGAACACCAGATCTGAACTGGTCCTTAGCTCTATGAAATGTAGATTGTTATATTGGAGAGACAAAAACATACTTATTAAAAAGAAACATGTAGTTTTGAAAACTTTCATTTTATTCATTTTTTCCAGTGTTTTGACATTGACACTTTTCTCTCAACTAAAATGATGAACTTATTCAAACTGATTGGTACGTTTCTCAAACCTAAGGTGTAGTAATTAAACACTGTAAAATATATAGACTGTTAATGATTATTTTAGACTGTATTTATATTGATACAATATTTGATCAGACTTTTAAAATAAAATTTTATTGTGTCTTATTAAAACTAATTTGGCTTTCAATATTAATTTCAGAGCCATTTAACACACAAAATAACGTGTGGTTTGGAGCAAGAAACTTAAATTTTACTGACTGGATTGACTGTGGACCACTAATTAGAAATCCTGAATCTTGATTGATCTGCAAACCTCACACACTGTACAAATTAAGTGTTCACCAGTCAGTTAATTGCTGGATCCCTCAGGTAAAGGTTGGAAATGTTGCCATCTGCTGGCCAAATATAGGAATGTTGCGCCACATAGTATGATATTAAAAATGTGTTTTCCCTAGTACAGTCCATGTCTGAGTAGGTGATAAACAAAGTTAAGCAGGGCAAGCATCTGTAGATCTATGGGCATTTGTTAATTCTACTTTAGATAGGTTATCAGATAGTTCAGATACTTCAGATCTTATGTTGCCTACCCTTGTCAACTATCATATCTGTGGGGGTTGGTTGGATGGATGGATGGACAGATACCTTACTGATCCCAAAGAAAATACAATTTTCGGCAACAATAATGAAATAATAATTATAATTAGGATATGTCTGAATCCTATAGTTTTTTTTAATCTGGGTTTATCCACATTTCAGTACATGGTACAAACAAGGTTATTTAACTTGTCATTTCACCTTGCACATCATGCAAATATAAGCAATACAGGGGTAGTACTTAAAAAAATGAGTTTGCACAAATGTAACAAAAGGCTCACACACAGCTGAATATTATCAAAGCTTTGAGGTTAATAATTTAGCTGAAAGGAAGATAATTTGCATGCGTTACTAATATTAGTATAATGTTTAGTTATAGATTTATTTTTAGACATTATAAAAGTCTAAGAGTACATCTATGTACACGAGTGAAGTTGGTTAGTAGACTGGACTGGAAATAAATTCTTTCTGAAGGTCAACAAAATTCCACCACAGATTCCTGCTGTTATATTTGGTATTTTGCAAGAGAAGCTTATGTTCGAATATATATAATAAATATTTAAATATACAAATATACAATTTATTACACAAATGTATTCATTAACAGACACGTGTGTTGCTTTACCGACAGCGAAAAATAGAAATAAAGTACAAAAAAGAAAAATGACGATACTGCGTTTGGTGCACAAATCTCCTACTGTTATTGTACCGTGAACGCGCCATGCTAATGCTACTATCTTAGACGCTTTCTGCTGTTTCTGCTACAATTCACGCTGTTTTTCCAACTAACCACGATGAATAATGATTCGATTAACACATTTTACGTATCTTTTATTTCCCAGTGAATATGGCGCAGAAAACATGGCAAAATCCGACGCTTTAGCTGCGAAATGACAGTTAGCATTGGCGTTAGCTTGCACCGGGCTCGTACATGCACATGGTCCTGGTGGGAGTTCAAACTTTGGCTCCTGCATTCCTGGATTATCTTATTTTTTTTTCACCGTTGGCTCCAAGACGCTGCTGCTGCTGCTCCCACCATGCCTGCTCAACTGTGAGGTACACTTCAGTATTTATTTAGTAGCTGGTGATCCATAGCAATAGTTTAATAATTAATATATTGTCCGTACATTGTCATTGAAAACCGTTTTCTTAAATTATAACGTTTATGCAGATGCTATTTGGATTTGGCAACAAAAGCAATGCCAACGTGTTAAAACAACTCTGCTCAATATTTAGTTTGTACCTAACTTGATTTTCTTGTTTTCAGTGTCAGCAGTAAAAAAAAACCAAAACAAACAATGAACAGTTAACCAACTAAACCACAGGGACACTGTAAACACGTTCATCACTGATACAGACTTTGGATCAGATACAGGCAGTGTTGGGAGAGTTACTTTTAAAATGTATTCCCCTACAGATTACAGATTACATACCCCAGAATGTAGTTTGTAATGTAATCCATTAAATTACTTAAAGTGAGTAACATAATCTGAATACTTTGGATTACTTGATTTTCTGTAGAGTAGCAAAGACTAGGATATTGTAACATAAGATATTTTGTCTGCTAAAAGACAATGAAAAGTCCAGTCTTTACTTGACCGTATAAAAAAATATATATTATTGATAGAGGAGGAGAAGACACATCTGCCCAGCATGGCTTAGTCCTGTTAAATCCTGTTAAATCCGGTTTTAGTCCTGGTTTAGTCCTGCTTTTAGACCTGTTTTAGACCTGGTTTAGATCTAGTTTGGATCTAGTTTAAATCTAATTTAGATCTAGTTTAGACCTGGTTTTAGTCCTGATTTTAGTCCTGGTTTAGATCTAGTTTAGATCTAGTTTAGACCTGGTTTTAGTCATGGTTTTAGTCCTGGTTTATAGCTGGTTTAGATCTAGTTTAGACCTGGTTTTTGTCCTGTTTTAGTCTTGGTTTAGACCTGTTTTAGTGCTGGTTTAGATCTAGTTTAGTCCTGGTTTAGACCTGTTTTAGTCCTGGTTTAGACCTGTTTTAGTGCTGGTTTAGATCTAGTTTAGTCCTGGTTTAGACCTGTTTTAGTCCTGGTTTAGACCTGGTTTTAGACCTGGTTTAGATCTGGTTAAGATCTAGTTTAGACCTGGTTTTCGTCCTGGTTTAGACCTGGTTTAAAACTGTTTTAGTCCTGTTTTAGTCCTGGTTTAGACCTGGTTTAAATCTAGTTTAGACCTGGTTTTAGTCCTGGTTTAGTCGTGGTTTAGTCCTGGTTTTGGTCTTGTGAAAATGTGAAAATAGGAAAACAGGAAAATACTGCCGTGTAATCGATTTATTTCAACAAAGTAACTATAATCCAATTACTACTCACTGAATCAGTAACTGTAACTGAATACAGTTACTTATAATTTGTACTCTGATTATGTAACTCCGGCACATGTAATCTGTTATTCCCCAGCACTGGATACAGATTAACTTTCTTTTCTCTCTTTAATGTTTCTGAGTCTTGAGTGTGTTGAGGAAATCATTATTGTTGGGTGAAAAAAATAGCTCCATGGACAGACAAGAGGCAATAAAAAGCAAACAAACCCACTGAGTCTGTAATTTGTGGTGTACATCTGTGCCACTCAGAATGTTGAGAAGCAAGTAATGCCAGTGCAGAACCTCTAGTGATTTCCAGAACCACAGTCTGAAGAGCTGTGATGTGTCCAGCTGCCTATTGAGGCCTTATTGTTACTTTGCTTGGAATATCCCACAATATGGCCTTTTTGATCCCTCTCTTTGTATTTTGTTACAGTGTCTTTAATGCTCAAAATAACTTGATATACTTCATGTTTTCATTCTCTTCATAAATCTTACCTACATATTTTAAGTTTAAAAGCACATTTCTATGCACCAGAGAGGCAAAAGATAAACTGTAATGTTTCAATAAATTGTTCAATATATTTGAGATATGCAAATTATAATGGATAAGCAGTAAATTGTTAATTTCAGAAACTTCTTACAAAGGCTCACAAAATGTCCCTTTTTGTACAATACCTTAACCAGAACAATGACATTCACAGGTATGTTGTAGCACACTTGTTTTTTTTTACTGTAATATTGTCATCAGATTTATCTCAAATACTATGATTTTTATCTATTCTGAACAGAGTTGTTCGGTGGATTTTCCATTGGCTATTGAATATATTAAGTTTATTAAAGGTATGACCTTCTGGAATATGTTATAATCACACCATGCGGTGAGCAAGTATTATTATAAGATCAGCAACTTGGTTTAAAGTTCATATGAGTTAAAGTATGTTAAAGTTACACTTTTGTTATGGTTAAGCAAGTACTAACAATGTTTAAGATTAGAATCTGTGTAGTACAAGGAGAGTGGGGACAGAATGTTGACTTACTGTAAGTCAGGAGTGATGTCATATGAGTTGTGTGGGAGGTAGAGGTGCAGAATGCCAAGATTGCTGTATGACCAGTGTTTAGATAGTTACAGAAGTACCAAGACGCAGACAGGTGCAAGGACATCTTTTTCATGTATTTATATAAGTAAATGAAAAAAAAAAATTGTCCTTGCACCTGTTTTTTGGTTCTCAAAACAATTGTTCAAACAATTTTAACAAATTGTCCATCATGTCAAACATTTTTGTAATTAAGAATGAATCAGCATTACAATTGTTATCAGTAAAAGCTCTATCTGATTTGAACCTGACAGATTTCATAAACTTCAGTCTAAGTTCCTTTAAACCTCATCATCGTATTCTTTATGTCATCATTTTAATATAATCATTATTGTTTCACAGATTTTCCTATGTAATGCAGAGATGTTTGAGCAAGCTTGAACATTGAGTGCATATTAAAACATAAACTAGAAATTGTAATGAACTGAAACTGAAATTCTAGATTGTGTGCCAATATAAATTCTTAAAGTTATTTTCTTTTATCAGCTGTGCCCATAGAGCTATTACATGACTTCACAGAACTGTGTGTGCCAGCAGCAAGTGTGCTGGGCTGGTTGCTGTTGGAGACGTGCATGCAGCTGCTTTACTTTCAGTTTCCATTCTGCTCTGCTTACAGAGAATGAAACCCAAGGAAGTGCTGCGAGGGAGGGGTCTGCCGCTTTAAAGCCTCTCAGCGCTCCGGCTGTTTATTCTGAGACGTGACAAGACCAAGGAAGTACTGAACACACTTACAGAAAAGGTATGTTTATCATTTTAAACTTAAATACTGGATTGATTAGGAATCTGTGATTGAACATGTACAAGTGCTTGTTTTTGAAAAGCTAGCAGTGAATCAAAGGTAAAATTGGATTATTTGAAACAGGGAAATCTATTGAAAATATACCTTGATGTAAATTTGTCCAGTTTTAAATCTTCATGGTTAGTTTTTTTTTTGGTGCTTATTATTTTTTCATTATTTAAATAAAATATGTAGCTCTCTTAACTACTATAATTTTCATAGAAATGGAAACTTAAGCAACAATGCAACACATTTGTTTTCGATGGAGTTCTGAGTGATCCAAACAAACTAATAGAAAATCTAGCACTGGTGCTGTAGCAATTAACAGTTCAAAACAATATACATCAGTTGAATGGGAAATAGTCCTCAAAATGGCATCTATAAACAGGATGTTGTGGAAAAGAGTTCTAAGGTAGTCATGTGATCAAACAGGAAGCTCAAATCCATAAATACATACGTTTATGCGCCTAAATTTTATTTTATTTTGTTTTTCCTACATAAAATTGTTTAATGAATATAAGAAACTACATACTACAGATACAGTATAACAATTCTGAAGTAAATGTATAATTTAATAACAGCTAAAATGCATTAACAATAATTTAAAGGTGCACTATGAAACCTTTTGGGTGGACTGTTCCCCAACTGCTTCTCTTCATCTTCTTATTTTGCCCGGAATGTTCAACAGTTTGGTATTCTTTTTTATATATCAAATCATCTAGCTTTTATGAAATTACAGGTGTTTTTGATGCTAAAAATGACCCTGTGCCTTCACCTGCTTATTTAGAGATAGATTAGTTCAGTGCCATACTATGGAACTTTCCAGAGCAGTTGGTGAATTGGAAAAGTTACATATTGCTGGGTCACATCACAATACAAGGTTCAACATTTGTGAATTTACGTTTGGGATATTTTATGACAAAGTATAAAGTCATCAATAGAGAAATCTGACCCTTGCCCCCATCTGGGAGGATGACATCATCACATTCTAGAATCTGAAAACTATCAATTAGTGATTAGTGATAAATTAATGAATTTATGTATTACTGAGGCTAGCTCTCTTATATGCCAAGTGTATGACAAGTACTTTTTCACTAAAACATAGTTAATATAATTCATTATATTTAAGCTTTAACTACAAATGTTACCTAGTTTTACATTTATGATGAATAATTTTACTTCTTGTTTGGACATAGGCAGCAGATGTGACATCTGTAGAGGTAATCCCATAACCATTACCCAGCAACCATAATGTTCACAAGGGCCAAAATGTGTCTCAGTATTAAGACAATTTTGTATTTTGTACTTTTCTTCTTAACATTCTTTTTCCACACTTAACTGATGATGCATGTTTAGCACAGGTATGTCCCCAAGTCTGAATTAGAAAATGTGAAAATATTTACTTTAACAATATTGACATTTGTTTTTGTTGTTGGACAGCCATGGAGAAAGACGTGGAGGACTTGGTGGAGATGATACGGCTGTATCCAGAGGGCATCCCTGTGAAAAAGCTGGCCATGGCCTTCCAGCAGACCTTTCATCGCAACCTGTGTCCAGGGGACCTGGGCTGGGACTCCTTGGCTAGCCTATTAGATGACCTGGATGAAGAGCTGCTTGTTAAAGATGGAAAAGTATTCCACAAGACTGTCTACACTGGGGACAGCATTGTGAAGCCTAAAACGCCCAAGCTAACCAAAGCAGATCGTGAAAAAATAATCCAGAACATTCTGACCATGATTAAGGAGCATCCAAAAGGAATTCGTCTGAAAACCTTGGGCTCTGTATATGTGCAGAAATACAAGAAAAAAATGTTCCTAACACAACTTGGTTTCACAACAATGGAAGGGCTGGTGGAGTCCCTAAGCGAGCATCTATTTGTGAAAGGAAAGCGTGTGGTTCATAACATGTACATGAAGCAACAAGAAACCCCCAACTGTCCAGAACCTAGCGATCTCCAGTCAGCTGCCTGCCCCACAGAGGGGGTTTTACCCAAGGCTGCACTCTCCTTCCTGGGGCCTCCACTGTTCAACACGCCCTCTGTGTTCGGCACAACTAGTCTACTCACGACCTTACCCAGCACTGCGCCCAGACCGGAGCTAAGGCTGACCCAGGACCAGCTGTTTGAACGGGTCATGGAGGTGAGTCATAGATGTGCCCACGTGTCAGCAATAAGTGACTCATTATGATGCCTGATAAAAAGGCTTACATCTTATAGCCCAGGGAGCTCTTTTTTATTTTATTTATTTATTTATTTATTTTTTATAAAAGCCATTAACTTAAATTTAATTAAAGAGAGGGCATTATCTTTCTACACTGTTATAATGGTGTTTCCTCATCAAAAGCAGCCTGAAGTGGTTTTAAATGTCATCCATGTTTGAGTACTCTAGGGATTTCTCCCGTGCTCTATTCGATCACTCCTCACAATTAGCAGTAAAATCCTATGCAAAGCTCCGCCCACAAGTCTGCAAGCACAGCAATTTAATGCAAATGTACAAAAGCATGATACCAAACAAATTTTGGAGCTGCAGACAAACTAATAATAAAGGGTTACTCAGCATGTATGAATGAAACAAAAAAAAAGGAGATAACATTCTAACATGGCTTAAAGCTCACAAGAATCAATTCTGTGTAATATGGGATCTTTAAAGTAGACCTTAACCTCACACCCATGTTGCAGGTCATGCAGAAGTACAACCTGGACGACCCCCCAATCACCAAGCTCCAAAGCTGCTATTTGAAACACTTTGGCTCAGAGCTTCCCTTTGCTCAATATCTGTCGCTATATGACAACTGGAAGACATCCAGTAGTAAAGGCAGCGGCAACCCCGACAACACCAAGACAGCAGCACAACCACAACCAGGTAACCAGGTGTTTTGTAAAGTCAAGCATTCAACAGTGTATTTAGTCATCATCAAACATGGGGAAGTTCAAGTTAAAGGACACATATAAAATGTACTTTTTTGAGTTTTTAAACTTAACCAGGTTATACTGGTGCCACCTCATCAGAAACATACCAGGAGTTGTATTTTGCTTACTTCACCCTTGTTTCATTAATATAATCATCCAGAATCTTCTTTGAGCACTCAAAAATGCTCACCTGGCATTGGGCCTGGATTTTTATCATGGCATTCAGGTGGGATAAGGACTTAATTTGTTTACTTTTACTTTACAGCAGAGGGAGCTACAGCACCTAAATGCCCCATTGGAAATGGAGGTAAAGTTTATAAAGTACATTTTCCAATCGTACGCATCATTTTAAGTTTTAAAATGTTAAATACTTGTCCCATGGTGACCAAAAGCATGTTTAAAAGGCTACTGAAGCAACAAGAATGCATCATGTGCTCCTGAAAATACAGAGTATAGTTTCTATTAAACTTTGCGTACCAGCTGTTTAGTTTTCATATTTCATATGTTAGACAGTGAGTCACATCTAATCCTGTAAAACTCATCTATGGAGCTACTGTTGGGTTTGGGTGCTAAGAATTTTTCTCGTACTGTTACAGTTTTTCCTTCAACAACATCAGTTTTTCTCGGCTAAGTTAAGGACAGATTCTTTTAAAACATACCCACGAGCTTGCATTTTGTAATTTAAGATACATTTTTTATTCCATACATTTTAAGCATCCTCAATATGTCATAAAAATATGAAAAATTATTTCCATTTTAAATAATACAATGGAAATTATACTATTATTCTATTTTTGTTCTATTATCATCCTATTTTTGCTTCAAGTTTTGGTTTATTTAATTTGTTGTTTACCATTTATTCATTTGGCAGGATCAATGGAGTCAATCCTCAAAACACAAAGGCTGTGGAGGAAATTAGGATACTTCAAATATTCTGCACAAAGCTGATAACTTTGTAGTTTAGGTCTGAACAAACATGTTCTGAAATGTGATTCTTGTGTGAGTTTGTCAGTTCATAGTTCAGTTCATATTTATATCAGTTTTGGACACGTGAACTTTGCACAGAAACGTATCATTAAAACATCTATTGCATATCTAATCACAATCTCACTGTTTGTCAGATTTGGAAAATATATCAAATTATGATTCTTCTAAGTCAGATATTATAGCTATATTAATTACAAAACATTGCTTGCAACTGAGAATGTACAGCATGTGCTAATTCCCTACTCCTGTACATGATTGAGGGTTTCTAGTAATAGTATCTTTCTAGTATGTAGTAGTATGTTGTTAATATGTTATAATACAAACTACACACTGTTCAACTATAAATAGTTTGAGAGAAATATCAAACTGCAGTTATATTGCAGTTTATATTTATTGCACATTATATTTTATTTTATTTTATTTTTTTGGACCAGCATTGCGATTGTGATTAGATTTACGGTTCACGTTTTAACAACAGGATTCTGTTCACGGTTCACATTTTAAACATGTCCAGAAGAATTGAGAAAGAGACTGAAACATGAACTGTCAAACTAATACAAGAATTACATTTCTGACCATGCGTACAGACCTATATTACAGGGATAGCAGATTTAGTTTGTGAAGAAAATTATGGTATTTCAAAAATTGCAGCCTTTGCTAATAGTCTCCATTCCAGTTTCATTTCAGTTTCAGTTAATCTTGCACATTTTGACATATTTCTGTATCTTTCTGCAGCTTGGAAAAATCCTGAAGTTGCACCTGTGACGGCCGCCTCCTTCGGCCTCCTCTTGGACAACGACTTCCCCGCGCTGGGAGCAAAAGTACCCCAAAAGCAGAGCTCCACGGTTGGGACGACTGACGCACCAAAGCCCAAGAGCAGCAGCAGTAGCGTGTTCATGGAGGGCTACCACAGACAGCTGAGGGAGGTGCACGGGGCCAACATGAGGGCGGTTGAGGCCATGGAGGAGGCTGGGGGACGAGAGAGGAGCTGGAGCACGAGGCTGGACCCAGACAACGTCCACAACCTCATGAAGGACGTGATACGGGACATTGCCTCGGAGGGAGAGCTCGTCACCAAAGAGCGGGTGAGCACTGTCCTCCCAACTTCATGTACATTGCAACTTTTTTAGAACACATTTTATTCAAGATTGACTTTTCATCACAAACATAGTTGGAGTTGTATTTGCTTCATTCATTAATCCACTAAATCCAAAGTTGTATTCTCTGAGCCCTCAAAAATGCTCATTTCACATTTTATCAGTTTAGTTGCGCCATAGAGAAAAGTCTGGATTTCTCCTGCACAGTTTTTAAGCTCATAAACTATTGTGTGTGTTTGTTGGGAACATAATTTGACCACATAACAACACCACAACATAAACTTGTGGGCTGAGCTTTGGACAGGATCTACTGCTAACTGTAAGGAGTGGGGAGAGATCATAAGATTGCACAGACATACATGGATGACATCTAAAATTTCTTCAGGCATCATAACATAAGAACGCTCCAAAAAGCTCTAAGGGGAAGCTGTGCGTTATGCAATTTTAACGCCCAACATGGCATCATAGTGTTCCTCAGCCAAATAAAAGCTTACTCCTTGTTTGTATGTTCAGGTAATTTCCCAAACCTGCCAGCTGCTGCAGATCACCTCTTTGGAATCAGCCCGAATCAAGCCCTGGCAGATCCAGGCTCTTAAAGACCTGCAGTACACTATAAGAGAGGTCAACATGTTCTTGGAGGTGAGGATTCCATGATTACATTTTCACTTCAGTCCCGTTCGTCCTAAACTCACGTCCCCTCGCTGCTCTCCCCCCAGGCCACAGAGTCGGTGTCGTGCATGTGTACACTGTATGAGCTGGGTCAGGCACTGGCTGCACTTAAAGACAAGAAGCGCTACGAGGAGCTGAACCTGGGCCCTCTGTGCAAACTGCCCTTGGTGCACCGCATGTTCAAGATCGACGGCAACACCAAAGACGATGACATCCAACAGATCCAGACTGTGGACATACTTAAGGTTCTCTCTGCACTATTTTGTCATTTTGGTGGTTTTCATATGCTAGAATGTGATGACGTTATAATTCCAAATGTGGACATGCATAGACTGTATATGGACATAGATAACCCACTAGCCACCACATTCCAAACAGAAAGTGAGCGTGGGTAGGCTCACTTTCTGCTCCATACCAGACCATATACAAACTTATAAAACATGCAAAGGTGCTATACCAGATTTTTATCTTAAACACAGGAAAAAGCTAATCATTGCAAATCATTATAAACAGTTTGCAGTGGTCCAAACTTATTCCTCACTTATCTTGATCTTTTCACAACTTTCACAACAGCCAACAGCAACTAGCAGGCCCAGAGTAGATCATAAGGAGACAATAAAGCACATTATAATTAGATCCCAACAGCACCATTGGTCTCATTTTGACCCTAGTATACAATATATGTGCACCAAGGAAAATCTGGTTTACTTCACAAGAAAAAAATATTGCCAAATATGTATAAGTCATATTTTCCATCCATTTGCTGAACAATTTTGGTATACATAACGTGACACATTTTGCACTGTTTCTGGATGACAAACAGTGTTAATGACTGTTTTTTGTCTTGTTCTTTTTTTTTTTTTTTTTTTTTGTAGCATCTTCGCAATTTTCGAAGGAAAAATACCAAAGTTAAAGTCGACCTTGCAGATTTTATGAAGTACCTGGCTGATCAGTACAACTGTGACTCTCCCTATGAGCTGGGCATCCGCATTCACAGTGTGGGCCTCCCTATTTCAGTACGTATCTCTGCGTTTGATATGATATTTTGATATTTTCTCTGGGCTTCCTCATTCTCTGTGTCGTGTTATTCCCAGTTTGTTCAAAAAGACAAATCTGATACTGTGAGGACAGACTCAGAAACTGAACACTGGAAATAGACAATTATTATATGCTGCTATTCTATAGTTGCACACACATGCCAATGTTTACTTTATATTTCAGATAACAATAACATACATAACAAACTCTGAAGTCAGTCTGTGATTTTTACTTCAACTTAGATAGAGCTGATTTTCACTGGTAAACAATCCCTGTCACCTAAAATTAGTCAAAAGCTAGTTAGCATTAACCCACACCTTTTCAGTTAGTCACTCACATTTTTTTATTGAATATCAAACTCCTAAACAAGATCATGAATGCTTGAATTGATCACTAAAAGTGTGCGGTTTACATCCATTTGTATTTTTATAGTTGTCAGATAATCCAAACTTATCATGTTGTGTTTGCTAATACGTGCATTGTGTCAGTAGCATAACAGGGGAACATCCTTCCACATCCACACACACATCAGCTGAAATGGACTCTAATAGGACTCTAATTGCTGAATGTTTTCAGACCCTATCGAAGGTTTCCCGCAATGAGCATGCTCTGCTGGAGAACGCCCGAGAGCAGATCCAGAAGGAGCTGGAGGAGGAGACGCTGGGGCGGCTGAGGAAAATTAAGAGAAGTGTATTGGATGCCCTCCCAGCCTCTGTGCCCGGGGACAACACCGACCTGAGGAAGAAGTACGCCAGTCTGACCGCGGCTGAGGTGGTGCTGGCTGTCTTCTCCAACGCAGAGGGAGTGTTCAGCCCCAGGATGACCAAGGCAAGTCTCACTCATAATGGAAACCCTGCATCCATTCACAGTACGTACATTTTTACATGCATAGGTATTCTTCTTGGGAGCCAATGGCATTGAGGAGAAGGGCTCTCTCTTTTTTTAAAGGCAAATAAGAGCTTTTGATGAGATATGTGTGTATTCACATGATTTTGCCCCTTTAATTTAATTATTATTAGATGATCTGATGGTGCATGCGATGTATTGTGCCTTCAGCATGTGCAGGCCTTCCTGCTGCAGGTGTCTGGGGACCGTCTGGCCACAGCTCTGTTTCAGCTGTCCATCTGTGGAGGCTCCCTGGCCCAACCTCAGGACCTAGTGCTTAAGGACAAGAGCTCCAAAGCCCACGAGCAGACCAAACCAGAGGAGAAGCCCTCCAAACCGCGCCCCACTGAAGGTAAAATTGCCTATCATACTGCAGGATATAAAGCCAGGGCCATAGAAAAACTATGTATGAGCTCACCATCTGGTGGTATAACTTGTTATGGCACAACTGTAACATGTGATGTACTGCTGTCTCCTGTGTAGTTGGCAGACTCCTATTGTAACCAAGTCCAGAATGCTGTGATGAGTGCTGTGTTTCAGGTGCAGTGCAGCAGTTTGTGAAGGACAGCCTCTCCTCTCACACCTCCACCATCACTCTGGCTTTCATGGCTGCTCTGGAGAAGAAACTCATTAAGCACTTCTACCTCCAGAACTTCCTCTGCTTGGAGATGGGCACCTTCTTGGACTTCCTTGTGAAACACGTGCAGGTGGGTCTGGTGGGATAGACATATGTATTGCACTTGTACAAAGCAGCAGGTGTGATGGTGTGTTCTAACAGCTGGTGCAGGAGTGCCTGGGCTCGGCTCTGTTCCTCAGTAGCAGCAGTGTTGGGCTGGGGGGCGCTGGGTTCAGGCCCACTCGTCAGGACGTGTTTGAGTTCATCAAACAGTGTGGGGATCTGAACCATACAGACCCAGAGCAGGTACGACCCTTTTCCTTTTGTTTGGTGCTGTTTGAATCCTCATGTCTAAAGAATCTCTCTTTCTCCTGAACAGCTCTCATTGATAGAGACAGCACTGCGCTCCCATTACAGGCTGAGGGACAGCAGAGACCTGGGCTTTGGGGCTCTGCACAGACTGGCCGGCCTAGTGCAGCAGCAGAAGCAACTGTCCGGAGGAGGACTCAGCCCGGTCTACTACGAGCTGGCACTGCTGGTCAAACGCAGCAGCTCAAGGTGGGCATTTATATGTTCATATAGATGTAATGTGTACAGCATGATAAACTGCCTCAGACTTGTTTGTGTTATTTATATTCCACTCACAGGTTAATGAGAACAGAAAAATGTCAAAGAACATAATTATGATGTTTTGCCTGTGAAACCAAGTACAGTGAGAGATGTTTTGATAGTAGATGTAACCATTTTGTTTCTTCTAACCACAATTGTTGAACCTCCCTGACTAGCTTGGCAGTGAGCTTTAGTTTAAAACATCTACTTTACTTCTCTTATGTCTCCTCTTTGTCCCACAGCGCTGAGGTCGAGGGTGAGTCCGTGGGACGCCTGGGGGAGATGTCCAAGGACCAGGCCCTGTCCAGTCTACTGTCCTGCCCCCTCCTGGAGGACTTAGGCCAGTGGAGCCAATGGGACCTCGTGTTCAAACCTCTCTATGGCCCTTTGAAAGATTTTATTGAAAGAAATGCAGGTAATGCTTCATGATCCAAAACACACCACAAGTGAAATACCAGCAGGTAGTCGACATTGTGCTTGTGCTTCTGGTTTAGCTGATTGGAGTGTCACAACACAACAAGTGGAATTAAACTAACAAATTTAGTCAACAAAATCTATTATGTATTTCACTAGCACCACATCACAACAACACAGAGATTAAATGAAATGAAGCAATGACAAAGAAACAAAAAACAAATAATACACATTTTTCTGTCATTCTGTCGCATGTATCTAGTTTTGATACTAGTTTTAGTAGCGATTAGTAACAACCCTAACAGTAACAGCCCTAGTACAGTTTCATTGGAAGCTCGGTACAAGTTTACTTTTCATTTACACTTAGTTTTTATTTGCAGTTCGGGTCATGCCTGATTTCATTTAATTCAGCTTTAGCCTGCAAAAATATTAGAACAAACAAAACGTGTTAGTGGACTAAATGAACAGCATTATGCCCTAACGCTCCAGGCACCAGTGGTCTCTCTGCTCTGGAAGTGTGCCCCGGGGTGCTGCTCAGGACCACATCGCACACAGGAGAGCAGGACTTCAGTGTAGCTGCAGAGAGCCTGGACGCCGTGGGCACTGCGGGGCATCTGGTGTCCATGGTGGTGGCCTACGGGGTGGACAACGCCCCCCTGGCTCTGCTGGCCAATCACATGCAGAGCTCATTGGCAGCGGCTGTGGCCAGAGAAGGTAAGTTTTTAAAGTGAATTTAAGGTTTAGGTTAGACAACTCATTTCACAAAAACATGATTACCATCATTATATTTTAGGTTTTACTAAATATCTTACCTAGCTTTTTACTTTTATTTTGGTGAAGTTTATCATTTTATTTCTTGATTGGCAGCAGATATGGCATATGTAGAGGTAATTCCATAATTGTAATGTTATGGAAGTTAGAGTTATATGTAAAGAAGGACCAAAACTTTCCTGATTTACACAACAGTTATGATTGGACTCATAAAAATAAATAATGATAAATGGAAATTTACACTGTCGGAAAAATGTCTCTGCATTTTGGATGGAATTTTTTGTGTTTAGCGTCAGAGGCATTCTGCATTCATATGCTCACACTTTAAACATGTGCATTTGCTAAAGAGGTAATTGAATGTTTGTATTTTTTTTCTATTTCTGTAATATTTTGTCAGATTTGTCCCAGGCTCATGAAGACGTGTCATGCTACAGAAGAGTGGCTGAGTTTGTTTTGGCTTGTTTAGTTCGAATCCCCACAAGAACCTGCAGGACTCTGATGCAGCAGGTTAGGAACTCCTCTGAATGTGTACTTGATAGTCCCAGAAAATGAAATGCATCATTTTAGAAAAGTTTACAGCTAAAGTCTACTAGCTGAATTGACCTAAAGGTGTGCTTTTTAGTGTTTACTAATCTCCATGAAGTTATTGTTGCTTACAGTGTTCAACAGTATGGCCTTAAAATTTTACCCATCGTTGCAAAAAATAAATAAATACTTTGATAAATGTGTATTCTCATGGTAAGCTGGCTTGCCTCACTACAGATCTGACATGTAACTTTGTGGTGATATACAAATTTAAAGTTGACTGTGGAATATTCCGAACAAGGTAATGACATCTTCATGGAGAGTAGTGGCTGAAAATTTTCATAGTGAACCTTTAATTTAACCTGTTAATGAATAAGAGCTGCTGTCACAAGTTGTATTCCCCTGATGTCAGGTGTTTCTGGAGCCCTTTTCCAAAGTGCTGGGTCAGACGCGCTCTAAGGTAGTTCTGATGAGCGTGGCCCAGTCAAACCCACAGCACCTGAACCTCCTGCACCGCCTGGGCATCCTGCTAGGCATCACAGACTGGATTAAGGACTACTACAGGAAGCTGAACCCGCCTCTGCTCCAGGAGAGACCCACATGCCAAGAGGCAGTGAGGGGGGCCAAGGTGAACATGCTCCTCTTTAGAACCAGTGCCTTATTATACACTTAGCTCAGGGCGAACCAGCTACTTGCTTACTAAAGATCACAAGACCTACAAGATATAACTTTTTGAGCTCAAATCCTTCCATCCATTTTGTTCCGGTTGTAGAGGCAGCTGTCTGATCAGGGAAGTCCTTTCCACACACACTTCCTTCAGCTCTTCTGGGGGATCATGAGATGTTCTCAGGCCAGTTCAGAGTAGGGCTGGGCCATATGGAGCAAAATATATATTTTTCTATATCTCGATATATGATATATATCTCAATATGCGTATAGGAAAAATAACCCTTCAAAAACCTAACCATACAATAACCTTGAGCTCCTTTAACAGAGGAAACTCAGGAGGTTCCTTATTATAACAAACCCATGTTCCTCACCAGCATAAGGAGCTATGAGGTTTCCCACAATCCACTGCAGATCAAACCGAATGTTTCCAAACACTATTGTACAAGTTACACTGTAGCAAATTATTGATTAAAATTATCTGCATAAATAAACTTTACATGACTAAACTTTACAACATTTAAAGCATAACAACTCTAGAGCCACATCAGCCCATTTGAAATTATAATATGTTTAATGCAGTTTTGCACGCTTGTGTTTACGTTTTACCGAAACTTAAAACCTCGTGGCTCATTTGCATAAACAGGGCGCTCCTTGTGCTACTGATGCTGTTTAGCTTCTTTCGGGTTAAAGGACATGACACCGTATAATATGAGTGTTCTCTCTGTGACAGAAGATGTGCTGTTGGTTGTCTTGTCTGTAAATGGTGGAAAAGTTTTGTGGCGCTAGAAGCTTTTCACTGGCACCAACTTTCGGCATTCACGGCGATAGTGAGGAATTAATGAGACACAAGCAGCAAAATTAGGGAGGTGGGGGCGCACCAGGGCGAGCACAGAGAAGGCAAACAAGCAAAGCCAGAATTGAATATAAGCATTATATTGATATATACGATATGTCAAAATCCATATCGAGTCTCGATATATTTAAAATATCGAGATATCGCCCACCCGTATTTCAGAGACATAGTCCCTTCAGTGTGTCCTGGGTCTTCTTGGGGCCTACTTAATAATTAAATCGGTCATAATTTGTGTCTTTTACAAACTTTTGTCTAACTCTGTCTAAAACCAAAACTGCAACAATTCATTTATTTGCCTGCATGCTTACGTACATTCACTATATTTTTTTCCTTTTTTCAGTCTAATAACATACATTCAGAGAGCAGCAGTGAGTTTGACTTGAGTGACACTGAGGATACTGATATGTTAGACACCTCCTCTTCTCTAAACCTACGAGGTAACCTCAACATATAGTGGAGACATTTACAAAGCATGCCTGCTATGAGAGAGAGCATAATGTTGTGTTTCCTAAATATCTAAATGCAGTGAATGGTGACATGGACGTCAAAGTGGAGGAGGAAGAAGAAGAAGAAGAGGAGGAGGAAGATGACGAGGAGCTGTACGAGCTGGCCAGTATTCCTAACAGAGAGGCTACAGATCAGAGCAGCGAGGGAGAACCAAGCCCAGAGGGAGACCAAAGAGAAGGAGACACAGACCAAGAGCAGCAGGCCCAAGTCACGGAGGAGAGAGGGGGGCTGTGTCCAGAACAAGCCCTCATCGAAGACATCAGGTTTGGAAGAATTATATGGTTTGTGTAAAATAGATGGGAGGAATGGTATATTGGAGCTAATACCAGTATAAGTGATTGGATCAAAAAATAAATAAATAAATAAATAAGGTAGATGCTTGCACAGCCCCTGAAGAGCAAGATGTATACCACTGCTCAGACAAAAGTCATGGGGCTGTTTAGCAAGCAGTAGTGTAGAAAAAATGGATAATAATTCGATATCACTCACACTCATCGCTCTCGGTGTCATTAGATCCTCGACCTGCGCATATGCAAAGATGACCATTCAGTGCTTGAAGCACTGCTTCTGGCAGTCAGTAGGGATGAAATAGAACTTCAAGCCACAATAACCAGAAGCACTGACCTTTTCTGTTGTGCCCATTTTTGTCATAAATGCTCCTAAACTGTGCTTTCTTTGTGGTGGCACTTCCAGGTAAGCGAGAATCTCATTTCATTTGAGAATTAGAAAAAAGGTTTTGCTGCTAAAATATGAAATAAAGTAGGTTTGTTTGTGTAAAATGTCCAATGTTTATGTGCACCAACAAGCCACACTGCACCGATGCTCTGGAGGCTTTAAAACGACTTTGCTGTGAGTTCGGCAGTCTGATGCAAAATAATGCAAACCCAGTGATGATGGCGGTGCCCATGGCTTGCTTCTGCACACACCTGACTCTCATTTGGCCTGGAGGATGGCCTCGTGCTTGTTTCCATGTAAATGTTGTTCCTTTTCCATGGAGAATGTTCCCATACAATGGGATTTTTAACGTTCTGTTTCCATGTAATCCTATAGGTGATGCAACACCACCAGGAAGTTACTCACTGCACCTTTAATTTAGGAACATTACTTCATCAATTTCCACATGAAATTATGAACATTGTTACAAATCTTAATAATGCTAATGGCAAGTATTTGTTGGTGGCAATAGCAGTAGGATAAACTTCAGATATCTCCTTTGGCTGAGGAAAAACAACTATTGGACTATGGCTAGTTTACTCTGCAAGTTTAGTTGTGGCTCTGGTGGTCCTCTGTTTGGTGAGAAGAGTCTCATGTGTGTTCTGACTGTTGAGTGCAGGAAGAGTGAGTTTGGAGTGGGCGTGGAGCTGACCGCAGAGGGCCAGAAGCTGATGCAGGTGCACCAGGAGCGCCTGGGCCGAAGCCTGGATCGCCTCTCCACAGAGCTCTACAGCAAAGACACACACTTTGTCCTGGAGCTCATTCAGGTAACACTACACTCTTAAAAGAACTCTCTATTTACTATTTACTTTAAATTTCTTGACCAGGACCTATCTGTATGATCACAATTTGATAATCCATAGCCATTCTATTCGGGCTCCTCTTAACCTCCTTCCTTAACCACACCACACACTGTGGTGACAATAGTATTTTACTCCTTTTGTTACAGTATATCAAAAGAGTGCTGTTTCTCTAGTCTTCCTTGTGTTCTTGTACATGTTTGCAGAATGCAGACGACAACAGTTATGCATTAGAGGATGGAGTGACCCCTGCCCTGGCCTTTGTGGTGGAGAGAGACTGCATCACTGTACTCAACAATGAGACAGGCTTTCAGGTAAACACAAATAATAACATAAACTCACTACATATATGTACTTCAGATAGCACAACGAGTTATTGCTTATCGACAAAGGACAAAGTTTGTTTGGGATCGGCCTCTCCATTTATATTTACATTTTAAATGTCATAAGTTTTCAAAAGCATGCAGTCCTATATGCAAGAGCAACTTTTTACAAAGTATGAATTTGCCTCATCCCTCAGAGAAGTGTGACTTTACAAATAGAATGGATTTTATTTGCAGGAGAAAAACATCCGGGCGATCTGCGATGTGGGCCGCAGTACCAAGGGAAAGCACACGTACGGATACATAGGTGGGTAGAATATAAAATGTTGTCAGTGGATTACAGAGAGGTTCATAGGTTTTAGATGTAGTTCATGATTTAACTCAGGAGAATCTGATGGCATTCTATATAATACATAAACTATTGTTGTTATTATTATTCTAGGACAAAAAGGGATCGGGTTTAAGTCTGTGTTCAAGGTAACAGACTGTCCTGAGATCCACTCCAATGGCTTCCACCTGCGCTTTGACAAGACCTGTGGACCCATGGGTTACATCCTGCCCCACTGGACTGAGGACCAGAGGGATGTGAGCCCCCTGCTGGAGGACATCAGCCACCACAGGTCCTCTGTCACTGTAAATTAGTTCACAATCTTCTGTCTCCCTCGTAACTCCTACATTAAAATGCATTTGTGTCAGTTTACTCAGATTGTAATTTTCTCAAGGCACACAGGCAATACCTCAAGGCACACAAGTGTTCCCCAGCACACTGGCTTAAAATCAATGTTCTAGAATACCTGCTCTAGTTTCTCATGTGGAGTGTGTGTTTTCAGCTGGAGCACAAAGATCTGCCTGCCCCTGCGCTCTGAGAGTCACCAGACCAGAAACCTGTTCCATGATGTGCACCCGTCTCTCCTACTGTTCCTGCACCGCCTGCGTTCCATCACCATCTACAACCAGGTTAGGCCCTTCACTACACCACCACTGTTTAGCTGTTCATTAGTATCATTTGGGATTAGCTACTACATATTCAATCCTCCCACTGACATTACGACACTGGAGCTCACAATAAAATCATTGTGTAAAATTCAGTTTTATTGCTCTAGGCTTTCTTATTGTGTCAAATATATCTCCAACTTCCACTATGACTTCAGTGTTTTCTGTTTGAGAGAAGAACTCAACCTAAATATACAGGGTTTGTGTGTTAAACATGTGTGAATGAAACAACACACAACTCCAGGTCTGTTTGTGATGAGGAAACGACATTAGAAAGTAGAAAAGAAAATAGTACAGCAGACATCCAGAGAAATCCCATTTTTAATTGTTGTATATAGGCCTATATATATAGGCATTATTTGTTTTCACAAAGTACCAGAGCAGGCAGTTACTTTGCAAACAAAATACAACACAAGGACAAAATCAAATGTATCTTTAAAACAATGAGTTGTTCCTTTGCTTTGCACAGCTGGAGAACCGCCATGTCACCATGTCGCGTAAAGACCTGAGCCATAACGTGCTGGAGGTGGAGCACACTGAGGGCATGGAGCGCTGGCTGGTCATCAAGAGCATGCTCACTCCACGGAAGGTGAGGCCTAGGACACACTGTATGTGTATTTTTGTCTCATGCACTGTAAAAACTGCATGTTTTGGACACATTGTTAGCCAACCAGCAGTAGACCTGTGGCTGCTAGTGTGTTTGACACCTAACTCCCCTCCGTGCCTTGACATCACATGCTGGTACCGTGTGTGTATATGTACTGTATGTGTGTGTGTACATTGATCCTTGTGTGCCGTGCAGATCAAAGACGGAGTGGAGGCGACAGAGCTGGCTCTGGCCTTCCAGCTGAGCACAAAGGACACAGGGAATGAGGTCATAGGGCAGCCGCAGAAACAGCCCGTGTTTGCCTACCTGCCCCTCCGCACCTTTGGCTTCCGCTTCATCATCCAGGGTGAGGTGTCTTTTTTCCCCTTGAAACAGAAGTAGTTCATTTTAAACAGTCTGCAGTGATTCAAAGTTATTCCTCTGTACTATGCATCCTAATCATACACTGCAATGAATTTAGAAGTGTTATAATTCTTCCCTGATATCCAAAAGTTGAAAGAAACTTACATAAATTCTACTCTAAAAGCACATATGCATAAGGTAAGTAAGGAATAACTTTGGACCACGGCGAACCATTTTTTAGGACAGTGAAAATCAGATTATATTCAGGAATAATGCACACATGGAAAACCTGACAAGGCTCTAATAAAACTATGATATATATATTTTTTCTATATTGGCCACATTATTTGAGCTTGTTCATGTTGATTGCACAGGGGACTTTGACATCCCCTCATCTCGAGAGGACGTGGACCGAGACAGCTCCTGGAACCAGTGGCTCCGCTCGGAAATCCCTCAGCTCTTTCTGCAGGCCATGGAGGTCTTTAATGTGAGCGCACCTTTCTTTTCTTTATGTTCACAATAGGAATGCAACAATACAGGTTTTACACTGCTCAGTATATCTCGATACACTGGGCACAATATCTAAACAAACAAACAAACAAACAAACAAAAAAGTTTCCTCCCTTGCTATGGTAACAAATAAAGATAACATTTTTTTCAACTTGTTCAACTACATCCATCTCTTTTCTGTTCAAATCTGTCAGAGTTTTTTTTTTTTTTAAGGTGCACTGTGCAACTTTTTGGTTTGGGGTCTGTCAGCTGCTTGTTTCTATGGATATGTCAGTGCTCTGCCTGTTCTGCCTGCCATGTTCCACAGTATGACATTAAACAGCTCTACCTTACATATACTCAATGCCTAGGAAAAAAACAAAAAAAAACAGGCATTCTGACTGAGAGGGGTTACCTCTCCACAGATCTGACCTGTAACTTGGTCTGGTTTTGTCTCCATGAAGATAGATAGGTTTAATGCCATACTGAGAAACAGACAAAACAATAATATGTGCATGAACAAAAGTATTTGTCGGACACTCCACTAGAAAAGTTACGTAATGCACCTTTTAAGGCTGATAGCTGCTACTCTGAAAAGTGCAACTATCAGCCTGCTATATCAACCAACCCATATCGGTCAACCATTATATAGCTCAGTCTTTAGTCCTCTTACTAATGCCTCTGTAACTTTGTATGCTCCTCATAGACCCACCCAGACTTCAGAGGGCTCCGAGGTCTGTGCCACTTCCTCCAGTTCATCCCTCTGCCCGATGAGATCCTGGACTTCTTCAAACCCGTGGCACAGCACATCATCCAGCTGCTCAAAGGGAGAGCCTTCCTGCCCACGCTCAGCACAGGTACCACACAGTACGCTGTTACATTATAAAAGGGATTGGCACGCACACAACTACTACTACTATGTGACCCCCTCCACATGAGACATACAAAGAAATGTTCTGTAGCTTAGTTAGGGGTAAATCTCTGAGAATTCCGTACAGGGTTGTTGAGACAAAAAAAATCAAACAAAAAACAATACTAACTGATCATTCATTTGAATAATTATCAATATTATATTATTTGTTACACAATAACAAATAATAAATATTATTATTTACTGGCTTGTCAAAGTCTGATCCCGTCAGATCTCAGAAGCTCAACAGGGCCGGGTCTGGTTAGTACTTGGATGGGAGACACTGGGAAAATCAGAAGCCACGGTGGGTGTCAGTCATAAAAACTGTTGTTGTGTCCTTAGGCAAGACACTTCACCCTCATTGCCTAGTATGAAAGTGGTGTGTGTGTGAGTGGTGGTGGTCGGAGGGGCTGATAGTGCAGATTGACAGCCTCGCTTCCCCAGGGCAGCTGTGGCTACAGTAGTAGCTTACCACCACCAGGTCTGGAGTGAATGAATAATGTAAAGCGTCTTTGAGTGTCCAAAAAAGCGCTATATAAAACTGATGTATTAATATTATAAGAAACCAAAAAATTGGCTGGTTTTGAGTAGTTTTAGGATGGCCCCTAAAACTTGTACACCAACTGATAATGTTATAGAGGATTTGTATTAGTCACCTAATTATTTTATTTAGATGATAAGGATTTATATGGGACAACAGTAGAAAGAAGAAGGGAGGGAGGAAGGGAGTTAGCTGAAGATTAGGTATTTTTTGGTCTTTTAAAGGGCCCATATTATACGCAATTTTTGATTTTCAGTGTGTTCTAATGTTGTTTCCTCACCACAAATGGTCCTGGAGTTATGTTTTGTTTCATTCACACATGTTTAACACACAAACTCTGCAGATTTAGGCTGAGTCCTTCTCTCAAACAAAAAACAATCTGTTCCACCTCGTGATGTCATGTGGTAATGTAGGAAGTGCTCCATTGTGTTTTTTAACTCCATGCACCTTCTCTAGAATCATTTGGATAATTTCAATCCCGGAATTGCTATTGAACTAAAGGTAAAAGAAGCTGTTAACTTGAAAACCACAACTACATGACAAGGTGGAACAAAGCATTTTGAGCTTTGCAGCTTTGGTGATGATTCAAATATGTGTGAAGGAAGGAACACAACGAGGAAACACCATTATAACCATCACAATAGATTCACAAAAGTCAATTTTGCCTTATATAGGTCCTTTAATATAAAAGGCAGATTAAATTCAAGATTCACACATTTAATCTGTGTTTATATGAATACATGGTTTCCTAGTACTTTTTATGAATAAATAGTAGTTTTTGTTTGAACTTCCCCTGCAGGTGTAGTCTTGAGTTGTGAGTGCAGTTGGGGTCAGATACACAGAAATAAGTAATAGTAATAGTTTTGAGAGCTTTTGCCACAGCCCCTTTTTGGTCAACTATGGATTTCTTTAGTTGACTACAGCCCCAGACAACAAGAAGGACATTTTTTAGGACCTTTTTTTCTTGCGTTCTCAGATGGTAAAGTGGTGTACAAGCTGCCCTCCCAGGTGGCCGTGTGTCAGGACCCTGTGATCCGTGATGTGATTGGAGGAGAGGAGCTGGAGAAGCACCTGTCCCTGTCTTACCTGCACCCCGGCCTCAGCCCCGCCCCTCCATCTTCCCTGCTGCGAGAGCTGGGGGTGCGCTACCTAAGAGGGCCAGACGTCACCACGGTAACCTCCGCCATGGCCAAAGACCTCATGAAGATGGAGGGCATTCACTCAGGTTTGTGTCTTCAGAAAAAACTGTACACATTTTGTATGTTTACTATATAGGTCATGGCTCGTACAGAAGGCTGGTAGCATTGCCAATTATTTTAACTGAAAAAACAATAATAATAATAATAATAATAATTCTCAAGTAGAAAGAGCAATACTTTGGTGAGGAAAAACAGTGCTGTTACTTCAAAACAAAGGTTGAAGTAAATCTACTCTGTGTGAGTTGGTTTTAATATGCTGTTAAATCACGTATTCTGATACAGTAAATTCTATGTGTGTGTCTAAATACCTTCATGTTCTTAACTGTGTGTGTCCTGTAGAGGGCGGGCTGCAGAAACTGGCCAAGCTGCTGGTGTGTAACTTTCGCGCTCTGGAGCACGGATACGGAGAGGCCGACTCCATCCTGCAGACACTCAGAGACTTACCCATAATCCCCCTGTCTGACGGCCGCGTGGTGGCCCTCAGCACAGAGGGAGTCTTCTTCCCTATGGAGGAGACCAGCAACAAGAAGAACAAGAGCAAGGCTCACAACACTGGTAAGAACAGTGTTTTTAATAAAAATGCAGAAGCACAGTGGCATAGTCTTTGGATGTATTGAACTTAGAAGTCTCCACTTAGTTAAAATTCATAAACTGCTGTCAAACTGGTTCATTAATCGGTCAACATGCTTTTTAAATTATGATGAATACTGCTCTTTTAAAAACACTTAGCTTACACTGCTGTCAGCGTGACAGAGTAAAGCTTGTGCCCGTGCCCACCACAAAAGCAGGTATTGAGTGTCAACTGCACAGTACCACCTGTGCAACTAAACTAAGACTGTGAAGATCTGTGACAAAATATTTTCCTGATCTTTGATCAAAGAGGGCACTGGGCTTTATTTAAGTGGTTATGGATTAAGTATGTAAAACCTCCAAAGAAAATCCTCTGAAGTCTACTTTAGTACTTTCTATTTCGATTAAATCATGCAAGTGACTTCACAAGTGACAAAGTTCCATCCTGTACCTTTAAATAAAGGTGAACTTTCTATCAGTGTGTGCTTAGGCTCCTCCCAGCACCCCATGTGTAGATGTCACTGAAGTGTGGGCAGCCCCAGGGTCAAGATCAAATATTTAAGAGCACAGCACTCACAGTGTCCTGCAACCTTTAAGCCGTGGAAACTTAAAGTGGGTCACCTCACTCTCCCCCACTGAACTCAGAGCCATGACAGAAGACAGACGATTTATTCTGGCGTTGTTGGCGATGTTTCTAGATGACATTGCATTGGTATTTATAGGAGAGTAGATCATATGTAAATGCTTTATGTAACAAAATGTATTCTTCTTCTCTTTCAAACCTGAATAGTTTATGAGCCTATTAGTTTTGTAAGCGTGACTTTTGTGTGGCTGTGTGCTAGGCCCCCTGAGCGCGCTGTACCAGGACGTGTGCGTGGTCCACCCCACCCTGCTCAGCTGCATGGACCCTCTGGAGAGTCAGCAGGTCAGGGAGCTGCTCAGGAGGCTGGGCGTACATGAGCTGGAGCCAGAGGAGCTGCTTCAACAACACATCTACCCGGCCATACATAGTGCCAAGTGGAAGGTAACATACTACTAAAAGTGCCTTCTTCTCCATTGAGGCTATGTTTTTATTCTTATTTATGATGGTTGTTCCACAGTATGAGTTTACCTTCACAAGGCAAGAGTCTTATTTGTTACATATATTTCAGTTAGTGTTTTGCCTTTACACTTTATGTGAAAAACTCCCTCAAATTTGCTCAGATCACCTTCTAGCTTAAATCAATTTTTTGCCCCACAATCAATTTTCAGTATATAAGATCCAGAATAATACAGTAAGAAGAGACCAAGAACATGTTCCACTTGTATGCTTTTGGAGCATACCCTTATGGAGGTGGCACATCACCTGCATGATTCCATGGAAATAGAAAAGTTATATATTTGGGAACTTAGCCAAAAGAACAACATTTCCATGGAAACAAGACCAAATAAGAGTCACGTTTGTGGAGATGCAAACCCACTCACATTAAGGATGCATGTTTTCAGTGCAGTAAACAATAAAACATAACCAAATTGAACTTGATTTTAGTCTATTTTTGTCTAAAAAGTTACATACTGTGAATTTAAGAGTAATTGGTATTAGGTGTTAGAGATTATACTTGCTCATAGAACTAAAACTAGATACTCATTTGAGCAGGTATCAATACTAAAAAGGTTCAATTCACTGGACATATATAAACTTTTCCTGAATGTCTTTAGAATGATCTTGAGCTGTATCAGAACAAGTATAAGAGCACATAGACCAGTATACACCCATGGGCCACTATAAACCTACTAGACCACTGAGGGATTACACACATATAAGGACACGTGGGAATAGAAAAGAAAGTACCGTATTTTCCGCACCATAGGACACGCTCTTAAGCCTCCAACCCCATCAAAAAACAACTGAGTGCCCCACAATCCAGAACACCCTATACACAAATCCACTCGGGTGTCCCAGCACGACTTCATTAAACTACAAAGCCGCAGAACACGCAAACACGTATGGAGCAGACAGCGACCACACAGCAACAAACACTCACAGCCACACATCAATCCATGCGGACGAGGAACGGAACGGAGGAACTTACATAAAAAGCGAGTGCAATGTGCCACTTCTAGACACAACTGAACAACTGAGTCACTGCGAACACGCCGACAATCCAGCGGTCCCAGACAGCACCCTCCCTACATGCCACAACTGAACAAAGTCCAGAGTCACCGTGAACGCACCAAACAAAACCACTCACCCATCTAATTGTTGTGTTACGTTTAAGGTCCAGTGCGGTTTATTTGTGAAAAAAAGTTCAAAAATAGACCATTCAATGACGGTGCGCCTTATAATCCAGAGCGCTCTATAGTGCGGAAATTACGGTACTATGATTTAATGAAGAATATCACATGCTGTTGTCTAAATAAAGATCAGAATAATGACTATCAAGACTATTCCTTAGTATTGAAACCCAGATTTAGTTTTCATATTGTGACAACAGTACTTGCTTATTCAACATCTAGCAAGATTCACTTGTCTGACAGCACTCCTCAGCTACGTTGTTTTATTGTTGTAATATCTGCAGGTTGTACATTTCTACAGAACAGTCTTTGTTGTCTTACAGTCCAAACCAGAGGCGGTGGTGGTGAGCTACTTGGTGTTCATAAAGCAGCACTCCTCATCCTCCTCTATGCAGGAGCTGTCTGACACTGCAGTCCCTGTGCTCACCAGCAGGGGGCTGCTCTGTCCCAAAGACAGCCGAGTCTACTTCTCTGAGGAGTACGGCAACATCAACCTAAACAGCAGACTGCCCGGTATGTCCACACAGCCCTTTCACCAGGCTCAACACTAAAGTTATAATGTAGTTTCCTCATTACAAACAGACCAGGAGTTATGTTTTTTTTTTTCATTTACTCATGTTTAACTCACAAACCCTGCACATTTAGGCTGATCTCCTCTCTTAAACAGAAAATACTTCACCTTGTGATGTCTTGTGGTAATACAGGAAGTGCCCCATTGTGTTTTTAAACTCCAGACACTTTCGCTAGAATCATTTGAATAGTTTAAGCCCTGGAATTGTATAATTGTTCTGGATTTGCCATCCAAACAAATGTACATAGCGATCTTTTTGCATTCTACTACATTGCTTGAGATTTAAGATTCTTGAGAGTTTATTTTTAATTTGCCAACATTACTCCAACAACCTTCTTCATGGATGACATTATCAGTGACCGTAACATTTTCCTTTGCTAACCTGTGCTGCTGATTGTTTCCTGTGGGTGGTGCAGGCCATGAGTGGGTGCTGCTGAGCCCCTGTTACGCAAAGGCAGACTCGGACGTGGCCGGCTGGAGAGAGCTCTTCACCAAACTGGGAGTGAAAGATGGCTTTATCATCAGGAAGGAGAGGAGGACACTCACACCAAAGGAACTGGTGAGGATCATACGTGTGGAACCTAAAGTTCACCTGTCCGACGGACGCTTACACTTGTTGTGTTCATGATCAATACATCTCTCCAAATCAGACACTCCACTGAGTAAACAAATGATCATAATATACGCTGTTATAAGAACCCCCTCTTCCCATTTTAACCAGATTTGTTACAATCTCAGATCATGTAGCACTTAATCACCTTCACTACAGAGCATCTATCTGTTGGCACAGTGTTGCCATTGGAGCTCAACACTGAGAAAGAAATTCAAATATTAACAGGTCAAAGGCATTGCGGAGGCTAACCACCTACTAACCACCACTAACATCCATAACATCCAATAAGCACATTTAAAGCCAAGGTTCAGCAAAAGGCTTTAATAACTTTGTGCTGTGTAATGTGTCAGAAATATTTTATTTATTATTTTATTTAAAAATAAATATTAGGTCTTGCACTTGTTAGTCACCACGCAACTCCCTGAGGAAGCTTTCAAATTTTAAATACAGTGGCTGCCCAACCAGAGGGTGGCTCCATAGCCATGCTGCTAATTTGTCTAAATGCTTCACTCCCCTGTTTTGGCCCGCAGAGAGCATTCAGCAGCTAATCGTTATCAGCTAAGTGTCATCTATGAAAGGGAAAGCCTACAGAATGTTTTTGTAACTTTTCTGGTAAAGGGTCCAACACCTGCTTGTCTTCACAAAGAATATTGTCTGGCTGTAAAGTTCTACAATATTGGGATTAAATATCTCCTTGGAGACAAGCAGGTTAGGCCACCCACAGTAGAATGTTTGTTTCACATGATATTTTTGTCCAATAGAAACACACAAGAAAATGCCTGTAGTTTGACGCCTCTACATCTGAAGGCAGACCCCTGAAACTCATTGACGCACAGCAAATTTCACCACCAGTTCAGGTTTTTCAACTTGCCCATAAACTCGGTGCGTAAACTTGGCATGTCTGAATGCAGCATTATGCCATGATGACCCCCCCATCAGAAAAGTTTCATCCTGCACTTTTAGCATTTCATAATAATGCATATACATGTTATGAAAGAGGGCAAAATGTGTCTTGCCCCAGTACAGATATAATAAACAGCTCTTGAGGTCAGAATAAGGAAGTGTGTGGTTGGCATGCCAGTTGTCGTTAGCATTGCCGTGAACTCAGCTCTAGTAAAAAGTTGTGAAAAGTGCAAATAAACACAATGTGGTAAATAATTAGGATGTTTGGAATTCATAAGGTGTTAGACAGACTGGCTCCATCTAGTGCCTTCTCTCCAGCGACTACGTCAAGAATCAGAATACACTAGACGGTTTGCTGTGAACCCATGTCTGCATCACTTTTGCGGTTCAACACAACAGTAAACAAAGCAGTCGAGATGGATGTAGACAAAGCCATACATTCTATGTTGGCGACAATTCCCGAGATCGAGGATTTAAAACCGGAACAAAGACAATGTTTGATAAATTTTATCAAGAGGAAAGACATTAGTGCCCTTTTTCCTAGAGGATTTGGGAAAAGCTTAATATACCAGTTAGCCCCGTTAGCGGTGCACTACTTGCATCACTACCAAATAGCAGCAATTGGTTAAATTAAAAAAGTACCCACCTACCCTCGAGCGAACGAATCCTAATGCTGCAAGGTCAGACAGTTTCCACTAAGTGAAACCGACTGATGAATCAGGCTAGAATAACTTTGGACCCCTGCAAACTATTTATATGAAGCAAAATACTCTTTTCAGCTTCAAGCCATGTCAGAATGTTGTCACCTCATTAAAAAACAGAGATGTGTTTTGTTTCATTCACACATGTTTGAGTAATCCTGCATTAGTTAGTCTGTCTGCATCTCCAAAGCTCAAAATGCTCTGTTCCACTGTGTGATGTCATGAAGCAGTAGTTTTCAAATTAACATCTTATATAACATAGATCAGAAAATAGCATAATATGGGCCCTTTTAAAATAATTCATTTTTTCCACGTTTTTAAGACCGTAAAAAAACAGGTACAGTGTCTTCTAATGAGAAAAGCAATTATGTAAGACTAATGGCAATATTGACCGGTTGCATGGACACGTAAAACCTGCTGTCTCTGTACTCTGCAGAGTGCCTCACAACCAAATCCGCGCTCATTGTTGTGGGATCAGGAGTGCTGATGGGACAGCACCAGTAGATTTACAGAGCAGGGCTTACAGCAGGGGAACATTCTCTGCCCTTGCTTTAGCCTGGACCATAGCCACAAGGGATCATACGTCTATTGTTAGCTTACATTTAGCGCGCGCTGACTGGTGGCTATCTGAACTGAGGTGTGAAGGTGAAACGCCGTTCTTAATTACTGTTGTCAGTAATTATAATAGAGTTACAATAAGCATCGGGATTGACAGCATTGTTTATGATTAAATGAGCAGCATATTTTTTTTCCATATCAAACACAAAGGAACCGTCTACAAGATTTAGATTTTTAATTCCATAAACATGACAACTGTGTCCACATATATGAGGTAACCATGTTCAAATCAAATATTACTTTTACTTTTGTAATTAGGGATGGGCATTCGATTAAATTTCCTTAATCGATCGTCGGGAGAATTAACGATTGATTATCGATTAATCATTAACCTTTTTATATTAAAATTATCATCATTATTATTACTATCTGCACTACTAATCTGCATAAATAAATTCAACTTTACGACATATAAACTGTAACCACTCTAGATCCACATCAGCCCGTTTGACATTAGAATGTGTTTAATGCAGCTTTGCGCAACTCTCACAGAAACAAAACTTTAAACCGCATCGCTAATTTGCATAAACTAAGGGAAGAAAAAAAAAAAAAAAGGGCTCTTGTGCGCTGATGCGGTTCAACTTCTGTCGGATTAAAGGACACGACTCAGTGGGATACAGGTTAATGTGGGAGGTGGGGCCTTGTCATCGACATTGCGCGACTCTCACCTGGCAAAGCTTTTTCATGTTTTCGGTGTCCTGGTGAGCTTTTTCCCACTGGACACCGAAACATATGTGCTGCTTTGTACACTGTGGGCATGGCCTCACACTTGTCTCGACCAGGACGAAAAGCATCGAATTTCTTGTACAAGTCATCGTTAAAGGTTGTATGGAGGATTTTTTTTTGTTTCAAATTGTCAATGATAGCATTATAGAGATGCAGTAGCCTTGTAATTATGATGACCAAAAAAAAGAGAATAAAAATTCATCAACTCTGGACGTGGTGGGGCTAAACATTTGCCAATAGATAACGACACTGCCTCGTTATCTGTTGAGCTGACAGGCTGTCAATCAAACTCCCTACGTTTCTAGCGTAACTGACTTGCCTGTGCGCCGCCGGTACGTGGTTTACGTACGACTGTCACGCAGTCCACAGACGCAAGCCGCACAGACACTGTTCACTCCACCAACGCAACAGTTCTTAGCGGCTTTTTTTGACCTATATCTTCCTCGCAGTTAGCACAAAGTTTGTTGCAATGGCAGACAAGAATCCAGGAGCAGTTAGCCGCAAAAGAAAGTCTGTTTTTGAGATTGCTGAAAGAAGAAGACAAGGGGAAAAGCAGCAAAGCCAAACTAATGTGATTCTTGTAGATTCATTCCAGCGATGGCGCAACTGAAGCAGATGCAGGGTCTAAAGACTGAAGCATTGGTTGCCAAATTACTCCTGGACAGGTCACTTCTGCTTATTATGAAAACGTACTTTATTTCCAAGAGCTAGAAAAACGTTTTTCAGGACACGAAAGCGATATCCTATGTCTGAAAACGTAATTTTCAAGGCAAAGAAAGAGTCCGCTTGCTGCTGCGTGTTGTAGCTAGTTCATTCGCACTGAATCTCCGCGCAACCTTCTCTGCACCCCTTTCCTGCTCCTCTCCCCGCTGCCCGATCCGCTCTTCCCCCTGCTCCTCACTTCTCGTCCGCGCACCCGCTCCCCCCGCTCCTCACTTCTCACTTCTACAACCTTTAAGTACACATTTGCTCTTTGGCACGTTGCAGACTGACCGACTGTTTGTGTCTCGCTCCTTCTGAGTGCAGAGAGCTACATGTACGGACCCCTGTTTGTCCCCGGACACGGACGTTTGGTCACCCTACGCTAGCACTGCAACGTACATTCGGTTTGTCGATTAAAATGAACGTAATTGATGACATTCTTAATGATCAATTATCGATTAATCGACTAATCATGCCCATCCCTATTTGTAATGCTGATTTATTCTCATTTACAAAACATTGGATATGATGCCCAAGTTGTTTATATTTTAATTTTGGTGAAGACAGTTATCCAATCAGAAAGCAGAATGAGCCTCGCAAGTCTCTCATTTCATGTCATGAATGGGGCTCAGTAGTAACTCAGTTGGTAAAAGAGTTTGCCCACTGAGCCGCTGGTGGTTCAAATCCCGCTCTCGGCATAGCTGTCATGGTTGAGCGGTCAGATCCACTAATTCACAGGTTGATGGTGTGATTCCAGCTCCCACAGATAAATGCTGTTGTTGTGTCCTTGGGCAAGACACATAACCCACCTCTCCGTACTCTGGTGTATGAGTATGTGTGTGAATGGGTGAGTGGTTCCTTGTTGTAAAGCGCTTTGAGCTTTGAAAGTGGAAAAGCGCTGTATAAAAATGTGAACAACCGTTTACCATGAGTCAGTGCCAGTGCAGCCTCTGCATCTCAATTCAGGGAGTGAATTCTGGAGGTCCTGAGCTTTCACATGAGGCCTGTTCATATACTGAGAATGAGACAAACTTGTGTGTGTCCTCTACCTGCAGAAGGCACTGGCAACCCAACCCAGGTCCAGTTACGACTGTAGTAACTTTTTTAGACTACATACATGAGTACATTTTAAATCAGTAAAGAAAATGACCAATAAGGGTTGACAATATAATGATGTTAGTTTGAATATTAATGTTATTGTTTTTTTTGTTTTTTTTTTATACAATAATGACAATAGAAGGACAATGAAGCTAATGAGGTGTATTTTATTTTGCACAGCTTTAAAAGTACAACAAAGTATGTCTGAGAACATGTTTATTGTATATATAGAGCAAAGCTTACTTTGCATGCATTTGTAACCATGCCTATTCCTGTGGCCGCAGGCGTCCAGTCCATGGTCAGTGGAGAGCTCCCGGTGGTGCCAGAGCCGCTCGGAGGGCTGTGTCATTGATGATTACCCCTGTGAGGAGTTCTACAGCCTAGCCATGGCTCAGCTTCCCGACCCCCTTCTCCTTCAGCAGAGAGCCGCCCTGCTGGAGCTGCTGGCTAACAACTGGGACTCTGGGTACACTGCACCACTCCACATACAAAGGACTGCACTGTAGAACATCACATGGTAGTTGGTTCTTTAGGTTATAAGAGATCCTTTATTTGCCCCACATACAAATAATTTTAATTTTGAGGCAGCAAAACATGCCAAAAAGTACCCAAAATACTGAAGGTTGATATGATATGATAGGCCTATTAAAACAAACATTTTAGCTAAATAAGAGTCAAGTTTGTGGAGATACCTGCCTCCACAAACTTCAGTGCAAAAAAAAAAAAAAATATAATATATATATATATATATATATATATATATATATATATATATATATATATAATATAATATATATAATATAATATAATATATATATATATATATATATATATATATATAATATAATATAATAAATGGCAGGTTTAACATTGTCTATTATAATTATACAATTAAAAAAATATGCAATGATAACTCAATCTTTTAAAGCTAAAGATATTGTCCAACTGTTTTGGACTATACCTGGACATGAATACAAATTTAAAATGCCAGAAAAGCTAAAGAAGAAGAAATACTGTCTTTTTCGGATTATAAATCGCACCGGACTAGAAGTCACACTTTTTGGGGGAAATTTATTTTATAAAATCAGAGACCAGGAACCAACATTTCATCCTGAAAGGCAAGTTGTAGTAGTAACAATAGAACAGAGAACAACAGACTGTTAACGTCACATATGAACAGTTCTTCAGATAACTATAGCATAAACAACAGAACAGAACAAGTTTACCAAACTCTCCATCTCACTCTAAATTAGTGACTTCCAGGAAAAGTTGCATGGTGCACCCTCTTGGTTGTCACAAGTTTTTTAGTCACTCCAAACTTTCTTTCTGCTGTTCAATTACAGTTTTCAGCTGCAGGTTTCGCTTCTTGCAACTATTTATCTGCAAAAGATGATCGCACCTGAGTACAAGTCGCAGGACCCCCCAAACCATGAAAAAAGTGCAAATACTCTGAAAAATACGGTATCAAAATAGGTCAGAATTGGTCTGCTGTGTACTGTCTGCATCTAATTAGAAACTGTCAAAGAATCAGGAACTGCACTTGTTTGTTTTGTTAGCATTACCATGATGGCAAAATTCTACTCTGGTCTCTGAAAGTTTTTAAAGTATTTATAAACTCATCATGGTGAATAATTAGGAATAACTTTGGACCACTGCAAACATGTTTCACGTGTTTAAGTTTTGTAAGTGCCTTTAAAGTAATCATACTTTAACCCTGTTGTGTCAGTGCTATATCTTATATTGCTATCAAGTAAGTAGAAAATGTTCCTATAATTACCTTAACAAACACTACAATACTGCTGTACTGTGTAGTGAGATTGCTAGGTCTGCTCTATGCTCTTGTTCTAGCAGCTGGTGATAATGCTTGCTAATGGCTCAGGGTTTCCATTGTGTACCACCCCAGAGGTAACATGGGGTGACGCTAAAAGCTATGTGGTGTGCAGCGCTCTTTTGTGTGGGATTAATCATGGGACAGGCCAGGGATTCATCTGGATTACAGTTTAGAAGGCAGCTGCAGAGTTGGAGTAGGCCAGTGGTTCCAGTGAGTGAGTCCTAGGGAGTTTTGTGTTGTGATTATTATGAGGGAAAAAAAACAACAACAAAAAAAACTCTGCAGTTGAAAAAATAATATATAATATTCATGATTATTGACCCCATGGCCAGACAACAGTGAAATGCTTGCTGTGTATAACATTTCTGAATGATAAACTGAAGCTGAGGTGACATAATCAGCCAGATAATCAGCCAGATAACAAGCCCTTCCCATGAATTATACATTTTTATATCTCTAGTGGGTTCAAAATGTACTTATAATGTGGAGCTTTTTACTGTACTGCTGTGTTATACATTTGGCACAAAATATTTGATATGATTCAGTCTTAAAACAATAATCAAAACAAAAGACTATGCTATGGTCAGCTAATCAGAATCACCATTTTTGACTCAAATCCATGGGAAGAAATCTGGTACAGATCCTATAAATACTGGGAATGAAAAAAAAGTGACACCCAGCCTTACATAAATATATTTACACAAATACAGGCCAAGACCAGAAGGGAAAGGCATTTGAATAGAAAGTGTAGGTAACTTAAAATAGTTTCCATAATCAATTATCACACACAAAATACCAATGCAAAGGTGTCCAAAAGCATATTAAAAAGGTCAGAATAAACTTTGGAAGAAAATATAATTTTGGTAAACCCCAATTTGCACTAACTGCAAATAAAATACAGTATCAAGAGTTTCATAGCCAATATAAAAGATAAGTGCCACATCTCCACGCTGTGAATAGCCCGTTTAAGAGTGCTAGTAGATATAGGTTAGTCAGTGCATTCACTAATGTGTGGCACATGAAGAGATACTGTGATCACTAATGTAGGTCAGTGGTCTGCTGAAGAGGTACTCATCCATGTACTAGAGTCCTGAAGTCCTGCTTCATCAACTGTTAGCACCACGGGACACCCCAACACGCTCACACACAAACACACACGCACACACGCACACTGTCACACACACACACTTTGCATGTTTACAAATGTAATCGAGTTCACTTTACAATAGAGGAAGCTCATAACATGTATTCTGCCTACCATTTAAAGGAATACAATTAAATAAACAACCTGGCTGTGTAAATGTCCAAATCAACTTATTATGCTTTTACTGATAACAGTATCTTAAGATGATTATCCAGTCATTTGTTTTGCCAGCTTCAATACTGAACTCCAGGTTTAAGCCTAAAAGGACTAAACCAATCCTCAGTACCTACATCCACCATTAATCAGTACCTCTGCTGCTGCAGTATGCTGTCCAAACTAATGAGAAAGAGAAGAACTGGGATGTGTCCTTGGTCTGCAGTTGAACGCTCTGACAGCACGGATTCAGTTGTGATTGTAGTAATTTTTTATTTTATTTTTTTTTATGTATCAGTGCAGGCTACATACAGTTCCTTTAAAGCATGTCCACGGGTCTATTTTAGTTTACTATATATTGGTTAGTGTTGGAAAAGTTGCATAATGTAATGTCTTCACATGCGTTTGTTTCTTCCAGACACCACTACTCCCAGTACCTGACAGCCCAGGTGATTGACAGAGACGGCCGGACAATCGCAAGCACTCGCTCCTCTTTCTACTACTACCTGTGCCGCCTGGAGTGGGTGCCAGCACATCACCCCGTGCAGAGCGGACAAGAGCAGAGAAGCTTCCTGTGCCCCAGCTCTGTGTACCTGTCCTCAGAGGAGATAAGGGGACTGCTGGGGACGCACGTGTGGTATGTGGACATCCAGCCCAGCGAGTTCACCAGGGCACTAGGTAACGTGTCTCTAACATATGAACTATGATTTTTCTGATGGAAATAATTAAGCATGTTTTTTTTTTACTATAAAAAAATGTGTTTCAATGTTCATTTCCTAAACATAAAGAAGGCACACTTTCAGTCAGTGCCATTTAAAACTAAAATAGTCCACATGCTTTTATCATGCGGAGAATCACTGACTATTAGAAATGACTGAATCTAGACTCAAATGTGCTTCATAACATAGCCAGATTTGTAAATATCCTATCTTGCAGCATTTTGTTTAGCATCATTGCATACTACTTTAAAAAACAACTACTTTTTTACTACTTTACTACAAAACAAACATATGATGAACTTCACAATAAAAAAAAAGTACTAGAAATACAGGATTCTAGAACCAAGCCAACTGAAATGTTTTTGTGTGTTGACTCCTCTTCCCTCTTGTTCCTGTTTCTGTCCAGGCATGAGGAACACGGTGACGGTGGACTCTCTGATCTCCTACCTGAAGGAGTGGTGTGGGGGGGCCCAGGCTGAGGGAGAGGAGCCTGAAGGGTCAGAGTTCACATCCACAGTGGAGCACATCCATAATGTGTACTCGTACCTGTACAAGAACTGTTCCCAGAGTGTGCTGAAGGAGCTGTTCCAACACACACCCGCTGTTTTTGTGCTGCTACAAAGGTAAGGACAGACATATAGGGCTAGTCAGGTTTACCCTATAAATCATACATATGTTTGAATGAGAGTAGTTGAAAGTATCTTGGGCATTAAAGTACATGTGATGGGTTTTCTTGTTTTTTTTCTCATTCTGACTTAGTTTGGTGGGATAATACCTGTGGTCAGTAGTTATCATACTTTTACATCAGTTAAGATGCACTTTATGAGAATAAAAAAATAATAATAATCCAGGAAGTAGTTCTAAACCCCATCCAAATTGAGAATCTTTCTTCCTTAGTTTAATAAAATAACAGTTACAGTTACAGTTACATTATGGTTGCTAGGTAGCAGTTATGGAATTACCTCTATGCTCGTGTTTGACCAGTAAGTAAAAATAATAAACTTAAAATAAAGTTAAAATCTTAAATCTATGATGTTAACTATGTTTTAGTGAAATGAGTAGTCTAATGTGGCTTATGCACTATAACACTGAGAAACTGCTGTAGCTAAATGAACTACTTTGATGGGCGGATGTGTACAGGCACAGTGAGGAGTGGTGCTCGGGCCGGTTCTACCACCTGAAGGATGTATGCTGGAGCGACCCCACCTCCATGTTTTTCCGATACAAAAGCCTGACCCAGAACCCCTCCAGCCCTGTACAGGACCCCCGAGTGCTCGCCCCCTTCTACAACAACCTAGAGGACATGAAGGATTTCTTCACCAGGGTATACACTATTTTAACTGCTTTTTCCTCCACACACTTTCAGGCTCTGGAACCAAAAGCTGAGGACAAGGGACTGAGTTGAATAATTTCAAGGTTAAAGTGAGGAAGGGAGTTCTTTGACATCTCCAGGATTATCAGTGGATTCCCCTACAGCTGTTCCTATCAGCTATGGTTATGAGCTCCAGATCATGGCTGTCAGTAGTCTTAAACATTTAAGGAACAGTGTAATTGGACTAACAGGTATCCACACTTCAGTTCCGCCTCTCCAGACAGTGTTGATAATCAGAAACACATGGCTGTAATCAGGCCAGTCCTGCATGATTAGGAGTGTGCAAAAATATTTAAATATCGACATATTGTATCGTTTAATGTGGTGATACAATATCGATATCATGGGGCTGCTGTATCGATATATCACCAAGAGTATTTTTAGGTATATTTTACAAAATTATTGTGTCACAGTGCTTTTGTTGCTTGTTTAGAGGAAGAAAACTTGTTTATGCAACAAATTTGACATTTTCACTGTTTTGATGAATAAAATGTTTGTGTTTCATATGAACTTTGCACAAGACGTGGTTTAACAAAGACTTTTAGTATCACAGACATGATTTAGCCTTTATTTTTTTATTGAAATGTATCAAATCACTTTGAAATATATCGTATCGAATTGAAAGGGCACTGCATTGAGATATGTATCATATCGTGGCCTATGTATCGAGGTATGTATTGTATTCGCAACTTCTTAATGATACCCAACCCTATGCGTGATGTCACATAGTACTTGAAATTGCAGTAGTCAAAAAAGGACTAGAAACAGTAGATAATGCTATTCAAAAACCATGTACAGTGTAGTCACAAAAGAAAATTTAGCCATTGAAGATGGCGTCAGCACCTGACAACTCTGAAACTATACCTGAACCAACAGTAAAGCCATACACTGGACGGCTGCTCCCAAGGTCAACACAAGACCGAAACAAAAAGCTACAGCACAGAGACTTGGAAGAGGCCTGCAAACAGGAGAGGCTGATGGACAAGTTGGAGAGAGCGTACACCTCACTAAATGGCCTCTTGACAAGCATACACAAAAACACAGAAACCAGCAAAAATCATACAAAATATAAACAAAACAGACAAGAATGAACACATAGCAAAATAACAACTTCAACAGTGGAATAGCAGCCCACTGACATATTTTAAGACAACAGTACAATAAAAGTTATGCTGGACTGATACAAATTTGTGTCCTACATATTTACGTTTTTTACACTTTTACACTTTTTAAATTGGTGCCAGACTCTCTGATGCCTGATCATAATGAGCAGAATGAATAGATAAAGCAGCATTGTTTGAAGTGGTCTATATTTTTTTTGTTTCCAGCTGCTGAGCGTGAACAAGAGCCCCAACATAAAGCAGTACGTGGGCTTGTTGGACGTGGTGTGCTCCTCGTGTCCCATACCCACCAGTGAGGTCCTGCAGGATGTGTCTGTGCTCTACGCCACTCTGGGTAAAGACGCTTCTGCTGCAGCTGTGTTTATCTGCTTTATGTGGTTTTAAAATGACTCCTATCCCAACAGCTAACAAGTGCAAAATGCCAACTACTATGGACCAGGATGAGAGCACTCAACCCAGGCTCAACCTTGGATACTGTTCTACCCTCAAAGGTAAAAAATAAATACATAAATTAAATAAAAGACTATTAGGAATGAGTGGATATTAACAAATTTAATAACTTTACCATTAAACAATCTTCATTTGTGAGTATTATGATTTTTTAATTGATTAATAATGAATTGTTGTAATTTTTAACATGTACAACATAGCATTAATCTTAGCAATCTCCATGGAGACTAGCCAGTGAGTCTTCCATGTATTTTTTGGCTATAAATAAGTATGTAATTGAACAAATGACAAACCTTCCAGACTGATCCTCCATTAGAAAAAATGTGTGCTATGTACCTTTAAATATACAAATAAACTAAATGGATTAAGACCCCTCTAACTGTGTTCCTTTCGTCTTGGTCCTGTAGGGATGATATCTGATCTGAGAGTGTTTCCCACTAAGGACAACACATGGGTGAGTCTGTCCCGCAGGCCCATGCTCAGTGACAGCAGAGAGCTGGAGAAGGTCTTCAAAGCCCACAAGGAGCTGTGCCTGCTCAACCTGCCCCCAGCCGAGAAGAACACAGCCAAGAAGACCAAGAGCTCCAGGCCTGGTACACAAGTCCTGCTTAACTCAGACTATTAATCACACCCCTCCTCACTGCAAGAGGGATTGTGTGCGGTTCTTTAAAAAAATTTCAAACATTAGTTTATGATTTAACTCTAGATTTTTATTTCATCTAGAATATTTGACAAATTTTATTATATTTCTAGTGAAAACAGCTGTATGATAATGATACATTTCTCTTAGAAGCCCTTTTCTCACTTTAAATCATTTGACAAAGCTGCATTAACCTATTTTCAAACTGCGAAAGGAGGATATATTTAAAGCACAGTTTTAACTCTCGCATTCAATCCTACTGCTACTTATTTCCAGGGTAGTGATGGGGGGTAGAAGACTTCATTATCACTGTAGACAGTGTGCAGCTGCTTTTACATATTCTCTATGAGGAAAGAAACTACATTTACTCATTTACAAGAATAAAGACAGGTACCACTCTTAAAGTTATTTATTCATTCATTTATTAAGATACTTGTACCATAGCTGCCCTACGGCAAACTGATTACTTTTTTAACAATTAATAATTCCATTTCTAATTGTTATATTGTTGTGTTTTATTGGGTAATAGAAAAGTGTTAATGTGACAGGCACCACATGGAGATTGGCAACTACTTCGGTAAAAGCAAATGGGCTTTCTGATCATTTGTAAACAGAGACATGGCTGTCATTCTGCTCTTAGTCATGGGGTTCAGGTGTAAGGGCTCCTTCCTGATTTGATCCTTGCTGGTATAGCAATAGAATATATCACACAATTATATATTTTGAATGGGGAAAGGTCCTCCTAAAATCCTTTAAATCAGGAAGGAATCGTTGGCTTGAAACCCATGAATACACCTCTACATATCACCCATTACACAACCACACTGTGGGATTTGAACTACCAACTATCTGGTTCAAACAACAGCTCCAACACCTCAGCTTTTGTCACTCTATATTGAATGCAGTGTAAATACTTTCTCAGATCATACTGTGTGAAAGTCAACAATTCCAGACCTACCAATATAAACAACTTACCAGAAGTATTATGCAAAATGTATTGAGCTTTATATCATGTTATAACATTGTTCCCTCATCAGAAACATGCCAGAAGATGATGTCATCCACCCATGTTTGAGTAATTTAGCGATCTCTCCCAGGCCCTATTCAAACCCTGGGGTTAGCTGTAAGATTCTGTGCAATGCTCCCCCCACAAGCCTACATCACCCATGCTCCAGTACGACAATTCTACATACATATACAAATGCATGGTATAAAACAATGCTCTACAGCTTCACAACTTGATGCGATGTGCAGTAGTTTCATTAGTGGAATGCCCTCCGATTGTAATGTGATGTGATACCTATAAAACATGTCAATACAGCAAATATAACATTTTTAAAACAATAATAGATAACACTGTGATCTAAATATCTTTTATGTGTTAGGAGACCCCATAGAGGAGTAATTCCCCTCTTTAAACGATTTGAGACATTGTGTTGTATTCTCACATCAGGCCCCAGTACAACGTTCCAAGAGGAGGACCGGAGCTTGTTCCTGGACATCTGTGGAATCAAACCGCTGTCTGCCTGTGTGACCAGTGAAGCCCAAACAGAAAACCTGAGACCCTGCCCCAGTATGCAAGAGATGGTGCGCTCTGTGGTGCCTTACATCCAGAGGTTCTTCTACCACCGAGAAGACCTGTCCGAAGTCTACTTTGAGCTGCAGGAGAGCAACATCGCACACAAGATCAAGAAACTCTCCTTTGGACAGGTTTGACGGAACTTTCCTAGTTTGGATTTAAACGGCTAAAATGTAATGCTTAAAACCTTTTAAAGCTTTTAACTTTGTTTGTTGTCTTCTCATCAAAAACGTAACTGTAGTTGTATTTTTAATTTTTTTTTTCACAGGTGGGGAAGCTGTACCGGCGCTACCAGCTGGACCTCCCAGACTCGGACAGCATCGTGGAGCTGGAGGACGTCGTCTGTCTTCTCAAAGACAACAAGGAGCTGTACATCCAGAAGGACAACCTGGGATCCAGGCTGGACATCTGCAGGTCACACCTCTATAAATGGGATTCAGTTTTATCTCACAAACTATGAAGAAACTTATTATGCATTAGTTAAAGGTGCATTGTGCAACTTTTCTGGTGCAGGGTCTGTCACATGCTGATCTTATTGCTTTGTCTGGAATGTTCCACAGTGTGACAATAAATAGTTCTACCTTACATTTATTCAATTACAGGTTGTTTTATAGATCAAAAATACCTACAGAAACAGACATTCTGACTGTGAGCCGGATCGCCTCTCCACAGATCTGACCTGTAACTTGGTCTGGTTTGGTCTCCATGAAGATAGAAATGCTTAATGCCATACTGTGAAACATTCCAGACAAAACAAGAACATCTCCATGAAGAAAAGTATTTGACAGACCCTCCACCAGAAAAGTTACGTGATGCACCTTTAAAGGAACTGTATACATCTCTTACAGTTTGAGTTTATAGAAACAATTATAGAGTAAGGCACATATCAATATGACATGAGCCAGGCTACGTCTGAGTGGTTGTCTGGAGAAACAGGATGAAAATTGGACCAAGCGCGTACTGGGAGCTCCGTGTGCATGTAAACATAGCGGCTGTATTGTTTTGTTTTGTGTTGCAGGGAGCTGGTGAAGCTGTTCTGCTCTGAGGCGGCCCACAGGAAGGAGCTCATGCACTTCCTGAGCGGACTCATCACATCTCTGCATGTAAGTCTGCACAATCCTCTGGGAGCGATACGGCAACAAATGAGCTAAAGACAAAGCGTGTTAATGCTACACTTTACTTCCAATGATGATTAAAGTGGAACTAAACACCTAAACCCCGCCCATAATCACATTTCAGATAGAGTTGGTAAAGTTTGCCATGCCTCAAGGACTAAAAGGGAGAGTGAGGGATGAGGAGGAGTGGCGGGGTCTGGAGGACTAAAAGGGAGAGTGAGGAGGAAGGCGGGGCGCGGTCTTGAGGACTAAAAGCGAAAGTGAGGAGGAAGGAGGGGCGGGATCTGAAGGACTGAAGGGGACAGTGAGGTAGAGGTAAGATCTTAAGACCGAGCCCAATCCCGACGCGACCCGACCCGAAATTCGGGTCGGGTCGGGTCTAAAATGTCAATCATTACTTCAGGTCGGGTCGGGCTCGGGCTTCAAATAAATATATATATATATATATATATATATATATATATATATATATGTTTATAAAATGTATGCTAAAACGATGTGTGGATACTAAACTAAGGAATACTTGTTATAAAATAAATAATACGGATAAAACAGAGAAGTAATGTAATGTAATTGCTATTTAACTACTAATTACAGGAGCCGCAGAGCCAGAGCTCTGCTCACGTGAACGCCCCCTCTTAATTTAATAATCTTCCCCTCCGCAAGTCTGCATCTATTTTGACCTGGTGTCCCCAATATGGAGGAGCAAGAAGTTAAACTAAAGGCAGGAGAACTGAAAAGACAAACACGCACCGGTAAGAGTGAGGTGTGGAAAAACTTCAAATTGATTGTTGAAAATGCTACAGAAACTTGCGTTGGCTTCGCTGAATGTCGTCAATGTGGCGCTTTGCTTTCATACGAGAGCAAAAAGACTGGCACCTCGACGCTGAGCACTGCTCCTCCTCCCGAGTCCTCACAAATAAAATATGACATTTCGGGTTTGCTTCGGGCTCGGGCCTGCAAATCAAGTTAATTGGTCGGGCTCGGGCCGGGTCGGGTTTTAATACCCGCGGGCAGGGTCGGGTCGGGCTGGATTTTTTAGGCCCGATCTCACCTCTACAGTGAGGGGGGACACATTTAAAGTTTTATATTCTTTATTTTTTTTTGAAATTGCATAAAATTATCCAAAATCGATTCCATTAAAGTGTTAATGTAATCAGAAGCATAAAGCTAAATTATAATTGGTCGCCAAATTTAATGTTGGATTTTTAAATTTATTATTATTTATTTTTGTTTTATTTGACAAAAATGTGTGTAATTTATTGCTGTTGTCGACTAAAGAAATTCTTTTCCATTAAATAAAAAAGAAAGTAGAAAAAGCTCTCAAAACTATTATGTATTTCTTAACGATATCCAAATCTCTCGGTACGGTATTTTCACGATACACATCTCACGGTACAATATTTATTGAGATATTTTGTGGAGGCACAAAACTGTTAATATGCTTCTAACTAAGATTTAAAAGTGTTTATAACAGTTACTCCGTCATGTAGCCTGACTGAAATGGATCATGGTTTATGTAATTCCCTCTGTTTTTTTTTTTAGCTATTCCTGCACCATTACTCTTCATTTAAGCAGAGACTTGTAATTCGATATATTGTGATGCTCCATGATGTTATTGTGAGAACTTTGACGATTTATTGTCACAACATTTTGGTTATTGTTACATCCCTAGTATCTCTGTATCTCACCCAAACTGCACTCCCCAAGACTTCATCTGCAATCTGCAATCTTCAGCTAGCACACTCACTCACTTCTCCTTTCTGCTGTTCTTTATCATCTAAATAAAATAATGAGTTGACTAATCGGTTGATGGAGCCTAAATTTGTATCAATCAACTAAATGACTAAAGGCCAACAGGTCATTACTGGTGCATTTTATGTTGTTTATTTCTATTTACTCAGCAGAAATAACATTGTTTAGAACTGTGTCATAATCATTTAGTCGATGAAATGAACACTGTTCCATCATCACATGTTGTGTTTGAGAGAACATTAAACAGTTACGCATTACACTGTTTGGTATTCTGGGTCACTAGCCCATGTTATATAATCCCACAGGCAAAGAGCTAAGTCATTAGAATGTGTATGTGTAAATAAACTGAATCCCTCTCTCTCTGATTAATATTTCATAACATCACTCCCATCTGTAACGGCCATTCATTTCAGCTCTGATATGAAAGGCTTAGCAGTATTTATTTATGATTTGCAATACCCCCTGAGTGCTTCTACAGTAAGATTTCTGCTGAGATATCAGATGTATCAAGTAAAAATGCTGTTACTTTAAAATAATATGACTCAATTAGAAGTACCAAGTAGTGGTCCAAGAAATTAGGACTACTACTCAAGTAAGAGTAGTAGTTTTGTCTGTAACGTCTGATTTATCTTAAAGCAGACCTGTTTCGTAAAATGGACTTTTCAGAGCTTTATCCACTTTTACCCCATGTATTTGGAGTGATTTGTGCATGCTTGAGTCATCTATAATCACCAGTAAATAAACTTTGTGCTGTACTCACTTGGTTCTACAATTTTATTTTATTTTGGGGATACATATAGGAAGGTCTAGGCGATATGAGAAAAAAATGTATCACGACCCCCCCCCCCCCCATATTGATGTCTTCTTCCATATTATTAAAAACAGCCATATGAACTTCAGGTATAAAGGGCAGGCTCTCAGGAGCACTAGAGTTTTTATTTTGTGTTGATCTTTACCAAAGTAGAGATTGCAATCTGTCTTCCGATTTTTGGCTTAGCCCTACACGTGGGATGAAAAAAACTGCTCTGCTCTAGTGTGAGGTGCAGCTATCCACAGGAGGGGCCAACAGCATGCGATGCTTTGTTGTAATGATGCTTACGGTGACGTCAGCTCCCATTGAGCACTGCAGTTTTCCAACACCGAAGTCAGCGCACCTGTTTCTTTTATTATGTTATTTTCGATGAATATTGTTATTTTAAAAAGTGCTAATTGCGTCTGTTTTTGCAGGACCACGCCGCTTTGAGGAGGTACCTGCAGAAGGAGGACATCCGAGAGCTGCCTGAGGAAGAGGAGCAGTGGGAGGTCCCCGAGCCGCCTAAGCCCCCTCAGCCTGAGCCCAGCCTGGAGAGAGGTATGCATAAGAAAATCCCATTATCAAAGTATGCAAGAGAACATTTAAATTACAAAGTCCAGCTTCCTGTTAGTTTGCATGCATTTTTGGGAACATTTGACACTCTGAACATGGCTGCTGGAATTGGATGTTGGTTACTATAACTTAACATGCTACAGTCTCTCAGAAGATCTTCGATGCAGTGAAGGTACATCCTGAAGCCCTCTGTTTATATAGGCTTAAGTTTATTGTCTGGTGTAAAAGTGGCATGGATAAATGCACAACACCCAGTCACACAGAGGTTCACACTAGCGCGAGGTAACAGGAGTTTACAATCAGCGCGAGGTGTATTTATAAAGAAGGAGCTGAGGGAGTAGAGAAGGTCATACTGAGGTGAGCTGATACTTTACGCCATTTATGTCCTTGCCAAAGCAGTTTATTATTGATGTACTCTAAAGGAAAATTGACTTTCTCGAAGTCTCAAGCCTTTCCCCTCATCATTAGCATGGATATGGAGCTGTCACCAGGAACTGATAGAAAATATTTAAGTGAGATACTGTTAAACTTACATTTTTATTGTGGCCACTAATTTCAAAATAATCAGCTGTTTTAAGTTCCAGGCAAGTTCATTCTTATAACTAAAATATTTTCCACTCCCAGTTTTCTTCTGGCCTTGCTGAATGTAAAACAGTTTTGCAAATTTACAGCCCTACTTTTCAAATAGTATCAGTATTTCTTTTTGCTTTTACTGACAATTCTGCCTCAGTGTCACCTTCTGTTGTAGTGGGCTGTGGGTTAGCTACAGCAGCTGTCTCTGATACTTTCCGTGAGACTGGTGTAGAGCCCTAATGCAGTGACAGTCCAGGCTCAGGCAGACTCATCACTGTGATCCAGAGCTTACGGCACATTACATAACACAAGCAGGCTCAACTTTGGGCAATGACACACAGGGACTAAAGGAGAAAGCAGTAATGGTGTAGATGTGTAACCTTTTCAACTTACATGGAACTGTTACAAAATACAGATTATGTTCAAGTGATTTTTTTTGACCCTTTAAACATGTTATACTGTTGCCCCCTCAACAAAAACATATTTTTTTTGTTTGTTTGTTTGTTTCAGTCATGCTTGTGTAATTCATGCATCCAGTTTTCAGACAGTTTTGTTGCGTTATAGGTAATAATCTGGACTTCTCCTGTGCAGTTTTTAAGCCATCAACCATCACCAGACTCATTCTGTGGTCAAATTGTATTCATAATGTACACATGGCTCTATTGGCTCTAAAAAATATCAGTTGAGACTCTTTTTAAGCAAGCTTTTAAAGTTTTTGATAAAAAAAAATAAAAATAAAAAATCACTTGTAACATACTCAACAGAACCTATTAAACTTTTACAATATGCTTTTTTATTCTGAGATGGGGCTGTTCTACAGAATTCTCCACAATGCTGCGCCCTCTCCTTTAAGAGGCTTCTTCCAGTTAAGATCAGAGCAGATGACTAGAGCATCTTGCTTATCTGTAAATTCTGATCTGACCATAGCCTAAACGTCCTGTGTCCCTTATATACAGCAGCAAAAAACTGGAACACGCTTCCAGCTGAACTTAAAACTTGCACTAACTACCACTCTTTCTCTTATGGGCTAAAACAATATCTTCTGAGCAGCAGCATGTCAATATTAGGCTTCTTGAAACGCTTAAACATTCTGACTGATTGTACTGTAGATGTAATGTGTAGTCGGTAGACGTAAAAGTGTCTTATGACATTTGTCCTGATGGTCATGTTGTTGATGATTTGTATTAGAGCTTGACCGATATATCAGTTAGCCGATATCATCGGCTAATATGTGCACCTGGAAACATATCGGCTATCAGCCAGTATGTTTGTTGATATGGGCTGATATGGGCAAAAAAGAACTGGATTATCCATCACTAGTAGCTAGAATGTGATGCAAAAATGCCATTAAGCCGACCTACTGTGTGTAAATATGACGCAAGAGTCAGAATAACAATAAATGTTATCTAAATAAATCCAGTTTAAAATCTACTAGAGGCAAACCTATGTGTTTTTTAAACAATTCAATTTACTGTGAATTTTTGCATCACTAAATATATCGGTGATTATATCTGCTATTGGCAACTCCAACTCCCATTTTATGGGTATCATATCGGCCACAACAAAATCCATATCGGTCGGGCCCTAATTTGTAATTTAGAGGATAATAATACTGATGAATTTGGTAAATGATGATGAACTGAACTAAACTGATGAACTGATGAATTTGTGAAATGACTGTTTTAAATGTTGAATGATCAATTAGATAGTGGTTATTTTAAGTTAATGAGGAAATGTTGTTGTTAGAGTTGGTCTAATGTAAATAGTTTCTTTAATGTATTTTGTACCTGCCCAAGGTGTGCAGATGAAAAGGAGCTTGTAGCTAAATCTGGCGCAGAGCATCTTTTCTCTCTGAGACTAATGTTTTCTGTGCACTGTCCTTGTTTCAAATAAATGAGTAAAATTAAATTATTAGCACAACAGTCACAGAGGATAAGGGCTTCATATCAACATACTGTACCGGTAGTTGGGTCCTTGGGCACCAACACTACCCTGTCACCATAAGACTTGTTTACACAGCAAGAGATATGAAGATGTAGAATTCTGTTTACAATAAATGGCAGCAGTAATGAATAACAGTCTAATCTAATGTGTATTTCCCTGTTGTTGGCCAGCTTTCTCCCAGTTCTCTGTGTCAGACGAGACCCCTCGGCCGTCACAGGAGGATGGGGAGCAGACCCTGGTGTGCTGGCCCCCGCGAGCCTCCCTCTCCAACACAGGAGCCGCACGCAAAGGTACGCCACAGCCACAACTTGCTATCTGCTGCTACTGTTCAAAGCCCTCATTCATTTCACTTCACATGGGTTAATAGATTACCATTATGTAACCAGCTTTTTATCATTTTGTTTATGTTTCCCTGTGTATTTGAGCAAAGCTTGTCTTGCCCCAGTACAGACCTATTGTATAAGCAGCTCTTGAGGCCTGCATCTAATTATAAAGTGGTTTATGTCCGATAATCAGGACATGTGCGGTTAGTATGCTAGCTTTACTGTGACAGCAAAACTCCACTCTGGTCTCTGAGTGTTGTTAAAATGCTTATAAACTCATCACGATGAATTATTAGGATAAGGAATAACCACTGCAAACTGTTTCAAATCAACCAGTTCTGTTTTTCAAGTCAAAATCAAGCACCAGACCTTAGTGGAGGATCTGTCACCTTGCTTGTCTCCATGGTGATGTTGTTGCTTTACCTGGACTGTTCCATAGTATGACACCACTTCCTTGTATCATTCATTTTTCTGACCAATCAGAGCGAGAGGAGCTAGAGCGGAGTAGAGCAGAGCCAAAGCAAAATATTAAAAAGCAGTTTTTAAGATGACTGAAGGATTTTGAGCTGAGAAAAAGTTTATGATCTGAAAATACTGTATGTACACAAACTCCAATTATTGTGAAAGCTATAGGTCCCTGTCAGTCCCTGTCAGCTGAACTTGAGCTGTTTGTGTTTAGGGGGTCTACTAATCCAACTTGGAACAGCTCTAGTTTAGCAGTGCCCTATCCAGTTATTTGAATAGATCCATGACTCAGACTGAGATGAGCAGGTGAAAAGTTACACAATGCACCTTTTTAAAAAAACAAAAACAAACAAACAAAAAAAACTAAACTAAAATTGTAAACCTAAAATAAAAATGTAACTTATGAAATTATTTGGCATCACATTTAGACAACAGCACATGTGATTGCTTCATAAGTTTCTGATCAATCTCCCTCAAAAATTTTTCCAAAATTTTAAATCTAAGATATTCTACAGTATGAGGAAAAATATATATATATATATCAATTTAACTCTATACACCTGTTAATGAGTTGATCTTTTGTTTTTCTTGCAGCTGGAGATGGTGTGGTGGAGGCAGTGAACAAGATGTGGCCCCCGCCCGCTCCTCCCAAAGACAGGCAGTATGAGGGCCCCTCAGAGCCCAGGGACCATGCCTCCAGGGTCCTCTCCAGCCCTGCTCCCATCAGCCAAGAGAACCAGCCCCGAGCCCCAGAGCACCTGCAGAGGGGACACGGACACAGCCAACAGCCCTCTGCTCCAACCACCAGCACCTCCAGACACACAGGTCAGCAGCGCTAAGAACAGGATGAAGAGTTCTGATTTATTCCTGATTGAGACCGTTTAAAGGACCCGTGTTACACTATTTCCTGATCTCTGTTGTAATGTTGTTTCCTCATCAAAAACATAGCTGTTGTTGTCATTCATTCACTCATGTTTGACACAGAAATCCTACATATTTAGTATATTTTAGGATTCTTCTCTTAAACAGAAAACTCTCTGTTCCATCTTGACAAAGGAGAAAATCAATTTGTCAACTGGACAAAGGTTTTAGCTCGAAAATGTTTCGCAGCTCATCCAAGTTGCTTCTTCACTTCTGGTCAGATGCTGATGGAAACTTTCTTATATCTGCCTGAAGGGAGGAGCTAACTGCACTGAAACTACTGTGTTCCACCTTACAGTGTCTCAAGTGTTTTTGAACTCCATACCTCTTCACTAGAATCATTTCAATCATCTCTACTGAACTAAAAGTAAAGAGAGCTGTGAACTCGAAAACTACTTCTTATTTTGGGTATATTGAGCTTTGGAGATGTAGACAGACACGGTTTATCAAACATGTGTGAGTGAAACAAACATCTATCCAGGTCTATTTTTGATGCGGTAACAACATTCAAACATGGCTTAAAGCTCACAATAGTTAATTTTGTGATATAGGACCTTAAAGAAGACTTTATAATTTTGAAACATTATATGCAAATGTTTATTCAATTTTATTCACCAGTAGATGGTAGATGTGACACCTGTTTCCCTCTGTTACCTTTGTTCACGCTGAAGTGTGCTCTCTGTGGTAGATAATGATATGTGAGAATGCAACAGGGCCGGGTCAACTAATCTAATTACAAATAGTAGCTTTAAGTGAATGTTTAAACTTAATAATACTAATAACCTTTCTGGAGAAGGGTAGTAGCAGTAGTAGTAGTAGGGTAGTAACACTGTAGTTCATTCATTGTTATTTGCTGAATGATATAAACAACAACCCCAAATTACAAGAAAAGCAAGTATGAAGTACAGTATGAACAGCAGGTTTACCTTTACAGTTTCACAACACTAACCCTAACCCTACATGAACCCAGACTGCATTCAGGGCAATCTCAAACTAGAGACAGTTCGAGAAAACAAACAGTATGCATTGATCATTCGAGAGCTCTATAACTTTTACAAAATCATGCTTTATAAAGTATTTATAAAGGCTTCAGTTATTGATTTTTATCTAACATCCAGGTTGTTCCATATACTCACAGAAATACAAATCACTTTTTACTTTTACTTCTAGTCTTAATTTTTAAAATGCCTGTTCTTCTAAGGTTGCACTGACTGTTCTTGTGTACAAAGAAGGAGCATATGACTATAGGCCTTTACTTGCTATACTCAACAAGATCAGCGCACTTTGTTTTTGTTTTTTTGCTTAAAAGGTTCATATTATACTATTTCCTGATCTGATTCTGATGCGTTAATGTAGTTTCCTTATCACAAACATATCTGGAGTTGTGTTTTGTTTCATTCACATGTTTTAACACACAAACCCTGCATATATAGGCCGAGTTCTTCTCTCAAACAGAAAACTTCATTCTACCTTGTGGTTATACAGGAAGTGTGTTTTAAAACTCCTTGCACCTTCACTAGAATCATTTGGATGATGTCAGCCAATCTTAACTGAACTAAAGGAGCTGTTAACTTGAAAACTATCGCTACATGACATCACAAGGTGGAACAAAGCTTTGGAGATGTAAGCAGACTAATGACAAAGGATTACTAGAACATGTGTGAATAAAACAAAACACAATTCCGGGTATGTTTGTGAGGAAGTAACAACATTATAACATGGCTTAAAACAGAAATTTGTGTAATATATGACCTAAAAATATATTATTAGTATGTGATTCCTGCATAATTCCACACAGTAGTTCAGGTATGGAAGGATCGATTGGTTTGTTTTTATTTCGAGTCGCTGTTTGTGTCAAAAGAGAAGCTATAATCATATACATACTACATATACATTATAAACAACAGAAAAACACGTATCTTGAAAAAGAGTGGGAAGACGAAAAATATTAACCCGCCCCTATTCATTACATAGTTTTAAAATGATGTGGTTGCTGTACATTGATCACAAAACTTTACAAATATTTACATATAGCTAAATAAATTACATACTATGCATACTTAATATACTTTTAACCCTGTTTATTTATTTATTTTGTATTGTGCTGTATTATGTTTTACAGTTATTTTTTTAATTATTTTTTTTATCTGTATATCGATACTTTATGTATTTATTTATTTTCATTTAATTCTGTATTTATTATTATTATTATTATTATTATTATTTTAGTTATTTTTTTAGATCATCCAGTTCTGTCACTTCTGTCACCACAAAAGCAAAAACTCTTTATAGTTTCTTTTGAGAATTTGGGCACTGCTTCAGGTTTTCTTCCAATCCATTCCACAGACTGGAATAGATGAAGCGAGTTTTGCCTCAAGAAAGTTTTCATTTTATTCAAAATGTGTCTGTAAAGATGACATTGCTTTTTCCCCGCTTGTCTCTGTGGGGATAAACACATTTAAAACCAGACTGTGGAGCTTTCCTGGCTAAACAAGTACATTTCCATGGAAACAAGCTGTTTGTGTACTCTTGTCCAGAAGAGTGCCTTTACTGTATTTATTGATTTGAGTGTCCAGTGTTGCCATCACACACAGCTTTCTAGTCTAACCGCCCACACTGATAGACCTTGTCCCTGTGTGCCTGTCTGTCACCCACAGAGCCCCCAGAGTCCCGCCACAGAGCCCAGCCTGACGGACAGAGAGCAGAGGAGGCCCCTGCAGCGCCCAAACCTCCCAGCGCTCCTGAACACACCACCACGGATACTACTGCTGCTACTGCTGCTGCCACTACTACTGCTGCTGCTCCTGCTGCTGCTCCATCTGCCCTGCCCACTGACAGCTCCATCCCCACCACTGCCCCCACAAGCCAGGCAGACAGCCCGTACGGAGAACACCCCCACATGTACACGCACACACACGGGACACACGGGACACACAGGGCAGAGAGAGTACATTTATACAGATCCCAGAACAATTGCCAGGTTCAAAATGCCAGAACATTCAGCAGTGAGTCCCATTCAGCGAGTCTGCTCTGTTCACACATAACCTGGCATTTGTCTCTCTGAACAACACGTTTACTAATTATATGTCTGTGGTACAATGTTAATGCTGTCATCCACTTAGCAGCTCGGGAAGATTCTGGAACACCGGAGCCAGTGCCCTGTATTTTTTCCTATAGCCGTTAGCATCAGCCCGCAAAACTAGCAAATTCTGAACAATCCAGAGGGTGTGGGCTGGTACCAACTCATTAACCACATCTAGTTGAGCTCAGAGCCATGTTAAAACTCATTGTTGACTGAGTGTGTAAACCTTTAGCCGGTTTATTTTAGATCATAATTGGCATGTCAAACTGGCATCTCATATAAATATGCTTAAACTATTTCTCCCAGTCTTTAGTCAGAGCACAGCTTTATGTACGACTCTTACTGTGAACTGACTCTCCTGTGTGTGTGCAGAGTCCCAGGTCCAGAGGTGGTGGTGGTGTCCGGTGTGTTCCAGGGCAGTGCGGCTTCAGCAGACCCCCACCGCCCCCCTCTGCACATGGACTTCCCCCAGTGGAAAGGGGACATGTCTATGGAGGACATGGTGATCGCCTGTGAGAAGCCCGACACTGTAAGTGTAGGCCTGCTTGCTCAGAGGAACATCACTACTGTGTGTAGTGGAGTTTGACTCGTTAAAACTGCAGAACACACTGCTCCTTGTTGTTTAATGCTTACTTCATAAAGATTTAATTCATGATGACCAAATTGTTTATTAAGGATGATTTAGGCTTACTAACTACTTATTTAGGGTTTTAGGCTTAGGAGTTGAATTGTTACTAAGCCTGAATCATTCTCAATGAATGTTTAATGTTTAATATAGAATGAAGAATATTCTAAATAAAGCCATAGTATGTAACTTTTTGCCAAAAAAATTACTAACATAAAAACATGTTTGTTTGGGGTTTTTTTTTTTTTTTTTTTGTTTTTTTTGTTCTTCAACATGTTTCGTGTTAATGCATGGAAAAACATGTCCTTAATGTGAGCAGGCTTGCATCTCCACAGACCTGACTTTTGTTTGGCCTCCTCCTGCTTATTTCCATGGAAATGTTTATTTAGGCATAATCTTCCACAGTGTAGCATAAAATGTATCTGTGTATGGGGTAGAATGTTCCAAAGTATGTTTTTAACTTTCTGTTTCCATGGGAACATGCAGGTGATGTGCTACATCCAGAAAGTTACATACTATTACTTTAAGGCTATGAAGAGTGTAGTTATTATAAAGTGGTACCACATAATCGATGACAAGTATAGGTACTGCTGCCAAATATGTACAGCCGTAATCCAGACCTAAACCTAAACCTAACACTGACCCCGCCCTCTCCAGGTGTTCTTCTCTGACCAGAAGGACCTGGTGGCCATCGGTGAGTGGGGGGAGCGCCTGGTGCACTCCTTCCTGTTACACTGGTGCAACGGCACTGACCCGGCCCGCCCTTCCTCCGTCTCCTGGTGCAACGAGCGCGGAGAGAGCGGCCAGCCCTACGACTTCCAGCTGTCCTTCACCCATCCGCACGGAGACGCCACCACCGTCTTCATTGAGGTCAAGTCCACGGTGAAGACGGACAAGGCCTTCGTGCATATGTCCGCCAACGAGCTGGACTTTGCTCTGAAGAAGAAGGAACAATACCACATTTACAGAGTGTACAGCGCCGGGGATGCCCAGCAGGTCCGCCTGTGCCGCATCCAGAACCTGGCACAGCACCTGCACACCAAGAACCTGGAGCTCTTTCTGTTTGTCTAAATGGATCGGCATTCAAAGAGTCTGCACTAAAACATGATGGTGACACTTTAGTCCTGGGACCACGTGTGAATCACTAACCAAGTGGGAATCAGTAAGCTAATTTAGTGGTTTTCACAAAATGACTTGAAAGATTTGGTTTTAAAATGCTGACACTGTATTTAATGTATTTCTTAACTGGTAACTTAATATTTTAGTAAAATTAGATCAGTTAAGCATGATTTTGAATATTTTTAACTGCAGTTATTACAAACATCTAATTCATTTTACCATAGGGGTACCGATAGGAGTGGGTGATGTGCCAAAAAATATAAGCTCAAGATTTTCTTGAAACAGATCACATTTTTTAGACTTACTATATACTGCCTGTAAGGACTCAAGTCATCTCCGGCTCTTGAAAGTTCACCCTTCAGTATGATTGGTTAACTCCACACTCACTCAGAGACTGACCAATAGGAGAAGGAGCTGAGGGAAAGTGTCTGAGTTGAGTGCTGCTTTAAATTAATGAAATACTGAATCGCCAGCTGATGATTTCAATAAAATAGCAGATTGTCAAAAGGCTCACGATTAAATTTTTATCACGAATTCGCCCAACTCTAGGCCCCGACCTGAAATGTTTAAGAACTCTTATGTCAGTTATAGTGGTTATTCATCTATTGGTTTTCTATTAATGTGTATTACAATATAGTCTCTGCTTATAAAAGACGATAGTGTATGTGCCAAAGCATCTGTTGTTACTGCTTATGTTAATTAACTCAAGTTTTAATTTTTCTTTATGGCTAAATACTTGTAAAACATAAGCACAGACAAAAAGCATTAATGAGTAATGAAGGTGCACTTGGTTTTGCACTGTACTATTATCCAGGAATCTGTGGTCCCAGCATGACTTCCTACTGCACTGAGATGAGTTTTGATGTGCCTTTTAAATCTGAACATTCCTTGTATATTTCATTTGATTTGTTGTTGTTCAGTCTTTTGGTGTTTTGATGGTTTTATCTTCTGTTTTATACTTGCACTTTTAATAAAGCCATGTTCCAGCGGCTCATCCCAAGTGTCTGTGTGAGTGTGGGCTGTAGGGCAGTAATGAGTCACCTTTCTCTTACAACACAAGAAATGAAAGCAGTGATAATGGCAGCATTCACACCAACGTCTTATGAGCCATATTTAGAGCAAGTCTACATATACATACTATATGTGTTTAAAGTGTAAGCTATATATAGAACTTAGTCCAACAGCCAAATGGTACAGTATAAATGATTCAAACTAGTGCTGGCTGATGTTCCTACTCATTTGGAATTAAAGGGCTTGTGTCCAATTTTCCCCATATATTAGGGGCAGAATGTCCCTAATATTTATTGCCCCTGTACAGATATATTGTATAATCAGCTTGGGATCAAAATAAGTCATCTGTTTACTATCTGCATCTAACTATAAAATGTTTTATTATCCAAGTGGGAAGTTTGCATTAACATGCTCACAGCAAAACTCTGCTCTGGTTTCAGAGTTGTGAAAATTGCTTATAAGCTCATACTGGTGATTAATTGTGATGCTCAGAATGTATAAGGTAAGTGAGGAATAACTTTGGACCACTGTTTCAAATGAACTAGTTTTGTTTGTTTTTTTCCACATTGTTAAGACGGTGCAAATCAGGTAGAGAGCCTTTAAATACTCATGACATTTATTTATTTATATTTATTTATTTTTTTATTTTTTTTATGAATGAATGCCCAAAGCGCTTCACAGTGCATGATTCATTCACTACACACTTTTGATATCTTTATACCAGCTGGTGTGAACAACTGCAATACAAGCTCTAATACTGGCAAACTATTGTACCTGTCCTTACAATAAGCTCTAATGTGTAATCCAAGCTCAGACTGTGTCTAATGCCAGTGGAACAGCTCAAGTGTAGAGAATGCACTGAAGGATGTGGTAGTATTTTGGTATTTATGTTACATAAGGAGTGCTCATTGGTATGGAACTGACCTTCAATGCTCTCATGTTTATGTTTTAACTCTGCAGTGTTCAGATTTATGTTATATTTATTTTGTAATAGTGCTTTACAACAATCAGAGTGGGACTGAGCCCATGTTTCAGAAATTTCAAAGGTTTAATGCTATTATGTGGAGCATTCCAGGCAAAGTAATGACATCTCTAGAAAAGTGGCATAATGGACACAAAGATGAATACACATGTCCTCAAATGAGCCTTTACAATTTAAAACATTTAAAATAATAGTAAAAATTATTTTTTTCTAGCTGCAGTACCATGAGTATTTAAACTGGTCAAATAACGTATCAACAACAAATCCATTGAACAACAAAACAAATATTTCAGGCATTACAAAAGTTGTGGCTGTATTTGTTGACATGTTTACCTACATTTTCCATAGTCCCTCTTTACAGGCAGAGCATCCAGAGCAGCAGCCCTGTGGTGAACACAAGCGCCCCTGTTCCCCTTGTCATGGGACTGAAGAGAGCAGCCTGAGGGAGCAGTGACGCAACCACCCCGCAACCAGAGGGTGTCCTGAAAAACAACCTCACCGCAGCACATCACCACAGTATGTTAGAGTGTTTTCACCTTTTTCTAATAGGCTCCATTCATGCTTACATCACAAACAAGGAAGACGTTTGGAGACATGCGATGACAACTTCCTGTGGGCTCTGTTCTACGAAAAAAAGATGTTCCAGTTTTTCATCTCCATGTCATTGTAGTGTTCCGTTATTTTCGGCTAATCAACAATTCCAACCATACCTCAGTTTTAATCATTTCACCACTGACACACAACTCTGAGTCCACTGGGTACATGTGATTAGAAGAGATGAGGCAGTACATTCCAGATGATTCCAAACAGCACATATGTCTGCAGTCTTCATTTTACCACTGATCACATTTACTTCAGTGGGTTTGATCACAGTCGGTCAGCAAACCCAGTGTCAGGAACCACCGAAAGTTGGCACCGCATGTTTCCAAGCGTCTTCTTGGTTTGTGACGTAAGTTTGAATCGAGCCTATTCTGTTCTGCTCTCTTGGTTTAGTGTGCAGCACCTGTGGTAAAGGTCAGTTAAAGGTCCTATATTACTGTTGTAAGTTTTAAGTCATGTTATAATGTTGTTAACTCGTCAAAAAACAGACATGGAGTTGTGTTTTGTTTCATTCACATGTTTGAGTAACTCTTTATTATCAGTCTGTCTACATCTCCAAAGCTCAAACACTCTGTTCCACTTCGTGATGTCATGAAGTGGTTGTTTTCAAGTGACCAGCTTCTTTTACCTTTAGTTCAGTAGAGATTGTCAATTCCAGGTCAGAAATGATCCAGATGATTCTAGTGAAGGTGCGGAGGTTAAAAACACTGCAGTGTTGTAGATGTTCATTAATATGCACTGCCCCTATTAAATAAATAAATAATAAAATTAATTAATTAATTTAATGTAATTTAAAGAAAAAAAAAAAGAAAAGTGGAGCATCTGTATCCTGTATTACCACATGACATCACAAGGTTGAATAGAGTTTTTTCTGTTTTCTGTTTGAGAGAAAAACTCAGCCTAAATGTGCAGGGTTTGTGTGTTAAACATGTGTGAATGAAACAAAACACAACTCCAGGTCTGTTTTTCATGAGGAAGCTACATTCCAGCATAGATCAAAAAATGTGTTTGTAGAAAAAAGTTAGGAAAATTATCACTTCTTCTAGAGTTCCAAAAATGATTCTCTACCAATTTTGTCACCTATAGACAAAATTCCATCCTAAAAGCAGGGACAATATGCAATGTAACACATGTTAATCTGTTGTTTTCGGCAAATATAGCATTTTCAAACCAGTAAAAGGAACATGGTGATTTAAATATGTTAAAACCCTTTAGAGGCCCTGCAGTCACATGGCCGTTTTTATTTTGGTCGCCATATTGACAGTCCAGATGACAGTAGCTAGCATTCTAATAACATACTCGAGATGATTTTTTTTTTTGGTTCTTCCTGTGGATCAATCCTGCCCATCGCTTTCACCTTTCAGTATTTTCCAATTCCGTTGGGAAGGGAAACAGTTTGAACAGAGGTTTGCAGTCACACACATCTGATCCCTTTTTGCATTTCTGGAGTTCGCAAACTTCCGAAGCTCATTTCTCGAGACGTTTTCCGCTGTCAGGATTCAACAACCACACAATTACGATGTCCGAATCCCAGAACAAAAATATGACAATATCAGAACCAGAAACAAAAGCAACATGGTTCAAAAGACTTGAAAAGATCGGCTTTGTCAATAGACGCATTCATTGGGAAATCAAACATGGTGGTTTGATGCTCACTTTTTCGGACGGCCCTTCCCAGTATGCATTGCGCGATGAGTGGAAGTCCGAAATTCAGGCTGCATGTATGTGTGCGAGCAGATTCCAAGACGCAAAATGACTTCTCTTTGGGAGTGAACAGCTCAACCTCAAAACAGACCCGAAATAAAACATTAAATATAAAATCTTGATCTGTTTCTATACATTCTGTCAAAATTTGAGGTTATTTCAACAGGAATTGCCGGAATTACTGTTCTGTGAAATGATGCCAAATTTTTGGGACACTCTGTATTATTAATTTCTATGGCAACAGTCCTAATTTCTCATCATTCTGAAACCCGTGAATATGACTGAAACGTTGTTTTCATTTATGTAACTAAACTCCGTGTGAAATCTTGTGTAAATCCAGTGTTGTTTTCAGGCCTCTGGTCATGGGGCACGAGGAGATCTAACAAAATGGCCACCACCACAACAGCCCGATTGTTGGATAAGGACATTAGCTGCGGGACGGTCCATAGATAGCATTGTGGAGAACAGTGTTACGATGAAGTGTTTTCACAGTTTATACTAATGGATCTTCTGCTCTGGGCTAAATATAGAATATAATACAGAGTCACGCTGGAGTTACCCATAGTTTGTACACAAAGTTCAAATCTGGGTATCGGTGGTACACTTTAAAGGTGCATTATGTCAACTTTTCTGGTGAAAGATACGCCACATGCTTGTTTCCATGGAGACAGAAGTTCCAGAGTAGTGGTTTAAGCCATGTATATGTATTTTGGTTTTAAATTCATGACCGCTGTCCTCAAATATGAAGTAAACATGTTCAAATCAGACAGAGCTTTAACTGAGAACAACTGTAGCGCTGATGTATTCTTTTTAAAGGCCCTATATTATGAAAAATGGACTCTTCTCTGTAACTTTTAAGGTGGAGGGTCTGCTACTTGCTTGTCTCCATGGAGATGTTATTTAATTTGCCTGGAATGTCCCACAGTAGGCCCTTAAACATGTCTTCCCTCCAATTGCTCAGTTACAGGTGTTTCATAGCAGAAATCCCTTAAAAACATGAATTCTTACCATATGCAGGCATTTGCTAGTCTGATTCATCAGCCGGTTTCACTTCATGGAAACTGTCTGACCTCGCAGCATTAGGAGTCGTTCGCTCAACAGTAGGTGGTACTTTTTTATTTAACCAATGACTGCTATTTGTTCATGACTTATGTAATACACCAAATCTCATAGGAAGAAGGACAATAATGTCTTTCCCCTTGATAAAATTCACCAAACATTCTCTTTGTTATGGCTTTAAATCCTCAATCTGGGGAATCATTGCCAACACAGAATGTCTGTCTTTGTCCACATCCATCTCGACCGCTTTGTTTACTGTTGTGTTGTACCACAAAAGGGACCCAGACAGTCACGGTGAGTTGACATCATCAACTTCCAGGGCTCTTGCAAACCGTCTAGTGTATTCCAATTCCTGACCAAGTCGCGGGAGAAATGAAACTGAGCTGAGGCACTAGCTGGCGCCAGCCTGGCTAGGCATTTGCATCTCCACAGGTCTGACCATTAACCTTTCTCCGTTGTGATTCCCAAGTTTACTCCCATACTGTGGAATAATCAAAACAGTAACATCTCCATGGAGACCAGAAGGAGGCGGACCTGGCACCAGAAAAGTTACACAGTGCACCTTTAAGCCATGTTAGAATGTTGTTACCACCTTTTTATTATTAGTCTGTCTACGTCTCCAAAGCTCAAAATGGTCTGCTCCACCTTATGATGTCATGAAGCTGTAGTTTTCAAATGCATTTATACAACAGCTAATTTTACTTTTCATTCAGTTGAGATTTCCGGTCTGAAATGATCCAAATAATTCTAGTGAAAGTGTATGCAGTTTAAAAACACAGTGGAGCACTTCCTGTAGGCCTACAGGCTCTATTCACGCTTATGTCACAAACCAGAAAGTTGTTTGGAAAGATGCGATGACAACTTCCGGTGTAGTTCCCGACATTGGACTCACCGACTGACTGTGATCAAACCCTCTGAAGTAAACGTGATCAGAGGTAAAATGAAGACTGCAGACGTATGTGATGTTTGGAATCATCTTAAATTTGGCGCCTCATCTCTTCTAATCACATGTACCCAGTGCGCTCAGAGTTGTGTGTCAGTGGGGAAATGATGAAAACTGAGGTCTGGTTGGAATTGTTGGTTAGTCGAACATAACGGAACATTACAATGATGGAGATGAAGAAAACTGGAACATTTTCTAATTTTTCGTAGATTTTGTCAGACTTACTACCACGAACAGAGCCCAAAGGAAGTTGTCATCGCATGTTTCCAAATGACTTCCTGGTTTGTGAAGTAAACATGAGTAGAGCCTATTATTAGTCTGGGTACATCTCCAAAGCTCAAAATGCTCTGTTTCACCTTGTGATGTCATGAAACTGTAGTTTTCAAGTTCATGTATACAACAGCAAATTTTACTTTTCTTTCATTAGAGCAGGAGTGTCAAACTCAAATTCACAGAGGCCAAAATTAAAAACTGGGAGTAAGTCGTGGGCCAAACTAAATATTTATTGAACAATGTCAACAACATCTGCATGTTTTCGAGATATGTGATGTTAAACATTTTCTTATTAAAATAAATGTTTTTCTTAAACATTGAATCCAGAACAAGCATAATATAAAATAACAAAACATTTTAAATAAATAATATCTCTATAGACTATCTGTAGCCGGTGGGCAGCTCTAATAAATATTTGATCTTGTGGGCCAAATATAATTATACTGCGGGCATAATTTTGCCCCTGGGCCTGAGTTTGACATGTCTGCAATAGAGATTCCCAGTCTGAAATTATTCAAATGATTCTAGTGAAGGTGTATGCATTTTAAAAACAAAGTGGAGCACTTCCTGTAGGCCTTTTACCACATGACATCACAAAGTGCAACAAAGCTTTTTCAGTCTGAGAGAAGAACTCGTTATTATTAAGCCTAAATATGCAGGACTCTGATTTATTCACGTCTTTTTTTTTTTTTTTTTAGATTCTTAGACTCTGGTTTATCACAGATAAATTCCCGGTGCATAATTCAGCCGTGCTCCTCCCGTCAGAACCCGGCTCTGACAGCTCCAATCCCGGCCCTAAACTCGGCCTGCGTGCGCCCGCTGTTACCGAGCCTCTGCGCTCAAGCTCCGGGCTCCTCCGCGCACTCATTGGCTCTAACCTGTCTAGTGGGCGTACCCGTTTCCTTTTCCCTCTCTGTGATTGGCCCGCGTCGCAAAAAGAGGCGTGTTTCCTCCTCACCCTGTCCTCTCCCCGCCGTCCCCGTCCTCCCCCCGCGGACAGAGCGATGCGGCTGCGGTAGAGGACTCTGGGATGCTCGGGTCTTGCTTCCAGCGCTTCTCCACGTCCACCTGCACCTGCTCCAGACCACGGGCGCACGGACAGCTCTCCCCGCGTATCCCCTCTCCGAGCCGGGCTTCTCCTCCCTCCTCTCCCCGCTCCTGGCATGCGCTGGTGCCGCAGGGTGTGTTTACAGCAGGCGCGCTCCTCCTTGGCTCCCGGGCCGGACCACACCGCCAGCATATGGAAGCCGAGCGAATGGTGAGTCCAGCAAAACGCAAGACACCCGTGCACCTGCTCACATGCGTTTTTCCCACCATTTCATGTTATGTTTTAACCTTAATTTTATTTTTTTTCTACGCGCAGGTTCATTCTGAGTACAGTTTCAACATCGTTACGTTTTGATGCGTCGTAATGAACGCGCTGTAATCTATTTTGTCAGTTTATTTTGCATTTTTTTAGCTCCATAATTGCCATTTTTTTTAATGTTGTATATTTAGTTTGCTGGTTCAAGGCTGGTGCAATGCATGTGTCACTATTGCAGTACGGGTACAATGCAGGTGACGTGACGTAGACGCGCTGTTTACACTACATAAGGCGCCAGAGACGGCTACATTGCAATTGGAAGTGGGCCAAAGTGGGCCAAAGGTGGAATTCTACTCTGCTCTGTGTGTTATTCGGAATGTGAAGGCAGAACTATGAGGGAAAAACGTGGACTGAACTAGGATCTAAACAAGGACTACTTGTCAGGGTGCAGGGTTCGCATTAGTTCTGGTTTAGTCCAAGTTTAGTCTGAGTTTAGACTTAGTTTACTGGTCTAAAGTGGTCTAAAACAGGACTACATCAGGTTTAAAGTAAAGTCAGGTTGAGAACTAAACCAGGCAAAGCTACAAAGGCCAACATCAGCGCAAAACCATGTCTGAACCAAGTTTAAATCAGGACTACACCAGGCCAATAACTAAAGGACTAAACTTGGGTTAAACCAGGGCTATGACTAATCAAGAAGTAATAAGTCAGAGCTACATTAGGACTACACCAGGTCTAAACCAGGACTAAGGGCTAGGTAGGGCTTTATCCAAACCTGGACCATTCTAAACTAGGACTTCTGTTGAACTGCAGAGGACAACATGTCTAAACCAGGACTAAGTCTGGACTACATTAGAAATATACAACAGGACTGAACCAGGACTACACCAGGACTAAACGAGGGCTACACTAGGACTATGTCAGGTCTCAACCAGGACTATAGAAGGACCGTACCAGGACTAAACTAAACACCATGATAAACCGGAGCAGGATTAAAGCTTGAAACAGCCCCGTCTCGCACGCCGGTGACTTATTGTGACAGTAGTCTGCAGTATGAACACAGGAGACCAGGCTGAAGTCCAAACCGGCTCAGATCAAAGCTGCTCTAAAGCTCTGCTGACATCTCCTGCGCTGTGAGTCCCTCTCCTCTCTCCCTCCTTGACAGTTTGAAGAGACATTTTACTGAATCTGAAATTAAAAGAACCGTATGAGCGAAGAAATGAGGCCAACATGTTCAGATCAAATAGATGATTATTCGATCAGAAAACAGAGTGAGCCTCACGAGTCTCATTTGGGATGTATCTGATATGAATGGTCTCTACCTAAACCTCAGCTTCCTGCAGCCCCCCATGAGTCAGTGGGAATTCTGGAGGTTCTGAGCTTTCACATGAGGCCTATTCTGTCCATAAATTGAGAATGAGACAAATGCAGGATGTGACCTCTATCTGCAGGTTATGGCTCTGGCAACACAGGCTCAGTTCTGGCACATTTTTTAAACTGTAAGTGCTCCATACAATTCCTGTAATGTGTCAGATATTGGCGTATCAATATCAATATACTGCTAGTACACTGAGTCTTGGTTTTGTTCCAGTACTACAGTTTTTAAATCAATCTGGCTCATGCTTCCAGGGGCTCTAAACAAAATCTGTCTGGGGACCATCACTATTTCATTGCTAATGTTACTCTTGCACTTTAAGTTACTACAGTCACAACTGAACCTGCAGATAGAGGACACGTGCATTCTCAGTATGGACAGGCCTCATCTGAAGCTCAGCACCTCTAAAATTCCCTCCTTGAGCTGCAGAGGCTGCACTAGCACTGACTCATGACTAGTGCAGGCTGGGGTTTAGGGAGTGACCATTCAGATCAGATTTGGTGCTACTATAATGTACCACATTTAGTCACTTCATGTATTTCCTTCAGTCAGTTGGTCAGTCCAAACAAAACAGCGACATCTGTTGGAGCTTTGAGGACATATACATCTAAAATGTTTAATATATTTTGACTAAAAGCGTAGTAATAGAACATGGATCCAGTAGCATTCGACAAGACTTCCCCTCACAAACACAAAGAAATGCAGTTATTTAGTTGTGTCCTTGGGTAAGACACATCACGTGACATTCAATATGAGAGAGCTCCATACATTTCAGAACATGTCTAGGTATAAGCTACACTTTTTTCTATTTTTTCTCATAAAAAAACAGGATACTTTTTATGTTCCGGCGTCTGTTATCTAAAGCAGTGTTTCTCAAATTGTGGTGCACAGTTCTTTGTGGTTGTACACAAGCTCTCCCCGGGTCTCCTTGTTTAAATTGCAGCCTATTTTATTCATGCTTTTCTACTTTTTTTTTGTCCTGGTCCTTGTTCATAAGAACTTATAGGGGATGTCCAAACTTCTTATCTTGACAAGCACAAGTGTATGTGTTATTGTACCAAGGACTAAGCCTTTACATGTTTTGCGTGTAACAAGAAATGTCGGCAAATAATTTATGATGAAATTGTCTTCAGATATTCTACTGGAGAAGAGAAACAGTTTTCACTTCTCTTTGACTTGCAATTCCAGCTCTCATAGATGAATACTATCATTGTGTTCTTGGGCAAGACACTTAACCCACACGCTCAGTATTTGTGTGCACTGGTGTGTGTGTGTGTGTGTGTGTGAATGGGTGAGTGGTTTCTTGATGTAAAGTGCTTTGAGGGTGGGAAAGCAGCTCTATAATAATGTGACTATTTACCATTGAAGTTGTCTTGAGTGATGGTACTGTTTAGGAGAAGAGAAATGTTTTTGGCGTCCCTTCACAGAGCTCACTTTGACTTAGATTGTGGCGTAGTTCTGTTTAAACCAGGAATAGTCCAGCCTTTCAACTGATAGAAGTCGGAAAGACAAGTATTTTGTTATGTGGTACTGGATGTGAAAAGTTTGAGATCCACTGGCCCAAAGTGACTTCTGTCTTCTCAATTTGATCATTTCTATTTAAATATTTCTATTTAAGGAATTCTGATTTGATTTGGTTACATTTTGCAGCCCTCTTCTGTACGTCAGAGTTGGGAGAATGACTCACTGTTCCCCCCTCCCTGCTCTCTCTGTGTCTCTGTCTGTCTGTCTGTCTCTCTCCGCCCTCGTGTCTGTCTGAAGTGCCCTCCTCACATACACAGAGTGGTCCAGACTCTGCTCCCGAATGCTCCAGATGCCCCGGTATCAGGTGTGTGTGTGTGCGTGTCTCATCAGAGCAGACTAATGCTTTAACACAGCAGTCTAATGGAGTGGAGAGGATTATGTGTTTATTTTGGGTAAATGAACTGTTGGAGTTCGGAGCCACACATTACACTGATGGTGGAGACGCTGTGCTGTTACAATCCTAACTTACTTGATCCTCAATATCACTTCGGATACTGCAGTTTCAATAGTATTTGTAGTACTGTTTAGTGTCTGATTTTTTATATTTTTTTCAATCTTAGTGCACTGTGTAACTTTACTGGTGGACAGTCCGTCACCTTCTGCTTTCCACTGAGATGTTATTGCTTTGCCTAGAACAGGGGTGTCCAACTTTTTTTCCTCTGGTGATCTACTTTTATAAAACATAAATGCCAGAGAGCTGCTTGTTTTAGAGGTCACAAGAAATTGAGAAAGTAGAAGAGCCATGGCGAGCTTCTGACGGGGAACAGTTAGATGCCTATTGAACATAAATCATCATCCATTTATTAGTGCATAAGTTAGGCATCAAAATGACACATTTACAAAGGTAATTAATCAGATTTGACTAATTAATATATATAATTCAGAAATCCCTTGGCGAGCTGCTTGGAAGGGGGTGGATTGAGAGCCTTTGAGACAAGCATGACACCATCAGGCCAAGTTACAGGTCAGATCAGTGGAGAGGTGTCTATGCTCACTGTAAGAATCTATGTATTACAAGGTGTTTTTGTTTTAAACTTACAGTTTAATATACAACTAAGATAGCATCTTCAAAACATCTTTATAGAGACAAGCAGGTGGAATACCCTCCACCAGAATCCAAATCCAATATTGTCCTTTCAAACCCTCCTTGCGTTAGCAGCACAAGCTCAGCCCTCAACAATTCAACATAAATATACAATAAATATACAAGAACATGATACAAAACAGAAAAGATACACAAGAAACCTGGTGCGATGTGCTGTATTAGCAGGACGCACACTGATTGTGTTGAAGGTGAAGTGACTTAGCACAGAGAGCAAATGGAGGGGAGACTCTGAGAGCTGATTCAGAAGTCAAGTAAAAATGTGTGGAAAATGTGGCTAAAAGTATTACCATATACAATACCCTTACTACTAGCATTACATTATATTGCTGTGTCCTTGAGCAAGACGTTTTTTCTTGTGACTGTAGTTATAGCCTTTCCTAGAGACTGAAATCCGCAGGTCCAGTATTGTCTGTCACATTTTTCCGCAGATTTGTTCCTAAATGTCAGGTGGAGCCTGGAGGTGTGGGGGTCTGTGTGGCACACAGTTAAGCCCAAAACAGAGTGCCTTTTCTGGCTGTTACGTCACTGCCCTGTGCCTCCTCTCCATCCATCCACCTCCTCCTCTTCCTCTTCTTCCTCCTCTTCCTCCTCTCAGAACATTAGAGAAGAGACACAGGCTCGTCAGTGAGAAGACTGTCACAGCAGTAATGCCTGAGAGAAGACTCTTTTTAGATGAATATCGCAATGTCAAATTTTAGTTTTAAGGAAATAAATGCTTTTTTTTTTTTTTTTTCAGTCTCTTTCAGTCTGATACTTAAAGCTATTTCAGATTCTAGAATGTGATGTTGTCATACATCCAGATGAGGGCAAGAGCCACATTTCCCTATTAACCCTATAAAGCCTGACACATGAAATAATAGACAGAAAATTTGGATTCTTTGATATTTAAGTCTTTATTGGACCTTTCAACAAAATATAAAAAGAAAATATATATGATTTTTTTTTAATAAATAAAAAATGTATCATATTTGATACATTGGGCCTTCACGGTCATTTTATAGATCCCAACCTTGTTTATTTTAGGACCAAACTAAATTCTCTTTGATTCATTTAGAACTCAGAGAAACTTTTCTGAACATTTCCTTTTATGTTTTTAAATGTCTGAACAGGATGATTTTTATTTTGCCATGTGGAAGGAGAGAGAACAGTTTGGGTCCTTGTTCAAGCACAGATGTACATTACATTTCCCATCGTACACATGTGTGAAATTATTATAAATCTATATATAAACAATAAATGAGTGGATCCTCTGTATCCTCTGAAGTAGTAAAATATAGATTATTGTTATTTTGTGTGTGAAAATTGAAGAGACCGGACAGTTACCAAATAGACCGTTGCACATTTCATTAATATAAAGAAAATTACACCATTATGTAATAACAATAATAACAATTGAAAACATATTTTTAAGGTGATATCTTAGTTATGAAATACTAAAACTTGTGTGGTGTTAAATTTGCATTATAGGGTTAATTAATCACATTGTACTTGGTAATGAAATAACCAAAACGTTTCTTCACAAATCTCCTATTGGTGGCTAGACTCATTCACTTGCTGTGTTACAACAAAAACCTACATTTTAACTGTATTTACTTTAGCAGCCCCTTCTGTATTAAATATTACTGACCTATAGAATGCTGTGATGTCATCGGAAACCCTGCAATAGTATCAGAATCTGTACGGGTGCGTCCCTGGTATTGGTGAGCATGGAAACCCAACATGTGTGCGTTTGTGCGTGTGTGTGTTGTGTGCGTGTTAGATTCTCCTCCAGGCTCCTCTGCAGAACATTAGCATCTCCAGCCACCCTCACGCCACGTTTCACATTCACATTCAAATCACTGTAGTGCAGAGAGCGCAGCAGCTGCTCAGAGGAGCCTTCTGCTTACACTGTGCAGTAATGTGGGGCCGGAGCCAAAATGATATTATACTGATGATGAAATGTAAGCAAACTTTCCTTAGAAATGCACCAAGATTGTATCAGTACTGATTCAACCCAGACTTTTGGTTCAGTCCTGATTCAGTCCTAGTTAAGTCCTGGTTTAATCCATGAAACACAGAGCTGCACGTGTAGGAGGTCTGTGGGTTAAAAGAAAAAAAAAAAAGCCTACATTATTTCTTCTGTGATCGACAACTGTACCCATTTAAAATGAAACACCAGTGTGAGCAATGAATCTTACATTTCATTTTCTGGGTTCCGGTGTCAGATCATCCGCCTTGTATGTCACTTTTTTTGTCAGTTTAATAAAGAAGTTGGGGTGGAATTTTTCTTATTCACTTGTAGAATCCATTGAACATTGACACACTGACACATCCTCTGTGTTTCCTTTTGTGTGACTGTCTGCACAGATCGATGGTCTGAAGTGGATTTTTAGTTTTTTTTTTGCCACTATCTGATATTTGGTTTGTGGATAGGCCTGTTGATAACACATTTGGAAGTGTGATATGTGGTTAAAGTAAATATAGACCAAACTAATTTATGCCTCTGACACAAAAACCCAAACGCAGATTTAAAACATAAACACAAAAACTATAAAAAATCTACAATACTGTTAAAAAAACACAGCAGAATGAAACTCTTCAGTATTGAAGTTGCATATGTTATAAGTTATGAACTTAAATCTTATCATATAGCCAAAAATAACCAAAAAAAAATGTGCAAAGAAAATGTACATGATCAAGAATATATAGCTCCAGCTTTCATATACTGAATGATAAGTTGATACAGTTATTATCATTTCAGGCCTAAGATCAATAGCAAGGCCCACAAAAATATAATACATGAATATTTTATGAATTATTTAATGAGTTTTAGTTCTTCACTTTGTTAAAAAGTAAATATAATATAAACAAAATATATAAATTGTGTGTTTTAACTTGTAAGATTGTTTCGTTTCTAAATATCTTCAAAATTGTTAATATCAAACCAGTACTGATATTTTGGAAAACCTTCTGGAACTGCTGTATTTTTTTTAGAGACTGAAAATTGCTGCTGTAGTTTTTCATCAGTGTAAAGTGTTAAAAAAAGTAATGCTGAGTTCTAAAGCAGAATCCGTCTACATCTGTCATCAACATGAAACATCAGGAAGGCCTTTTTCTTCATTTCACCTTCATTTCATTCTGAGCTGTTATTTATTTTGATGTTATTTATATTTATTAGTTTAATCAGAAGTATTGTGTAACACATTTTTGCTCTTTTTAACATTATGGTTGCTAGGTAACATTTGTGGAATCCCCTTTATGAATGTCCAAACAGGAAGCAAAATCATAAACGTCATGATTTTTTTTTTAAACTAGCCAAGATTTCAGTGCACTTTATACCTGACTTCCGTGTCCCTCTTCCCCCAGTGATTTGCGCGTGTAGCCTCCACACCTCTGCTCCTCTCCTGGCTCCTCTCCCCCTCTCGTCCCCACCATGAGCTCCTCCCCGCTGGGCTCCCGGGACCGTGTGGAGCGCATGGATATCCTGGAGGAGCTGCAGCTGATGGCGGCGCAGAACCTGGAGCGCCTGGAGGTGAACAAGTACTACGAGGTGATCGGAGAGCTGGGCAAGGGCACGTACGGGCGCGTCGATCTGGTCATCCACAAGATCAGAGGTGAGATCAGAGTCTATTCTTTTGACAACCCCAGTGCAGTTTTGTTGAGATCGTCTTATGGTGAGTCAGTGTAGTCGAGGCTCAGCTTGAGTTTTATCAGAATTTGTATAAAACCACAGGGTTTAATAAATAAATACTATTATTGTGTTGAAAATGACTATATAAATAAAAAAGGAGTGAGTATTGATTTAAATATTTTTTAATCATGTTATTTAGATAATAAGGATTTCTATGGGACAATAGCAGAAAGTGGGTTAGATGAAAGCTTTATTAATTATTTTTGGTAATTCTGTGTAAAAGGACAATTAAACTCATTTCATTTTGTGTTGGAATTTTCAAGATTGTCTAAAGTGGAGCTTTTAAGATGATCATTTGGGTCTGTTCTTTAGTATTAAATTGGAGTTTCCAGTATTGTGTATTTGGTCTTAAGCCTCCCTCACACTGACACTGTGCTGTCTCTGGCCAGGCACAAAGATGGCTCTGAAGTTCCTGAAGAAGAAGAGCACAAAGCTGCGCTCGTTCCTGCGCGAGTACAGTATCTCTCTGTACCTGTCGCCCTGCCCCTTCATCATCAACATGTTCGGCATCGCCTTCCAGACCGACGACGCCTACGTGTTCGCCCAGGAGTACGCCCTGGCAGGGGACCTCTTCGACATCATACCCCCACAGGTACTTCATACGCCCACATGTACTCACCATACCCCCACAGGTACTCACCATACCCCCACAGGTACTCAACATACCCCCACAGGTACTTCATACGCCCACATGTACTCACCATACCCCCACATGTACTCAACATACCCCCACAGGTACTCACCATACCCCCACAGGTACTTCATACCCCCACAGGTACTCAACATACCCCACAGATACTCACCATACCCCACAGGTACTCACCATACCCCACAGGTACTCACCATACCCCCACAGATACTCACCATACCCCCACAGGTACTCACCATACCCCCACAGGTACTCACCATACCCCCACAGGTACTTCATACCCCCACAGGTACTCACCATACCCCCACAGATACTCACCATACCCCCACAGGTATCACCATACCCCCACAGGTATCACCACCCCCACAGGTACTTCATACCCCCACAGGTACTCAACATACTCCCACAGGTACTCACCATACCCCCACAGATACTTCATACCCCCACAGATACTCACCATACCCCCACAGGTACTCACCATACCCCCACAGGTACTTCATACCCCCACAGGTACTCAACATACTCCCACAGGTACTCACCATACCCCACAGATACTTCATACCCCCACAGGTACTCACCATACCCCCACAGGTACTTCATACCCCCACAGGTACTCACCGTACCCCCACAGGTACTCACCATACCCCCACAGATACTCACCATACCCAAACATGTACTCACCGTACCCCCACAAGTACTTCATACTCCCACAGATACTTCATACCCCCACTTGTACTTCATACTCCCACAGATACTTCATATTCCCACAGGTTTGTCATGTGGTAAGGTTAGAATCAGGGAAATGAATGGAAGTCTATGTAATGTCTCTATACAGCCCAGGCTTTAAAAGACAGCAACAAAGAAGGGGGACTCAACTACGGCGAAAGTTTTAAGCCATGTTCGGGCATTTATTGTAAAAGCATGGTAGTAATGGTGGCAGCGGTGTGTCAGGCCCAGTGGATGGAGTGAAGTAGGAGAGCAGGAGAAGAGGGAGGAGATGTGCACCTGCAGGCCTTTTATACTCTCGTGGGGTCACGTGGGTGGAGCGGCGGGCAGGGCAGCTGAGGCAGGCGAGGACACACACCTGGAGAGGCAGAAGAGTGGAAAGAAGGCGCAGGGCAGGACACTGGCTGTGACAGTTCCCAAGAAGCATGGAAAGTCTGTTCAGTACAAACACTCTCAGTACACTCACAATCTGACTCTGTTACAGACACAGAAATTAGGTCCCCATGATGAAAACTCTTTAGATCAACAACGTGGCTTTAGGTTAAGGTTAGGGAAATACTGCATCAGTCTCCAGGGAATGAATGCAAGTCAATGTAATGTTCCCTATGAGAATAAAAATCCAACATGTGTGTGGTCCAGTACAGACACACACTGCAGTGCTCACGTGTGTGTGTGTGTGTTTGTATCTTGTTCCAGATCGGTCTGCCTGAAGCAGTGGCTAAGCGCTGTGTGCACCAGGTTACCATGGCACTGGACTATCTGCACTGTAAGAAACTGGTGCACAGGGACATCAAGCCTGAGAACATCCTCATTTTCGACCGCGAGTGCAGGAAGGTCAAACTGTCCGACTTTGGGATGACGAGGCGCGCCGGCTCTCCGGTCAAACGGGTATGTGCCCTACAGGCCTCTGCAGCCTGCTCCTGTCCTGTGTATGGCTGAGGTTTTCTTAAGACAATCATAAAAAAAAAATTAAAAAAAAACTATCACATTTGAAACAATTGAAACAAGTGGCATTCTGTGTTATCTGTTTAAAATGTTGTGACATGTTTGTTTCATGGAGAGGGCAAATATACAAATACTAAATCATAATTTATACAAATAAACCAGTACAATAGTGTCATTCATTTAAGACTTTTAAACTGGTTCAGGTTCTTCTAGGTGTAATTATCATATTTGTCTGACTGAAAAGGTCAAATCCTGTAGGGTCAGAATGTGAGTCATGTTGTGATGTTTCTTGCTCTTAGAATGTTCTTACACCACGTTATGTATTATTGTATGGTTACAGAAGTGTAAATATTAATGTTCCCTGTCCCTGATTTGTCTCTGCTGTGTCTTAGGTGAGCGGCACGATCCCATACACAGCTCCAGAGCTGTGCGATGCCTCCCGTCACGAGGGCTTCTGTGTGGACTACAGCACAGACGTGTGGGCGTTTGGAGTGCTGCTCTTCTGCATGCTCACGGGGAACTTCCCCTGGGAGAAGGCGCTGCCCGGGGACACGTTCTACCAGGAGTTTGTGCGCTGGCAGAGGAGGAGGAGCGCTGTCGTGCCCTCTCAGTGGAGGAGGTTCACGGAGCAGGCCCTCAGAATGTTCCGGCGCCTCCTGTCTGTGGAGCAAGAGCGTCGCTGCTCTGTCAAAGAGGTCTTTGTCTACTTCAGCCACACCTGGATGTTAGATACAGAAAACAACAACAACGGGAACGCCAACGGGAACGCCAACAGCAACGCCGTCAACAACGGAACCAACCAGAACCATGTGTCCTCTTCATCTTCAGCCGAGGAGGACGAGGAGCTGCTGGTGGAGAGGATGAAGCAGCAGACTCTGTCTCCCATGTCCCCCATGTCTCCCATGTCTCCTATGTCTCCTATGTCCCCTGTGGCGGTGGACAGAAGTGCAGGGAGTGGGGGAGGTAAAGGAGCCATGATGGATCCACCTGCGGGCGGCCATTTTGTGTCAGTGTCCACAAACAGCTCAGTGTCCTCCACCACCAGCTACGAGAGGGTGCCCAGAGAGGGCGGGTCTCCGGGGGGACGCATGCTCGTAGCCACGCCCATCGAGATCTGCGTCTGAGTGCGTGCAGCGGGAAGGGGTGGAGCTTCAAGTCTGTTTCATTGAACTTTAACTGTGCTGAGTGAGAAGGACGTGAGAGACTCTGACTTTACATGTGGAACTGCACAAACCTGGAGTCTTTTCTCTGAGCATCCTGAACATTGTCATCTGTGGATTTTAGCTCTGGAAAAGTTCCACCACAAAAGAATACCTCTGCTCTGTGTCCAAACAAAGAAGCTCAGACTAAAGACATGTCCACGTGTCTGTCCTCTGTCATATGTCCCACCGCCTGAGGCAGAGGAACATCCAAATATCACCCAGAGCCTGCGGAATCCAAACTGATGCTTCCAGTACAGTTCAACCGTGAAAAGAAGACCAAATGTTCCCTTTTTTTTCTTAAAGCAATACTTCCAGCAAAAAAAGAACGGTGAACTGAAGACTTTTGAGTTGATGCCACGGGACAAAGACAAGATTCAGATCCTCATTTTCAACAGTGCAATTTCAAGTTGATCCAAATAGTTTATGGGACTCTTTCTTCACTGTGTCTTTTCTGTTGTGTCTTTTCACTTCTAACTTTTTTCCAAATTTGATTAACATTCATGTTTTGTATTGTCAATATTTTTGCAATTTTTATTTTTCATTCGACAGACATATTTTCCAACAGATTCAGTTGAGCCATCTTCATCTTCGTTTGAAAATCCATTTACAAAAAAGTAAAAACACAAGTTATTTTTTTTTATTATTATTTTTTTAATTGCATGAAATTACATTTAAATTGAGACGTGAAAATCTTTCAAATTTGGCAGAATGTGTTAGCAGTAGTGATGTGTCGTTGTTAGCATAGCACAGCCCTCCTGCGTCAGTGAATTTTGCTTCTTGAACCAGAAAACTCTTGCCCAGCTGCAACGTGAAGATCAACCATATATTTACAGAACACAGCGGTAAAAGTGTACAGCCAGTGGGTACATGACTGTGTAAAAGCATTTCAGCTGTATCAGGTTTTTAGAGAAGAACAATGTTCAGGATATTGTCAGGTTTACAAAATAAGATCATGTTGTTTAAAATTATGTCTTCAGATGATTACAAAATACCCAATGATTACATTATAGTCATGTAAAGGACTTGAACCTGATGCAGCTCATATGTACTGACACATAACACCAAGGAAAACCTGGCTGTCTCCAAGCTGAAGTCCCCTCCATTGTAATGTATTTGTGATGTCACCATTTGAGTGCAGAGAGCCGAGCATGAAGCATCATCTGACGTCATTTTAGAGAGAGTCACTGCCACTTGAAGTAGTGTGGCATGTTTCTTTGACACCAGAGCTGTTGTCCAAATTAAAGAAAAATACTAAATCAATGAAAATGACAGTAGGCCTGTAGGCTGTGTTCACGTCACCATCCATCAGTTACACGAGTATTTCCTGCTAATATTTACTTTGACCTTGTGCTTTCACCCGTGCGTCTCCACAGAGACAAATCAGTTTATTGCCACATGAGGAACATTGTGCTTCACTGGAAATATCCCACATATGATTTGGAGGAAACAAGCACATGTACAGCCCAGCAACAGAAACAAATATATATACTGTACCTTTAAAGAGGCAGTATTGTGCAGAATGTACTTTTGGAACTTTCTATCATGTTATAATTTTGTTCCCCCATCAAAAACATGCCCGAGGAGGATTTATATGTCATCCATGTATGTTTGAGTCAACTTGCAGTATTAGCTGTAAGACTCAGTCCAGTGTCTCTGCACGCCTCTTTTGGAGCGATGTTGTTGAAATGACAAGTATGAGGACACAATTCCTCACTAAAATGAAGCTAAACGCTCCTGGATTGTGTTAGAGTAATTCTTCCACAGACAAACACAGTCCTTGCCCTCCATTTGAAACCCTGACGTGAACCCAGCCTGTGGCATTATTGCTTTGTCCCATCTGCATGATCTGTATGTGTGCAGCTCTTGTGTATTGTCCCTCCCAGGCCTCTGTAGCTGCTCCTCCCTGGGGTGTTCACGTGCCCGGTCCAGTGGTGGGTTGTGGGTGGGTGGGACAGAAGGAGAGGGGCTGGTGGTACCATGCTCTGAGCTCATGTCCCCTTTGTTCCTGAACAATGGGACAAAAGCACTGTGGACACTCACATGTCCACACGGAGGACACCACGTCAGCCCTGATGTCCTCTGTCTCATCAGCCAGTCTGTGCCAATGTAAGACTTGTCCCAAACCACCACTGGAGGTGTGACAGTGGAGCCTAAACATACCATGTGCTAAAGACGAGCTGGACCTTTGGGTGGCCCTGGTGCGCGGCCCCGGGCCCTGGTGCACGGGCCTGGTGCACTGTAGTGAGTAGAGCTCCAGTCTCCATACAGTCTTCCTGTACAGCTGCCTTTGGTCAATAAAATAAACTTGTTCTTCATGGACTCATGTCACTTTATCTTATTGCTTCGGAATATTAAACAGATAGATAGATAGATAGATAGATAGATAGATAGATAGATAGATAGATAGATAGATAGATAGACAATACATATGTATAAATATATAAATGTATAAAATGGATATCTATATCAGAGGTGGGACCAAATTGCTGATTTGCAAGTCTCAAGTAAATCTCAAGTCTTTGACCTCAAGTCCTCCTCAAGTCCCAAGTCAAATACAGGCAAGTCCAAGTTGAGTCTCGAGTCACTGGCCCATAAGTCCCAAGTCCTCAAGTCCCAAGTCAAGTCCCAAGTCAAATACAGGAAAGTCCATGTCGCGTTTCGAGTCACTGGCCCATAAGTCCCAAGTCCTCAAGTCCGAGTCAAGTCCCAAGTCAAGTCCTAAGTCAAATACAGGCAAGTCCATGTCACATTTCAAGTCACTGGCCCATAAGTCCAAAATCCTCAAGTCCAAGTCATCTGCTTTGAGCTTCAAGTCACTGCAAATCTTTAAACCAAAGCACCAAATACAGCTTTGTTTTTTTTCAGTTTATTTGACTTTTAAGATAAATTGTACTTAAAAATCATAGTACATTTATATATGAGTATGAGTATGCAAAAGTTGTAGAAATTAATTTTTATTTGGACAAGTCTGACTTGTGTCCAACTCATGTCTTGTAAGTCCCCACCTCTGATCTAAATCATGTATTACATATAGTGTGTGTAATATATATCATGATAATAATATAAACTGTGTAAGATATGATATAAAGTGATATATATTGTACATGACAGAGAGAGATTATATATGTATACATATCTTCAAGACAAAGACTTCTCATGGAACAAAATGTTTTATTTTGTCTGACAGGCGGGCGAGCTGAACTAAAGCTTCAGTGAAAACAAACACGGCCGTTCAGCACAGCACATACACATGGAACACGTGGGAATGAACAGTTTGAATGGAAATATGAACGCTGCTACATGGCTCCAGTTTCAAACTAATGTACACTATTTAACAGACATAAAAAAATGTAATTCTAACATGTGAGATTCAGCCCTGAGAACAGATTATAAAACAGCTGTATTTGGTACAACACAAAATCCAGGTGAGAGGATCGATTGCAAAGTAATTACAGATGGCACATTGGTTGCTGGTGAGTTGGCATTTAAGGTCTTGAGCTGCCTCTAGAATAAAAAAACAAACAAAAAAATAAACTGGTACAATACTCCCCCTGCAGGCGAGATGGAAAAGTACACACAATTTTACACTTGGAAGGAGGAATATTTCTGAAGCAGGGAAAAGTGCATGCAAGCTGCCTTCAAATCCAATCATCCTCAATGATTTGTCTTGGCTGAAATGAATAGTTTGCGTTCACAACATACACCAATTTGACGTCAGAATTTCAGTTGGAGGGCAGAGGCTCATATAAAAGTGCATATGACAGGTTTTGTGTTTTTCCAAATTTTGTTTGGTGAGATAATACGTGTGATAAACAGAACACTGGCAGAGATATTACATTCAAATTATAGAATCCCACCCAAGTCAATATGAGAATTTTTTTTTTTCCCCTGACATTTACCAATAAAGGTGCTGGCATGTATTTTCACTACTCATAATAACCATGATAAGCCCTTGTTTACATTATGGTTGCTAGGTAACAATTATTGAATTACTCTATGTATGCCACACCAGTAAGTAAAATTATAAACTTCACCAAAAATAATGAAAAAACTGAGTAGTCTAACCCACCATATGCACTGTACAGAGATTCTACAATGTTGTGATGTTGCGTGAACTCAACCTATGATGCATACTTTTTTCACCAGGTAAGGCCATTTTGAAAAGCACCACTTGGAGATATATTTAAAAAAAAAAAAAAAAAAAAAAAAAAAAAAAAGAAGCAGTTTGATTTGTCCAATGCCGGTCGCGGAGTTCGCTCAAGTAAACTTAAGTCAGGTCTGTAACACTGAAAATGCAAGAGAAGGGTCCGTCTGTGATCCAAGCGCACAGACGAGAATGGAGGCGAAAAGTGAGAGGAGGAAAACTCTACTCTGTCAAATTAAAGATATACAATCTCACTTTTTTGTTGGTGTGGTCTTCGTGGAGATGTTATACTTTACTTGAGGGCTGTAGTTGCTTAGTCGATTAATCGGTGGACAACAGGAGAAAGACGTGAGTGAGCTGAAGATTTATTTATACTGTAAAAAGCATAGACTGTATAACGAAGTGGACTAAGGAAATATGACGTCACCCAGTGTTCAGCTCCAGTCAAATGAAGCTCACTGACACTTGTGGTTATAGGAGCAAATGAGGAGTCACGTTCTGTATTAGAAAGAGGAAATGATTCAGGGTGAAAATGGAAACATCAGGATGGAGTAGAGCGGGACCATATGAATATTTTAAGACCAGAATGAGTTAGTTATGGTAAAAATGCATATAATAATATAAAACGTATAAATGCACCATTTTGTAGTGCTTTTTTCTGCATAAATAGTAGTTTTTGTCTTAACTCCCTGCAGGTGTAGTCTTGTGAGTGTAGTTTGGATCAAATACACAGAGATGCATAATAGTTTTGAGTTCTGAGTCGACTAATCGATTGGCAGAACATGTCTTTAGTTGATCTTTTTCACTACAGCCCTTCACAATATGGCATTACACTTATCTACTGCATTTTATGTCACGTTTTAATAGCTAAAAAGAAGTTTAATGCCATACTGTGGAACATTCTGATCAAAGTTAACTTCTCAATATGACGACAAGAGCCGTACCCCTATAAAAATCTCCACAGTGCACCAATCTGTCTGTTATTCAAATTTGTTCAGATCTTAAACAAATTATGATTCATTATATTTTAAGGTTTTAGGTAGGGCTCAGTCTGGCAAGGTCGGTGAAGTGTCTAGCTCATGGACACAATGGCAGTATGCAATATGGATAGCACGGATCAAACCGGCGACCTTCAGGTTTTTGGGGGTGATTATTGCTACTGACTGAGCCAGAGCAGTCTCAGTTTGAAATAAACAAATGTATTGCTTGGTGAAAGAGGGGAAAGTGTCTAGCCTAAAGGCACAGTGGCAGTATGCTGGTTTGATTTCTGCTACCTATGTCGCAACCTTTAATTTAGTTAAATTTTGCTACCAATTTGGGAAAAAAAAAACAAAACTAAGAATTCATACTATGATATTAGGTGGGAAGTGTCTTGCCCAAGGACACAATGGCAGAAAGAAATATAGGTAGCAGGGATCAAACCAGCAACCTACAGAATACCAGCTGAGCTTCTATGGCCCAAGTACTGCTATGAGGTAAATAAACTGACTCATTCTTACTTTGGTGATATGGGGGAAAAGTCTTGCTCATGGACACAACATCAGGAACAGAACTGCCAAACTTGGAGTAAGTGGGCGAAAAATCTACTGCCCAATTTGGATCTAGTCTCAATTTGAAAAGAATATTGGAAAATCCTTCAGTGTATTAAAACAGAGCACGCTTCATTATGTTTTTTGAAAATATTGGCTGTTTATTTTTTTTCTTGTTTTTGTATTTGTTTTTTTGCTTCCCTCCTCTCGCTTTTATAAAGGAAAACCCTGTCAATACAAACTTTTGGAGGCCCAAGAAGGCGGAAAAAGTGCTTTCATCCAAAATCAACATTTCCATCGACGTTTGTCCAAGTTTTTTTTTTGTAAAAATGTAAACTTCGGAAAAAATTAAAAACTTCATAAAAACTTATCCAGGACCACGTGTCACTCCAAAGTGCTTCCAGCGAAACGAAAACGCTAAAATGTCGGAATACATTCAGTTCCCTTGTAAACAAACTAGCGTTGGAAAATTAATGCTGTTATGATCCGAACTTTCTGATTTCAGTCAAGTACCATTTGATGTCCTTTTAAGGTAAAATTCAATCCTTTGACAGCTTCGAGAATAACTTAAAAACACATTAAGAATTCTGGAATAAATAAAAATAATCATACAAATTGATATAAAATTAAATATCTTTGATTGTTATTTAATCCCAAAAAACGTAAATATTGTATAAATAAGTCAAACTGAGTGGAGTTGAGGGTCCCTGTGACGAGGGAACTTAAGGTCCTCGCTTGCAGCCAGAAGGATCTTCCACGTCGCCATGGTTACCACAGGAAGAGGAGGAGTCAACCACTGCAAAGCGGAGGGGGCAAAGTCTAAAGAGGAAAACAAGATGTAAGACGCAACTGTGATATGATGCAATTTCCATACTACATAAAGTAAGCACGCGACAGCCTTGGTTTGAATCAAGTTAATACATGTTTGTTTTGATCTATTGTGTTAAAAGTGTGTACAATTGCTGGGTGTCAGATAACATCACTACATTCTATAGGTCAATAATATGTTTTTCGTGGTTTATATTCTAGAATGTGATGATGTTATGGGCTCAGAAAATCACATTGTACTTTGTGGTAAAATATCCCAAAGGTAAATTCATAAGTGTTGAACCTGGTATTTCCAATAACTGAATAAACCCTAGAACTCACTTTATATAGTTAAAATGTAAAATTATGTTGCACTAAATTTTAGCTGTCCCCATCTGTATTAAATAATATTGGTTTATAGAATGTTATGTCGTCATCTGAAACCAGCAATACAGATGGGGGCAGCTAAAATGAATATTGATAAAATACAGATTTGTGATGTAATACAGAGAGTTCTTGAGTCTAGTAACTGATAGAAATGATCAGGTTCAACATTTGCAAATTTACCTTTTAGATATTTCACAAGAAGTACAATGTGATCATTCGGGAAAAGGGAAAAGGCCCCTTGCCCCTATCTGGGAGTATAGCATCATCATATTCTAGAATCTGAAAACTGCCAATATTATTACACTAAAAAATACACTAAAATGTCAATACCTCCTTCTGAATCATAATGATATACAATAGAACATAACTGTCGACACAAAATGACAGTTTCTTGAATTTATAAGGAACTGTATGTAGCATGTGCTCTTATTGTTTCAATAAAGACACAACAATCACAACTGAATCTGGGTTGTCAATGTTCTTTTCTCACTATATAAAAAGGTCAGGCCTCATTTAAAAGCTCAGAACCTCCAGAATTCCCTCCCTGAGCTGCAGAGGCTGCACTAGCACTGACTCATGATTCATGCTGGGGTTTAGGTAGTGACCATTAAGATTAGAGAGAGGTGTTTTAGTAGTGATTCAGTAGTGATTGTAGTCCCTTACAATTCTGGCCTGTCCACCATCTTCATTTAGTCTCCCATGAGCCCCAGAGTTCAGTACATACCAGGAGTGGCCTTTGTGGTGGTCAGCTGGGCTCGGGCCGGCTGCTCGGAGGGGCCTTGATGGACTTGTTCTGTAGGAGACATGAGGGGACCAGGTTATATCAGACCTGGGCATTGTCCAGCTCCCGGGCCACACTGCCCTTTGGGTGACTCTGACCGGCCCGTTTTAGATCATTACAAACTAAATATATTTTATTGCTTTACCTGATACATGGATTAAAGCTGCATTGCTTTTTTTTTTTTTTTTTATTATATTTTTTGTAAGGCAACCTCAGTTTATCATTGCTTTGTCATAACAAACTCTACTCTGTATGACCAGCTCATCAAAACAATGCTATTTACTGCTTTTTATGAAGAAATACAATTAATATTATGCAGAATTAAGTTGAGCATTTTTGCCTGGCCCTCCAAAATATTTTCTGTTTCTCGTGTGGCCCCATGGGGAAAAAATAAAAAATTAAAATTCAGTTATATGAAGCTTTGGTGCATCCCATAGTCAGAGAACACCTGAATATCTCACCTTGTGCTTTTTACATTTCATGGAGAAGTTGTCCTCCTCCAGAACACAATCTGAAACACACACAGGGGTTAGACGCTCTGAGGACAGGGCCTGATGTATGAGCAATATATCAGTCACACAACACAAGCTTTCCCAGCATGCTTTTGGTAAACAGTACAGTTCAGCTAATTCAAGTGAAAACAAACATTTGTCAGTTCAGATTTGTTAGAACATTTTAACTTAACTAGTATTTCTGTTACACTATGATGGTGCTTTCTCAACTGGTTCTCCTGTATTCTGACTCACATTTTACTACGTGCACTTTAATGTATTTTAGCATGTCACTATGTGTGTGAGTGTGTGTGCGCATGTCTGTGCATGTGTGTGAGTGTCCGGGTTGTTTGGTTGTGTGGGGTCAGGCAGCTGTGGGGTCTGGGTGGGTGGAAGGAAGTGTGGGACTGTTTTTAATCACTGTAAAGCACATTGTGTCACATTTTTTGTATGAAATATAAAGTTTGACTGATTGATAGACTGACATACAATACCAGATCAAAATGTTTGTTCCCCAGAGACTCACCTGACTGCAGAGCACACCTGTAGTGATACTTGTTGGGACAGCCTTTGAACAGACAGCCCAGAGACGCACCCCTGTCCCCGCACGATGAACACCTCTGCAACACACAGAGAGTGAGGAGGGGAGGACGAGAGGAGAGGAGGAAGAGAGGGGAGAAAGGATGGGGAGAGAGGAGAGCGACAGCATGAGTTCATTTCAACAAGCAGTAATTTTACTTATTTACTATTTTATGATTTCTATGGTTTTGCTTTTATTTGATTTGACTGGTTTTATTGTTTTAGGACTGGTATGACCAAATTCCTACACATTCCAAAGTACCTTTTTGTCTTCTTCATTTTACGATCTCTGAACAGCCCTTTGCAAACTGCTTTGTTTGTAAAATGTGCTATAGAAATAAAGTAAAGATTTGGATTTGAAGTGGAAAAAGTCTTACTCTAGTTAGTGATGTGGAAATTACACAACTCTACCAAAGACACCTACAGCTCAGCCTTTACAAAAAAACTATGGATATCGAAGAGTTTTTGTAGTTTATTATTTTACTTTGATTAAACATGGGAAATAGTAATTCTATAACTGTTAAAACAAGTACAAGACTGGTGTAAGTAGTATTATAGTTTTATACTTTTATGTGATTACTGTAATGAAAATAAATGAAAACATCTTTACTTTGTTTTATCTACCAGAATCTTCCTGGTGCGGAAATTATCTCTGCTTGTTGCATGTAACTTTCAGGTAAATGTATCCCGTTGTAGAACTCAGAGCTACTTCCTGTATTTTTGTACTTCTTTTCAAATCTTTTCCTCACACTGATGTAAAACTATGATAAATATTGACCAAGGTACGATCAACCAAAGCAATTCTAATCAAATTAGAGAAAAAAATGCAAATATTTGAAGTGCATATGAGGATATTTTACTTTAAATGTTTATTATTATTACATTAAATCCTGTCAGAATATTCTTGCTGAAATCATATTCATGCTCCAAGTCTCTTCAGTACTCTCTCTGAAGACTGCAGTCCTACAGTACATGTGAGGTGAGTGGTGAGGCGGTTCCTTTAAGTCCTTTGAGCGCAGTGTGAGTGACATCCCCTGACAGCTCCTGACACTTAATTAAGCGAGTATCGAGCAGAAGAATCAATTAGATCATTCTTTAACTGAATTACATTCCCAGTGGGTGGAGCGCTCCGAGCTATCTGCACCGGCACACGAGCGAAGGAGTCGGCCATTGTTACAGCCGCCCTGTACTACTGACAGAGCAAGAAAAACACTACAGAATGTCTGTCTGCCATTAAACGCATCAATCTTGCATTTATTCAATAAAACGCATGTTTTTTTATTTTGTTTTTTGATTCTAGAGTGTGATGTCATTCTCCCCATTGATTACATTCTACTTTTCTATAAAAAGTTGAACATTAATCAAGAACTGATTATATTACAGGAAAAACCTGCATTGTACCCTCCTCCCATCTGTATTGAATATTATCAGCCTATAGACTGCTGTGATACTGAAACCCAGCAATACTGGCATCACCAGCTTGTCACCATGGAGATCTGTAGAATTAATCCCATACTGTGGAACATTACAGCAGTTGTGGCTGTCTGGTCGACACTCTGGGCAGTTTTTCAAACTTTTCTGTTGTTTGAGCTCAGTTAACATCATATCATGGGATTTTATCCAATTAAAAAGTGCAGAATGTGCTGTTCAAAGGAAACATGTTAGGGACTGTTGGATTGTGTGAAATGAGCTGTTTGTTTTTCCTGTATCCATGGAGACTGTGCAAGAGGCTAGTTAAGTACCTTTGAGATACTACAGGCTTTTTGCACCAAATGTGGCAAAGAAATGTAGCATAGGATCTTCCAGAGGAAATACACTATCTGATAGCAGATGGTGTACATAGTGTACAGAAAACATACAAAGAACACCGAATACAACTGCACTAGCATATTGTTTCTCAAAGACTGGGTCGCAGGAGATTTTTTTGGGGTTGCCTTGTCACAGTCTGCACATAGGTCTGCAGTTCTACATACTATTTTGTTCCAATATTGCTGGTTCAGTTGAATTTTGAAAAGAAAAATAAATTTAGTGTCCAAATAGATGACTTATGGATCCTTTTATTGCTGCTTCAGTGACTGTTTTTCATTGTTTAAAACTTGAGTAAAACTAATAGTTCAGAGACACGATCACTCAGTCAACAATAAAATATCCTCATTAATGTTTAATAATGCTGAAATCCACCATTATTTTGTGATTTATGAATAATGTCTATTGACTTGGGTCACAGAGGTTTGTGACTTTTAAAATATGGGTCCTCAGAAAAAAAAAAGTTTGGGAAACACTAACATGTTAAATTTTATGAAGCCGTGTGTGAATGTGCCTTTACCGTACTGTGTGCTGCTCTGACAGCCTCCTCCAGCCCATAGACCCTCCCCCTGACCAGGAACACCCCGGCGGACCACACCCCGCAGTCCTCGTGCAGCCAGTACTCGCAGGGACCCAACGGCACCACGGGGGGGCTGTACCAATCCTGTGTGTCCACCCGAGCCCGCTTCGCCGCCGGACTCCTCCCTTCCTCACCCCCCACCGCCGCCGCCGCTGCTGCCGCCTTACTGATGTCCCGCTGCATGACGACGAATCTGAATCACTGGACTCCTCCTTCAGCCCCGGTCCCGCGTTTGACCTTTTCGCCAGGGGTTGGTGCCCTTCAGAGTAATAGGGTCCGTGGAGATCGCCCAGGTCCATGGAGTTGGCGGACTGACCGCACAGGCAGCACACAAGCGCCGCCTGCTGGTCCGCTTGCATGGAAACCCGACCCAACTGGAGACAGGAAGTAGTGGGCACAGCGGCGGGCACGTACTCTGAAGATCCGTGCTGTTGGTTGGCTTTCCGTGGAGTTTTGACCTCTTCTGGGTAGTTGACCACAATACACAGTGAGGGCGCCTGCTCCTTGCGTTGCACCCGGATGAACGGCGAGAAGCGATCACTTTTTGAGTCCCGTTTCCCCTCTTTGTAGTTTAAGTATCGCAGCTTGATTTCGGGCTCCTTGGGAGAAAACATACTAGAAGCATTTCCAATGTTACATTTTTTCCGTTTTCTCTCAGGCGCTGGTTTCGATTTCGCTCTTGGGCGGGCTTTTTTCACAGATGCCTCGTTGTTGGTTTTGCCTGGGCTTTTCGTTGGAGATTTGGACGATTCCGGAGTCAACATAACACTTCCAACAGTAACATCAAGATCACTATCCGTTCGTGAAACAGCTTCTTGGCAGTTTTTTGATGGCAGAGTTTGATCACACAATGATTTCTGTTTTAACTTTACTGGACTGGCTTGTAGTGGATTTTTGGTGCTTTGGCGGGGTGAATCTGAGGTAGCATTTTTGCATTTTTCTGGGCTTGGTTTAGTCAGACCCTTTATAGGAGAGACTTTCGGCATCTCTTCTTTATTGTCACATTTGTTATTTCTTGCTGAAAGCCTGTGGCTCTTACGTGGCATTATCTTATCTTCCTCTGTCTGGGGACTTTTCTTGCCAGTTCGTATGCATCCGGACACATTATACCGACTGGAGTTGATGTTCATGACGATAGCGTCAAGCCGCATCCCTCTACCGGATCGCACAGGTAGTTTCCTTTCGCTTACCGTCTTTTGTAGTGCTTTAGAGTTGCCGTTCAAAACTTTGCCGGTTTTGAGCTTTCCATCCAAAACATCTGCCATACAAACGTCATCCGTCAAGTTGATTAGCGGCTCAAAAGCTGACTTCCCTCTACCAATTGAGCATTCATTTATGTCATTCGAAAGCAAGCTGGTGGCACTGTCCTCAGAGCCTGGCTGGATGGTGTCTTGGGTACTTGAAAGATCATCTGTTGTTGTTTCTAAAAAGGAATTTTCCCCGCTCTGTGAACTGGAGGCTGGTGGAAGTATGAAGACATCATCCATTTCGTCCAGTGAGGTAGCAGAAGGGGACACAGGGTCTTCCGAAGGGCTGATGACTTCTCCCAGCTGTGTATTTGCTGCCTTCTGATGTAGAGATAAGCAAACAACTTCTGGACTGTCCTCACCCAAAACATTCTCTTTGTCTTTCTGTAAGGAATCCAGAGAGTTTTCAGTTTCTTGGCACTCTTCTAAGGAGTCATTGCCCTCTCCCAAGGGTGCAGGAGACTCCTCATAAGTTTTGGGTGATTTTTCTAAAACCTCCTTCGACACCAATTCTGAAAACCCAGGGAAGAATTTTGGATGTTCTTTTAAACAATCCGATGCCAATTCAGAGTGATGGAACTCTGCTGTGAAGGTGTGACTACTTTGTAAGGAATGATTGTCTCTGAAATGTTCCATATTTTTGCTTAGAGAACTAGAACCCTCTGATTCTTGTAAGGCTGCAGGACACTCGGGTAAGGACATGGAACCATCTTGTAAGGATTCACTAAACCAAATGTCCCCACCATTTTGTAAACGTTCACAGTTATTAACACCGTGTTGCTCTGATATGTCCAACTGTGATGTCCTGCTCAACTCAGATGTCTGGTTTATATTAGCCTCCACGTCAAGCTCAGGCTGCTCCAGGGAGAGAGACTGGAGATGATCTGTGTGTGCTGCTAGATCACTAGGTCCATCCATGTTCTCCAGATAAGGTTGGTTTAATGCCATGTCTGTCTCTCCAGGCTCACACGAAGGCTGGAGTGAGTATTTGCTGAATGTGGGAACACCATACACAGAGGAGGTCCCAGACAGGGAGTCTTGGGTGGAGAAGACATGAGACCGGCTCACGTAGGACAGTGTGACAGTGGTGGGGGAGAAGGCGTTATCAGGCAGGATCTGGCCTCCTGACTGGACAGTGCAGGGGGCAGTGTCTGGATATGAAGATCCAGTGCTGCCCTGCTCTGCGGTCTGATACCAGCTGGAGGTTCTGATCATGGCACATTCTCCTCCTCTCCTGGTCAGGTTGACCACAGCGGGCAGACTGGAGGTGGACAGGTCCTGTGGGGTCTGGAGGTCGTCTGCTGTCCCAGGAGGCTGCTCCATAACAACTGCAGAGGACAAACAAAACAGGAGTTTGATGGGTTTCCATGGAAGCAGCTGATACCACAGACTGATGCTTATGTGTAAAATTGGCTAATTTGGCAAAAGCCAAGAGAGTGGTTTATGAATGACAGTGATAGATATTGTACAATATAAAATATGATAAATGTTACACCAAGTAATCAATTAAACTAATAAATGTAAAATTTTGTCCTAATGCTTCTGAATGAAAATAAAGAACAATCAATCATTTTGCTAAATGGTATATTATTTACAAAGCAACATTGACAATGTGTTTGTACCTGTAGGTACAGTAGATTTAGTAATCATCACTAATTGATAACTGTAATGAAGTATTACTACAGATAAACACAGTCGCTGGGGGACACTGCAGAACTCTGCCTGATGAAGGTGACATTATAATGGGACGTGTTGTTGAATGTGATTAGTGTTCAGACACACACACACACACACACACACACACACACACACACACACACACACACACACACACACACACACACACACAGACACACACAGACACACACACACACACGGAGACACACACGTGAACTGAGCGTGCGCAAAAACACCACATTTGAACATAACCAAAATGTAGGATTAGAACAAAAAAACATGATTGTTATTTTAGAAGAACCATCAGCTTCAGTGACAAGTGTCAACATTCGTTGACAACAGGGGCTAGCAGATAGCTTAGCGGTGGCTAATGCTAGGCCTCGGCTAGCGCAGGTTACGGCTGTCTCATTGTCAAACCCCGTCCACATTCCCTCAAGTTCAGGAGTTTTTACTATTGATACTAAATTAGGCATCGTCGACCCAATACTAGGTATCGGGTCATAAGGATAGAGGAAAATCTTGGATTCGGTTTCTACAAAAACATGAATAAGTTCTCGTTACAATATAAGAAATAGATTTCATTAGCAGTCATCGGCTAGATCTGCAAACTACCCCGAGGAACTTTGTAAAACCACCAACGGCAAGAGCGAGGGTCCAAATACAAATGCTGACTGTAAAATAATACTTAGTGGTCTTTTAACTTGCTCCGGACCGAAACAGACAAAGAATCCGATCCGGAACTTCACACTTGTGATGGACTAGTTTAGATCAGCAGACGAAAGTTGCAGATGGGTTGAATTAAACTTTTTTGCTAATGAAGTGCGGCAGCACGTTCTGGGCTGAGTGAGCGGTGGCAGCAGCAGGGACAGGCCCGGTGCGTGAAACAAAGGCAGAGGTAAACTTACCGGGACAGACACACGGAGCCGCTTCAGATCCGCTTTAAACCACTCTACTCTTCATTTCTCATAACATCTCTCCTTTTCCTCTGAATCCTAACAATAGTACGACCCGAGACAGCCGCAATGTATAAAAGAAACGCACTTTACAGGAACACTCTCCAGTTGCTGCGGCGTCAAGATTAGATTTTAACTTTCACTTCCGGTTTACCCTCCAAAGTAAAAGCGGCGCTGCCATGTGCGTTCAGTCTGCGTATCGCAACAGTACTTCCGGTTTGAAAGGGTCCGAAGAAAAGAACACATTCACTTCTGAAAGGAATGAGAAACTACACAAAAAAACAACTATGACATTGAGCACAAGCATACAGCTTCAGGCTGCCTCTACTTATGTGTTCAATGGAAAATGGTCACATTTATAAAACGCTTTACATCAATGAACTCACCCATCCACATACGTACACCAATGTACACAGACACCAAGAGTGTTTGGAGTGATCAAACAAACACTTTTCCCCCATTGACTTAAAAACAACAATAGCACTAGGCTAACAGTTTAAGTTAACTATAGTACAGTATAATTACCGTAATATGATCCTATTCTAGAATCATTCAATTGATACTTTGCAGTGACATCATACTGGGGATGGTCCTTATGTATCTCCAAGGCAGAATGTTTGGCAGTTACACAAGGCCCATGATAGCAAACACTGTCCCCAAAAACAGAGAGAGAGTGAAGGCTGTTACAAATAATAAAGTGTCGTGAGTATACCACATGCAATTATTAAATGCTGAAATCATATATTTGTTTAAATGTTGTTAATGAAGTCACACAATTAATGCTTAACTATTGAAATCTGATATATGTGTTTAAAGAAACAGCTGTGTAGGTTGTGTATTTTTAAGGAAATTCTGTACAGAGCAGCTGACAAGGGGACGTCCTGGCTGGCACCAAACTTAAATAGATCCGGTCATTCCCATAAACGGAGAGGCTTCAAGGAGGATCCAAGGCGTGAACCTGATCAACATATCATTATGCATATTTCTGTGAATGTATATATACTGGGTTAAGGGACAAATGCAGGTGTTCAGACTGCCTGAAACTAAGTCCTGTGTAGAATAGGCCATCAGGGATAGTGGTCTGACCCAGAGCTCTGTATTAGAATTGAATTGGACAGGGAATAAATTCTTTTTACTTTTAATCAATCGATTCCAGTTGTGATTTTTGATAGAACACGCCTAACAAGAGGAAAAAAAGAAAAAAAAAAGATCTAAAAAGAGTCTAGAAAGTTAAACTTGAGTAACAGAGCTTCAGACAGGGCAGGGCATCCAGCTGAAAACATAACACCCCCAGGGAACATTGATGACATCAGCTGCAAAGTATCAAATAAATATCACAGTAGTTATGTTAATACTGCTGAATATGAAGCAGAACCAAATAAACAGAAGACCAGTCAAAGGGTGCAAAAATATTTATTGCTAATAAACCTGTTGTCAGTTGGTGTATATTTGCTTTATATTTACAATAAGAGTACAGAGGAGTGGGAATGTGAATATCCCAGCCATTTAAATAAATATAAAGGGACTGCCACTGAACAAGACAAACTGCAATGATTGTAGTGAGGCAAACTCTAGAAAAGTATCTACTCAAAGTATCATTCATATGCTGGAGCTGTGTGAAACGCTGTGTGAAATGTGGGTGAGTTAGTTGCAGACATCGCAGCCATCTGGAAAATTGTTGTTCTGTAGTACTGTGGTGAGCTTGTGCTTTTAGCGAGCAGGAATGATAAAGAAGGAGGAGGAAGTGAAAACAAAAACATGCACACTATTCATTCATAAATATATTTGTTATGCAAGTAATACTCGCTCATCAAAATGGAGCTGTTAGGTACGGAAGCCTGAGAAGGACAAAACTAATTCACAAATTAAGAAACAAAACGAGAATTTATATTTTCCCAAATGGAGACTTTTCCTCATGTCTAAACTATATAACATATTTTGACTAATGTTTGGAAAACCAGCCAACCGGCTCAGTACATTGTGTCCAGTGGACACAATGTACTGAGCAGAAAATGTTGAAATCTCTGAATGCTGATTCTAAACTACCGTTATAAATTAGATGAACTCATTTCGTATTAAATTAAAACACTCTATTTTACTGAAATAGTTTAAAACTATTATTGAAACTGTTAAAATATCTAGAAAAATATAAATTCCATTTCTACATTCTTTCGTGAAATTGCAAATTGGTTATGACCTTCTGGGGCTGCCGTAGTTTTAGCCATTCACCGTCACATTTGTGGCTAGCAACAGTCCGGGGAGTTAAAACAGTAGCTTACACAGTTTTTTTTAGTGTTGACGGATGTTCATTATTAAAAACAGTATTTACAGTAAGACATGGCAGCAAAAAAAAAAAAAAAAAAAAAGTACAAAAAAGTCACAGTTAACTGAAGTGCAGGGAATGCCGACTATAAACTCAAACTTCATACCATATTCTGAATAACATAGGAGGGGTGTGTGGCCAGTGTAGTGTGGTACGATAGGAGCTAAAATGCAGTGGGCGTTTGAACATGCAGCGCTCAGAACTCTTTTGGGTCCTTGTTGTCGAACAGGTGGAGGCGCTGTTCTGCGGTCAGGCCCTCCTTTAGACTCTGGAACAAAAACAAAACACACGTCTTAGAAGATCGTATCATTTCCTCACTGCACATTTACTGTCAACAACATCCAGCAGGTAAAGTGCAGCTCAACTAAGTGATGAGCGTAGCCCACAGTGAGGTGTGTCACCACATTAGCCTATATGCTAGTAAGTCCCAGACAGCACAAATGTATGCACCTGCATGCTTTTCACCTTGAAACTAAAGAGTCGTCACAATCTGTAACATTTTCACCAGCAAGGTTACAATGGGTTTGAACGTGTCTTTTTAAAAGTTACACTATGTAGCTTTTCAGGTGGAGGGTTCGCCACCTGCTTGTCTCCATGGCGATGTTATACATTTGCCTGGAATCTTCCCCCATGTATTAATATTTATCATCATGGAGACTAAAAGGGGACATCACCAGACAAACAAAGTTACAAATTTTATCTTTAAGTTAAGTTAACAATAAGTAGAGGAGTGAGTGGTTTGTACATTATCGTGTAACCAACTTCACTTACAGTCAACCAAATGTCATGATTCTTTATGTTTATGTCATAGTCTCTAAAAGACTGAGTGGGTACTACTGCACAAAATAAAAAATGAAAAAGACTCGATATTGTAAAGTGTCCACTGTGCATCGTTTGTGCTGTCTGAGAGAACCCAGAGTGGTCCCAGTGCAGAGCCGGCCTGCTGGAGGCGGTGCGTGCGTGGGGGGCGTGGCGTGGGGGCGTGGCTTTACCTCAGGAGCAGAGGCGCTCTGTGCTGCAGCCCTAACTGTCCCAGGGCATGTCTCGACTCACAGACTGAGGAAACACACAAGCAGGAGCTGTGTGTTAGACTACGGCTAGAGCTACGACACACCACAGCACAACACTACACACTAAACACCGCACACTATACACTGCACACTGCACAGCATGCCTGAGGCCTGCAGGGGGAGACACTGCCTCTGTGAATGCAGCCTGAGGGAGCAGGCAGGTTTTTTCCATGATTATATTAAAGTACTGTGATGTGATGATAGCACTTAAAAAATGGAACAAAGGGAGGTTGATTTGACACAGTCCACGTTTCCAGAGCGGAGGAATGAATCAGGTCAGTATGTTTAGATCTGCTGCTTGAACTGGTTTGTGTATCATATTTGTACCATTTATGTTCAGTTTGGAATGTTTAAATGCATTTTTTTTTATTTTTTTTACAAAAAAGTGCCTAAAATATATTGGAAAGACAATGAATAAACAGTAAACGCAAGTACTAAAGTTTAAAAATGTCACCTTATTGCTACATGTATTTGTCAACAAATGCTGCATATCTTAAAAGGTACAGTGTGTAACATTCTATTTCACACAGGTGCCACCTTCAGAAAGTTAAAGCCATACTTTAGAGCATTCCCCACGGAGATATCTTTTATGGAATACTGTGGAATATTATAGTCTGGTTACTGTGGGACATTTCCATGGAAACAAGCAGGAGGCGGCTCTCCTTCTGGCCAAATAAGGGCTCTGGTGATGCAAATGTTTGGTTTGTTTTAGTTCAGTCTTTGTGAGGGTTAAAGTTACATTCTGTGGCTTTAAAGATGTATCTTTTGTAAACAATTCACTGTCCATGTGATTGTTAAATCAGTCCTATTGTACAAAATTGACTTTTGAGAGCTTTTAACCATGTTGCAGTTGTTTCTCTTTCTCATTGGCCCTCTCTGAGTTGTATTATTTTGCGCTTTGAGTGCCTTGAAGGTGGAAAAGCGCTATAGAAAAATGTGACCATTTACCATTTATTTGGAGTGATGTGTGCACGTTTGATCACTTATTTTCAAGATGCCATATTCCTGATCAACCCCCATTTGCACAGCCACCAGCATACACTCACTGCTCTATATTTCGTTCTCCAACTTTATTTTCTTAAGTTGGTGGTATGTGTAGGTTTTTCCATATTATAACATAATGATCCACAGATGTCATAGCATATATAGCAGACACAAGCACAAGATACAAACTACAGAAAATATGTTGACAACAGAGATATGAGTTACAAAGTTTGAGCTGTGGATTTTGTAACATAGAAAGAGTCAGACTTCTGAGCAGGAACATGCCAGGAGTGTTTCTGACCATGTTAACTCTTCAAACTCGGACAGGGGCAGTGGATGCAGCAGCTCACAGACCCCCTCCGATACGTCCAAAGCACTCACCTTTGACCTCATGGTGCGCTCCGAGCGTTTGGCAGCAGCGGCGGCCATCTTGAGAATGTCTGGGTTGCTTTTGGACTTCATGATGTCTGAAAGCACAACATTCTGATTAGCAACGATTGATACACGATGACAACCCTTACTGTTGGGATGACTGGGAGAGGACATGTCCACATCACACATCACATATTTTCATCACCTTGTTACCTTTTATTGTCTTGATAGTGCTATATTCACCAAAAACAATGTATTGCTCCCTGCGCTAAGTCACTCCCCCTTCAGAGCACTATCGGCGTGCATCCCACTAATGAACTACACTACAGGGCATCGCTTGTCAAGTTTTATTTTGTGTGTGTGTGTATTTAGGATGTTTTCACACTGCTAGTTTGATTACTTGGTCTGCATCAGGTAATAAAATTGTTATTATGTAGCATATAGACTCCAGTGTGGACTTTCACACCTGCAAACAAACCAAAATTGGTCCGACTGACTATATCCAAGGCTCCTGCACACAGTGGGTTCGATTGCATGTGGCTCGAGGACGCCGAGGCTCTCCCGCACGCCAGACCTCTCGGAAGCGAGGCTGAGAGGCACTGTCTCGCCCAGTGGCCTTCCCAAACCTACACTGGGTACGGAGAGGGCGGGCCAATCCCTATACCCCCAAGCGGAGGCCGGCCTCTGGCATACATGGTTTCTTGAACCCTGCCTAAGAGCTTTCCTGGCCCAGGGAGCTCGGACTTGCAAACCCAAGAACTGCCAGCCGCTCAGACGTCGGGACCCGGCCCCGTCACACCCTTTAAGAGAGGCGTGGGGGCCCACCACTGACGCCTGCAGGCCCAGTGCGCACACAGGACTACCTGGTCGCTCCTGTCAGTAGCACATGCTTGTCTCAAAGAATAATCCATGCAAGTCTAAGTCCACATAGCCGGTACAGTAAAACTGCAAATGGCTCATTAATTCAGTTATGGTTCCTTTGATCGCTCTGCCGTTATTTAGACCACGTTTGGCCACGGTTCAAGGTTGGCCCTGTGTATTCACTCACTACAAACAGTAAATGAAATCATTAGTATCTCGTTTCATTAGTTGGTTTGGACCTACTGACTATGGGTTGGACCCAAGTTGGCGTTCTCACCAGAGGGACCGCACCAGAGTTTGGCATTTGGTGCAGAGTCAAGCGGACCAAGACCATGTCTTTTTTGAGGTCTCGATCAGCTTGATCTAGTGTGGATCTGAGTGCGACTGAAGCTTTCACACCAACAAAAAACAACCCAACTAAGAGCTTCTGGTTCCAATGGACCATTTGGTCGGCACCACCTTCTGTCGGTGTGAAAGCACCTTGATGTAGAGACTGCCATGTATTACCTGCGTCTGACTATAAGTGTTTTATTGTCCGAGAACCAGGAAGTGCCTGGTTAGCATGCTAGCTGCTGTTAGTATAACCGTGATCGCAAAATTCTGAAAGTTGTGAAGAGAATTTATAGAAACCAGAATAATTAGGATGCTCACAATGCGTGAGGTAAGTGAGGAATAACTTTGGTTCTAAAATCAGATATGGTGCATTTAATGCAATCAAATATGTGATAGAAAATGTTTCTAATTTTCAAATCACAAAGGCTTTATTTATTCAAGTAGTAAAAATGTTGCCTTGGATTTATCAAACTGTTATTAAGATACCAAAAGCAATTCACAGTACATTATTTATTCAATCCATATTGGAAAATGATACTCTGGTGTAGACTGACGGAAGCTCCACCCCAATCACTCCCACACCACATTCACACAACACACGGCGGGTGAACAGTATACACATGTTAGCTTTTCTGATGGAGGCTCCGTCAAATGCTTTGAGAGATGTAGCGATGTTATTGCTTTGCCTGGAATGTTTCACACTATGGCATTAAATCCTTCTATCTCCATAGAGACCAGACCAGTTACAGGTCAGATCTGTGGAGAGGCGACCCCACTCACAGTCAGAATGCCTGTTTTACTAGGTATTTTTGAGCTATAAAACCACCTGTAATTGAATAAATGTAAGGTAGAGCTCTTTAATGTCATACTGTGGAACATTCAAGGCAGAGCAGAGACATTACTAGAAAAACAAAGCAACCCAAAATGCACCTTTAAGTAATGCATGTCCTCTACAACGTAAATAAATGTCCTTGTGTCTGTGTCAGTGGTGACAGGTTGCAAAGTAAAAGTAGTAAAGTATTGTACAAATTGTAGATATCTGTACAAGTACATTTTACAGTGGATACTTTTTATTTTTACTTCAATATATTTGACAGCAGTTATCTGTACTTCTTCTCCACTATATTTTGAATAGGACTGAAAAGTAAGAGTATTTTTTTAATTAGTGTTTGAGACCTACAGAAACGCATGAAGGGTTTTTAATTCTATCTTTTCTTGTCTATTTTGTTTGTAATTTCAGCAAACAAATAAAAGCCAACATTCTTCATCTAAATCACTACTTTTAAGCTTTATTAGACATCAAAATTTGCTAAATACTTTTACTTTTTACTCATTAAGTACATTTTTAAAATGGGTACTTTAATACTTTTACTTGAGGATTTTTCTTTTTTTTTTTTTTGCCTTGGTATCTGAATTTTAAGTAACAAAATCAAGTACCTCTTCCACCACTGGTCTCCATGGAGTCTTATGATGTCTTAAAGCTGCTAACTTAATAATGTCTTATGTCAGTCTTATCCCAAACACAAAGTCTCCTGCAATCACAACATTTTCCCAACACTTTTCCTCCCTACTTTTCATGTACCAGGACTACAAACATGGAATAAACCAGGAGCCGCCCATAACCAAAGTCCAAAGTTCATGTACCGTATCCCCCGCGGTCCACCTCCTCCAGCTCAGCCTCCCCCAGCGCCTCGTGGGCCAGCTGCAACTGCTCCCGGAGACGCCCCAGGTCCCTCTCGGCTTTGGCCTTCACTATGCTCAGCTCCGTGTAGATGTCCTTGTACTTGTCCGTAGCGTACTTCTTGTCCTAAAACGTAAAAACGAGACGTCGGTTGAGAGAGGGAGCTCGCTGAAGGGACGGAGGGGGAGTGGACAGCAGGAGCACGTACTCTCTGCGCTGCCTGGAGCTCGTCCTTCAGAGAGTTGATCTCCTGTTTGAGGTACTGCACTTCAGACTCCTTCACCCGCAGCATCACCTGAACACAAAGGAGGAAAAAACACAAGAATCAGTTCAGTGTCTCAAAGCCAACAGTCACTTTTATTAAAATCGCAGAGCCTATTAAAATGTTTATTAATTGAAATACTCAATTGTTTGAATATGTGTAGACTACTTCAGTTTGTGACGTTGTTTTAATATTTACTATTAGGTGTGGGATGAGATTCAATTTCCCCTAAACGAGACGCGGGATTGGATCTACGAGAACGAGACAAGACGAGATTTTGACATAATTTAAGCTATAATAAATACACTGTGCAATTCAGTTCCCAATTTTAAACTCACAATATTTCATTTATTTTAATATTTCTGCTCTTATTGTGGCTCTAGTTTTGGAACTACACTCGGAATTTAACTGGAAATTGAGAGTACTTCAATCCAAACGTAAAAACATGAGGGAAAAAATCTCACAAAATTTTAATAAAAAAAGAAATGTATAGAGGAAGAAGAAGAATAAAGAAATATTTATTCATTTTAGCATGACATAGCAAAAACCTCACAGACACACAACTGTAGTGAGGCTAAGAGTGTGGTTACCAGGCGCAGTTGTGCACATAGCCTATTATTCACGTGTATAGGATAGAAATTTGTGCATATTTGGGAAATCTGTACGTATTTGTCTGTAGTTGAGCATAAAAAAATATTCGTAAACTCTCAAATGAGTCTAGTCGTACATAAAATGCGTTGTGTGTATTTTATCCACCAGAATATGAAGTGAAAAGTTATGACATCAAGAATTACATTCACAAAATTTAAATTTACAATTACGCTTTCTTCAGTACGAATACGAGTTCACAGATGCGACTCGACTGTCAAAAATACATCATCACTTCACAGGCGTTATTTATTGAGCAGAAGAAACGTTGATCTAATTGCTAGACTTTTGCGCCCCATACAGACTGAACCAAGACTGATCCCAGGACTGAAGAAAGTGTAATCGGAAATTTCCATTTGGTGATTGTAATTCTTGATGTCGTAACTTTTCAATTCGTAATCTGATGGATGAAATACACACAATACGACTGGACTCATTCGAGAGTTTACGAATATTTATTTTATGCTCAACTACAGACAAATACACACGGATTTCTACCCTATGCACACAAATATTTCTGAAAGCTTTCTTACTCCATACAGCACATATTAAATCAAATGATGAAATAAAACAGAAATGCCTGATTACTTGTTTGCCTTTTCATTTTATATTTTGGATATGTAGAATTGTAACTTCAAATTTCACACGACCGATCTGTGTTCCAGCTACAAGGTAAACGGTACAAATCAAATATTGACTTTACAGATAACAAACATGAAGTTGATCTGTTGTTAATTACAGCAAATTGTTCATGACGGACGTTGTAGAGGTTTGTTTATTTAGTGTTTTGGTTCTAAAGATGATTATTTAATCAGATTGAGTCTCACATTTGGGTTGCCAGTTATGACGACTAAAACAAATTGGAAATAAACCTCAGTGTCTCTGATCTGAATCGTTATTACCTAAAGCCCAGCACCTGCAATAGAGGCGGGACAAGACGAGAGACACCGCGAGATTAGGTCCACGAAAACGAGACAAGACAAGATTTTGACAATGTTGGCTTCTTATTTATTTGGCTTTATTTATTTATTTTATGATGTAATACTTAGCGGTCATTGTAGTACTGCAAGCTTTTTGGAACTACAGCTTTTCAAACGGTATAACTCACCAGCTCTTAACTCATTTTTGTCTAAGGTAAAGGTAAATTCAAGGGGGAAAAAATCTCACAAGATCATTTTTGTCATATTTTGATCTTAATAGAATTTCCACAAGACGAGACAAGACTGGATCTACAGGACATCATTTAGGTTAACTTATGGAAATTTGTCTGTTGCAAACTGTTCAAATGTGTGCATGAAATGCTGGCAGTAAAAAAAAAAAAAAAGCCGTCCCGGATTTGAAGCATTGGCGCAGCTGGACTTTGGGGTCAGTGGATTCTCACCTCTAACTCGTAGAGCTCTTTGCCCTGTATTGTTGTGCCCTCCCCGGAGCCCTCCTCTGACACCATGGAGCGCATCCTGGTGATCTCTGCAGCCAGACGGTTGTTCAGCTCCTGCACACACACACACTCAAATGTTGGCTTTCCATGCTTTTTGAGCATATTACATTGACTTACATTTATTTCCTGAAGACTAATCCCAACTTTAACCATAATAACTACTTATCTTACACTGCATTAGCCCATATCTTCACTTTAAATCATGTTGTTGATATAATACTGTAAAACCGATCACATGTGTATGTTAGCAGGTGCGTGTTACCTGGTTGTGTGCGTTGAGCTCCTGGTTCTCGCGCTGGCACTGCCTCAGAGCCTGCCTCTCAGCCTCCAGGGCCTGGGCCAGGTGAGCGTTCTCCAGACACTTCTGAGAGTACTGCTCCGACAGCACCTCGATCTCCCGCTGGAACGAGCCCAGCTCCTCTCTGCAACACACAACACACAACGCAGTGAGCTCACTCTTAAAGGTTCACATGCATTATGTGGCTTTGAACTACTGCAATAATGTGGAGAGACAGAAATAAGTACAAAGTTAGAGCAGAGTCAAAATGTATGCATTAAAAATAATAATAATGAATTAGTCTTGTACAGCACTTTTCCAGACGCTCCAGTCACTTTACAATTCCAGACTAACAGAAGCAAGGCTGTCAAAGTGGGCAACGTGTCTTGCCTAAGGACACAACAGTAGGTTTTTAGCTGCTTCCAAGTACCAGGCCCTGCCATGCTTAGCTTCTGAGATCTGACAAGGTCAGGCTATGACAAGGAGGCCGACATGTAAATCATTCACAACTGTGGTCTGTAAAAAGATGCTAAGCTCCAGCCAACATCTACTCAAGTTACCTGCTTTATCAGTGTTCTTCTTCTCCTCACAAAATGTATATGAAATATTGAATCATACATAATTTTTACTCACAAACATTATGCTGATACATTACATATATACAGTATTTTACATGATTTCAAAGTATGTATTTAAAAGTAAGAGCATGTTCATAATTTGTGGATCTTAAGCTAAGTACTGTACACAGTCAGAACGCTCTTATGACTAAAATTCAGTTAGTAATGAGCCCAATCGTGCAGTCTATGATATGATGTGTGTGGAGAGCAGATTGCAGCTATAACCTTTAATGTATATAAGGAGCCAACAGGTTAAAAGTGCTGAGAGCTCCGGGCTGCAGGTGATATGAGATGAAATGAACACATGCAGCTGGAGGCAGAAAGAGCAGGTGAGGCGTGTGGACGTGTCAGCGCAGGTCTGTGAGGCTGGTTACACGTGTGAGACAGGAATGCCAAATGACATGTTGTTGGAGAGCATCACCCACATGTGTTATCATCAAGCTGCTTTTCTATTCAAACAGCACCTCTGTGCACAGCTCTGTGCCCTATAGTTACTCTCATCTCAAATGAAGAGCGCTGACTCTGGTGGAAAAGAACTGCATCACTTTAAAGGATCACATTTATTCACTCGTCTGTTGAGTCATGTTTGGTCAGGCATGACACGCAGTGGAGGAGTGTTCACCAGACTGATATCACTCCGTATAACAAATACAGAACGATATCAGTCTGGATTTGTCAGGCAAGAAATAAGAGGTTGGATAGGAAAATTATATTAAATAAGTTGAGTGAAAAAATGTTGGAATTAGTACTTGATATGTTAAAATAGCCAATAGAACAAGCATCTTTTTTTTTTCTTAAAGAACATGATAAGCATATTCTCACTTGAAATGAGGAGACCAATTCTACTGCACTTGAAATAAGACACATGCAAGTCTACAAATCTTAAATCAAAATGTACCCAAATCAAAACAACTTCTACTTAAATCAAGCACTTCCAATTTGTCAGAAAAAAAAAAAGACAAAAAGTCCCAGAAACTCCTGCAAACAGAAAGTAGGAGGAGATACATCTAATGCTCTTCCTCCCATCTGAGAGAGATCTAGAGCAGACGTGGGCTTTGTAAAGCTCCTGGGCCACATAAGGCCTTTTGGTTGATTCTGACTGGCTCGGTTAAGCTCATTTGGAATTATAAAATAAACATTTTATCATTTGACCTCATACACTGACTAAAGCTGCATTGTTTTTATTTTAGAGATGTTTTTAAATGACATTTTTTGTTTGGCAGCATCACTTTTTCATTGTTTAGTCATAACAAACTCTTACCAGTCTGACCAGCTCATCAAAACAATGATATTTACTGCTTTTTATAAAGAAATACAATAAATATTATGCAGAATGCAGTGAAGCATTTTGGCCTTCCAGAATATTTTCTGTTTCTCATGTGGCCAATGGAAAAATGAATTGCGCACCTCTGTTCTAGAGTGTCAACCAACAAGTGTCTGATATTACAAAGGGGAAGTGGTGACTGGATGGTGCCATATTTCCAGACTACATCCCATCCGAGTAGGGCCTACGTACTCGTGCTGCCTGTGGATCTCCTCCATGTCTGCGTTCTCGGCGTTGTTGTTGGCTTTGCGAGCTTTGTCCAGCTCCTTCTCCAGCTCAGTCCGGTGGGCGTTCTTCATAGCTTCAATAGCTGCAGAGACACAGTGAAAACCATTACAGCACATGGCATAGTCAAATACATTTATCTGTGTGGGCCTTCACTGTGCTCATGGTTCTTAGATCAGCTGGGATTTCCATAAAACCAAACAATCAAATGGAACCTTTCCTAATCTCACCATCAGAATCCATATTGCAGATGTTAACCTACATTATAAACAGGTCTGTCTCAACTTACTGTTCAATAAATGATAGATTGATTTTATTTTGGTGGGTCATAGAGTCCAATCAGGAGCAAGGATGTTCAAGGTAATGAGGCAAGATAGCCACCAATCAAATCTGTAATTAGTGTTCATATCTTGATTTATGAACAAAATAGTGACACAAAAGCACAAGGAACATGTACATGAGTTTCTGGTGTGGAACTTTTATTTTTCTACACCAAGATAAGATTTAAAGTTTTAACATCTACAACTCAGACACCAACTTGCTCTCTTTCTTTCTGTAATGTATTTATCGCAGTAGTTTTAGAGGGATAATCCCGATAGGGGACATTAATTAGTTTGTAGTTTATATTTTCTTCAGCAATGCATCCCACTTATTTATTTATTTTAATGGGGACAAGAATCATTATAAACCTTTTTTAAAAGAAATCAGAGTTCCAATGCCTGTGATCACACCCAAATCAATGTTATGTTCTATTGGTGTGTGAGCTTTACCCGCTATAGTAGCCGCCGTCTCCTCCGCCAGCAGCCTCTCCTTCTCCTCCTGCAGGTTCTCTAGCTCCCTCTGGTGTTTCTTCTGCAGCTCGTCGATCACCTTCTGATGGGATTCCTCCATGGCGGCAAAGCCTCGCTCACACGTGGCCTAGGAGGGCAGCACGGGACACTGTCAGCACGGGCATTCTCGCACACACGCAAAGCTACATTTACAGCAAGCTACAGCCGGTTAGCCACGAGCAAGTCCAGCCTGTGTGAGTAGAAGAGGGTTAAAGAGGGACGAACGGACACGCAGGAGACAGGACAGACAGTCACGGGCAGAGGAGAGAGTCAGCTGAGAAATGTCACTGACCCAGGCAAAAGGCTCCCTAAACTCACTTCATCTGATTTCAGTCTGAGCCAACTGCTTGTGGCAATGTGTGCCAATCATCTGATTTTGGGCAAATTATTGGATAAAAGCACAGTGCTTATACTTATAAATGACTGCCTCCTGTTGTATTTTTGCTGTTTGTCATTACAAATGAGAAAACTGTAATAACAGTTCATCTGTAACTTTATATTACTTCTACGGGAGCACCTGAGTCGTCTAAAGGTTTGCACTTCACTGTGATTGGATAAGTCCACCTGTCACTCATGTACAGAGGGACAGATGAATAAAACGAGTTGGTGTGGAAATGTAGACGACATGTGTCTGTACTTGAGCCTAGAGCTGCATTCAACAGAAAGCCCCAGTTGGCAAGTGGCCCAAGCCAGGATCACATTGCAGTTCCATACTATAGTGCCCTATATCCCATCTAAGACTGCAGGATATATATTCAAATCAAATAACAGATCACTGCTAGAGTTAGTGCAATTATTAAACTGCAAAAGCTGCAATTATTTACATATTAAAATCTCATCTACAAAGAACAACTCATCTTTATGTAAAAATCTTGTACATGTAGTTTAGAAAACATACATTGAAATGTATGGGATTTCTTATATTAGTTTATCAGCTCATATTTAAAGTATGCAACTTCCCGGAGGAGGCACATCACCTGCATGATTCCATGGAAATAGAAAGTTAAAATCACATTATGGAACATTCTCCATGGAGACAGACAAGTTTCTTTGTCATACAGTGGAAGATTATAGCCAAAGGAACAACATTTCCATGGAATCAAGCAGGAGGCTGTTCTCCTGGCCAAATAAGTTTGTGGAGATTCAATTAAGGATTTAATGATTCAGGGTGAAATGGGAAAAAAAAAAGTTTCATGTATTTACTTATTTTTGTTTTCCCTCAAATGTTAATAGGTCTCGAGTTGTTTAAAAAGTGCACTATGAAAAGAATCACACTTTTGAAAACATAGATATCAAAGTAAACTTGCCGGCCTGGTGCAGCTCTACATCACTGGTAACACCATGGAGCGCGAAGGCCAAGAGTCATAATGGAACATATGTAGCCTTAGGAGTACAGAGGCTGGTGCTGCTTCCATGGCCTATTCATTGGTCTTAATCTGGGTGTAAAGCTGAGGCCAGCCCCAGCTCTCTCTGTAACGCCGGGACCAAATGCAGGAGGAAGTGTTTTCACAGGGATCAGGGCCTGGGAGCGCAGCATGGCCCCTCTCAGCTAATGTAAACTTCCTGCACTGACATCACAGCCAGCCGTGCCCACTCTCAAACATGTCAGGCACTCTAACTGCTGTGGGAATCTTAGACTGTTTTATGTATGGACCAAACTATAGAATCCAGTGAAGGAAGTTATTACTGGGTTTCAAATGAGATCACAACATTTTCGATAAGCCAGTATTGTTTTATACAGATGGAAACTATCAGGTTCAATTTTTGTGAATTTAACCTTGAATCTGAATATTTCATGTCAAAACACAATGTGATTCATATTAAAAATGTAGCTCTTGCCTCTATCTGAGGGATGACATCACACTGTAGAATCTGAAAAGCACCAATATGGCGCATTCACGTGACATCACAACATTCAAGACTGACAGAGTTTTACACTGAGCCGAGGGGAGTCAGGTGAGAATTGTAATCTGGGCTTATCCACATGAAACAAAAACTAGCACCAAGTTAACTGCCTTCTCTAGACTCATTTGTGGATCATAATTTCTAAGATTTCTTTCAAAAAACAGTGAATCTCAGTTACTCTGGTTCCAGTATATGAAATATTTCTATTGCCATTCAAAATGTGCATTCAGATTTAACTTCAATGACATAACAAATAAAAAGCTTGTACTGTAAATACCTATTTTGTGAAGTCAGTCAATGTGTGCTCCATTTTGTACTTTTGAAAATGTACCCTATTGTGAAAAGAAGGGAATATCTGAATATAAAATACGATTAGCGGCAGGTATAATAGCAGTAATAAAACTAGTCTGAATTTGTTTGGATAGGTGTGGTGGTAGCAGCGATAATTAATACTTTACCCCAATCCAATAAATTAGACAGTATTTCAAGTGTTTCTGGTCACAGTTCTATTTACAACAAACATGTTTTGAAATTAATGGAAATCTCAATGAAAGTAATAAATAATACACTGAATAACCCACTAAATTGTTTGAAAAATCCTTCTCAGTGATATACTGCTAGGAATCTGGATTAGATATGGGATCACACTGAACTAACACAAGAGGAACACATTTTACTTGAAAACAAGAAGCCTGCTGCAGCATAACCTCATCAGGATAATCCAATACCTCTTGTACACCTGGTGCTAAAATGGGTTCCTCTTCAAACTCTACAGCGGTGACAGTGGTTAACCTGAGGAAGGGTTAGTTTATCATGCAACACGGAAGGGGCTAGCGACAGGAGTGTGAGCCGGGTTAGGGGGTACACTGGGGGCAGGGAGGGAGAGGCGGAAGAGGGGATGGGGGTTTGGGTTTGCCACAAAGGAACACAAGGCATCACAGACGAGGAACGGCAAGGACAAGTAGCGCTTCCACCTTGAGGTTCTCCAGCTCCTGCTCGTATTTCCGCCGCAGCGTGGTGGGGTCGTCCTGCTCCTCGCGCCGCATCTTCTCCTCACTCATGGCTGATACTTGGCGGACCAGCTCTTGGATGTGATCTTTTAGCGTTTGGGGAGAGAAAGCCATATTGTCGACCAGATTCGCTTGATTGACCAAACTCCAGAGCTCCTCCATGTCCTGATTGAACCTCTCGGTGAGGTGCTTCCGCTCGGCTTCGTGCTTCTCCTGGAGGTTCTCCATGCAGTTGGTCAGGGAGTCGATCTCTTTAATGTTTTCTTCAGAACGGAGGTGTAACGCCTCATTGACCTTTGTCAAATCTTGCTGTAACTTGTGATTTTCCTGCTCATAGGATTCTTTCAGCTCCCTCAGTTCCTTTTTGTGCTTTGCTAACATGTCCTGAAGTTCTATCGTTTTATCCACTGAATCTATTGCCTTGCCTTCGATCTGTATCTTTAGATCTACCTCAGACATTTGACTTTGTAGATCGTCAACTTTCAATTGGAGATTGCTTGCCAATTCTTTTAATGTTAAACAGTTTGCACACTCTTGATTACCTGGTTGGATTTCTGACTGCTTTTTCTCATGCTCAACGTTCAACCTTATCGTCACATACGCCATGCAAGCCTCTTTGAAAGCATCTCGCAAATAATCTGAAGTCTGTTTTTGTCGCTCCTCTTGGCCTATGCTAGTTTCAGCCAAAGACATAAACCTCTCATCTCTTTGCTTTAAACCAGAGACTATTTCCATTATTGAATCTAACTTTTCTTGCAAAGCGTTTCTCAACTCTTCAAGAATTAAACTATGAGCATCATTGTCGAACCAACTATACACTGTTGCAAAATCTTCTTGGGCGTCGTCACTTTTTACTTGTTGACATATCCTACGCATTTCTAAATGAGCTTGTTCTTGTGCAATTATTTGTTTGGCCAAACTTGTAAACTCTATGCTAGATCTATCAACATCTGGGTTTACTTTACCCATTTGGCTCCAGAATTCCCCTTCCACAGCTACTACCCGGTCTGCTTGACTAACCAGTCCATCTTGCGGTGTCTCAAATAAAGTGCTTCTCAAATCCAACAGCATTCTTTCTACGTTAACTTCTACCTGAGCTACCATGTCTAAAACTTGCCTAAGTGCCTCTGACTTCCTCTCAAACTCTTCTACCATTTGTTCTTCTTTATCAGCGACCTGCACATCCCCTGTCTGAACATACTCTGGCTTTTCTAATCTACTCTGTGTTTCTATCTTGTCTCGTAGCATCTGGATTTCCTCTTCCGCCTGTGCTAGCCTTGATTTTAAAACAGATTCTGACTCTTGGTTTAGTCTTACAAGTTCTTCGTTCCTAACCTCAAGTTCTCTACATCTCTGTTCTGTAGACTCTAGCTGCGCTTCGGTCTCCTGCAGTTTGGCGTGGGAAGCTTCTAGGAGCTCATGGAGTTGGTCTTTTTCAGGTTGCAGGTCATCACCTTCCATGTCCGCGGTGAAGCCGAGACCCTTTAAGGTGGCTTCCTTCAGCTGGAGTTTCTTTTCAGTGTCTTTGAGGGTAGTCCCGAGCTCTTCCAGGGTAACTAGAGCTTCATGAAGCCTTAGAGACTTCTCATTGAGCTCCCTCTCGTAGTACTCTCTGTCGATAGCATTAGCCTGATTCTCAGCTAGTTCAGCCTTCAGCATCTTGAGTTCCTCCATGATGAGATGGTGCTGCTTGCCACCTTGCTGGCAGATCAGCTCTGCTTTGAGGCGGTCGATTTCTCGGTCAGCTTCTGTCAGCTGATTGACTATCTCCTGGCATCGCTGTTTTAAGGCTCCATTCTCACAGGTCAATAGTTCCACCTTCTGAGAAAGCATTCCGATAGTCATCTCGCTTGTCTCAGAGTGGTTCTCGATCTTTGGGCAAGGACTGAAGGGGTGTTTGGGGCCTTCAAAGCTTTGCCTCTGGACTTTCCCAACTGCTTCCTCCATGGTTAAAAGACGTGCCTCATACTCTCGGATGCTTTCTCCCGCCTTGGCTAAACTCTTCCTGATGGTCTCATTTGTGATCTCCTGTTGGCATTTCCAGCTTTCCAAAATCTTCTGGAGCTGTAGTCTGTCAGGTATGTCACGATTGCAGCTATGTGATTTGAGTAAGGAAGACAGCTCCTTGGTGGTGATAGTTTTGTCAGTTATCAAGTCTTCCAGTTCCTGAATAGCCTCGGAGCTGTCGCGTAGCAAGAGACTAACAGTTTTTAGAACAGGTTCAGGGGGAGGAGTGTCAGAAAAGTAAGTGTCCTTAATGGGCAAGTGAGAAAGCGTGAGGCCAAGCTGTGCCTGCATACTGCGCTTTTTCAGCTCTTGCAGCTTCAGGAGTTCTTTGGTCTCCTGGTACTTCCTGGTTAAGCTCTGTGCCTGAGAACTAACCAGCTCGCTCTTCTTCATCTGGGGCGTCACATCAGCCTCCAGACCCAAAGGGGGCTCCAGCTTGGAAAAGGGGACCAGACAGTTGGTTAACACACAGCAGGGGAGACACAAGCTTGCTAATCATTATCTGTTTAAACTAGCAATCATTTACTTCTACATTCTAACAAAAGGTGACATTACTGTTAGCATTCACACATAATCTTAAATAAAAACTGAGAATAATAGTGATTACATAGTGATACAACAAAATAAGAATGGAGAGAGCAGTATTCTGTAAGGCAACAACCACAGCACGTCTAGTTTGGGGAAGCACAAAAGTGACTTTTTAAAAATTTTATTTTGAACAGATTTCAATAGTTAATGCTTTTATTAACTACAGTATGGTTCTTTGGTACAAATGCATGAGAAAATAATGTGTAAAATAATAATGTGTCACAATACTTACTATATTGACTTATCATTTAATACATGATAAATAAATCTATTTCTTTTGGGGGTCAATAACATCGTATTTCAAAATGTGATATTATGACAGGTCTATGTGTACCATCCGTGCCAAGACTTGGGATGCCCAGTACCCAGCTCAGTCACAAACTTGCTTTCCAAACTAGAGGGTTGCTTGTATACATCTCTATGGAATCCTACACGTTCTTAGTTCAAATGTAATTAAAACCCTGCTCTCTCCTTAATGGTGTGGTGTGAAAGCAAAGAGTTAAATGGCCAGTTGTTAGTGGATCAACAGAACATGCACATTAGATGGTTATACATTGGAGTAAGTCATGTAATATTAGTTGCAGCTGCATGAGTTCTTTAGGATGGAAAGAAAACACATTCTACAAACAGTTGCTGTTATCTCCTTCACGTCCTCAACTTGACCATCTCCTCAACTCTGAGCTGTGATGGTCAACACACAATATATTCTACCATTTCATTTAATGCAAGTTTAAGTCATAAACCAACGTACAAATATTACATATAAAATGACACTGCACTACACAAGTAAGGCATTTTATCAGAGCGTTGCCAAAGTATGTTAAGAAGGTAAACTTGATGGACTGAACAGAAGTTAAAAGATGAGAGTATGATATTCATGCACATCAGTAGAAGTCAAGCGTAGAAACTATTCAAACATGTTTAGAAGATCAGACTTAGCAAATGTGGACAGCAACAACTGTGGTGTAAGATATACACGTGGGATAGACAACAAAATATACTGATGTTTACATCAACTATATTTGCATATGTCTCATTGTTGGATAAACATGTAAAAGTTCAAACATAAAATTATTGCATTATAAATAAATAGGGAAACATTCCCATGTCAAACAAGGGGAATAGCTTCTATTTAGAATTGCAATTAACAAAAGTCTGATGAAAATGCTAAAGCTAGTATGCTAAGTATCTTCTAGCATGAGTTCAGGTCTATGATCAGAGAGATTAACCTGTTAAAGCCAATGTAGTACAAGAATTTTATTATATGAAACATGCACTGAACTCATGCAAAGACTCCATGGAGCCAGCTGTTTTTTGTGTCAGTTTGTTTACATTTGTCTTACATGAAATATGACATGCAGCAGATGTTATGAGATGGACAGAGTATGGCAGAGGTTTGGTATGGTCCAGTACAATACAGTAGAGTGGAGTGGGTGAACTCACAGGAGAGATGTAGCCCGTGCGGATGTCCTGTTCCCTCTCCAGAGCACTCCTCAGCTGCTGCTCCAGCTGCTCCTTGTGCCTGTTGGACTCCAAGAGCTGCTGGTGACAGCTCTCCAGCTGAGCCTTGAGCTCCTCCATCTGCCCAAACCAAACACCAGGGTTTTTATTTGGACATGTTCAGTCTGGACTGATAGACATAACTCTGCTCTTACTACACATGCATTTACACAGCAAAATTCATTCAGTATAAAGTTGTAGTAGTTGACAAACTGGGTTATGTTTTGAATAGGATAATTGGGATATGATTTGAATAGGCTGATAACAATAATCAATGGAATCTGATTGTCCTGCAGAGAAGCACTGCAGTTGTTTCTCTCTTTATTACAAGACTTTACAAAACCCACCCCTTGCTTGTAGGTGTCCAGCAGTTGCTCCAGCTCCGAGGCCTGCTGGAGCTGCTGTGCCGAGGCTAAGGGCACCCTCCTCTCCTCTCTGATGGGCGTCTTCTCCACCTGTCTCCAGTGTTGTTCGATCACCTCCTCCACTCTCTGCTGCCTGTCCACAGAGCCAGGCCCTCCAGTGTCCCCTGTGCTCTCTGGCTCAGTCCTCACTTCCTCTGCGGGCTCCACTGCAGAGCTGGTCATAGATTCATACCTCTTGCGCCTCTCCTCTCTGCGGCGGCTCTTCTCCAGTTCTCCCACGTCGGCCTGCAGACTCTCTGCCTCCTGAGCCCTCTGCTGGGCCAGAGCCTGGGCGATGGGTCTGAACTCTGCCCAGTCGAACGTCTTGGACCTGCCCTCTCGCCTGCGCTCCCTGGCCCTGCTCTTGGCCACAGAGGGGGAGTCTACAGAGGACGTCTCAGAGGAAGGGGAATCCTGGGTCACGTCTGGTCGCACCAAACCTTCCAGAGCAGAGAAAGAGCTGTGGTCCTCAGTGGAGCTGGAACATACAAGGGTGTGCATTTAGCTTCAAACTGAAAGAAATGCCCCATTGCTTTAATAACAACTGACTGCCTGGAGTAACCATACCTGATTTTTTCTTTTTTTTTTAAGACATATTGCAGCTCTGGGTCAAAATGAGTCCACAGAGTACTGTCTGCATCTAATTATAATGTGTTTTATTGTCCGATAATCAGGAAGTGCTCTTGTTGTGACTAATTAGGATGTCTGGAATGCATAAGGAAAGTGAGGAATAACTTTGGACCACTGCAAACAGTTTAAAATGAAATAAATCTGTTTTGCCCTGTCTTTAAAGCTAAATTACTTAAGTAAAAGGTATTTATTTTACTCATTCTTCCATGCCGCTGAGCAAAAACACATGTTGGTATTGACAATAACATTTTCCCATAACATTGTCTTCTTGAGATGGACAAACCAACCTTGCTACATCTGGGGCAGTGGAGGGTCTGACGTTCTTCATGACCGCCTGGATCCAGTTCCTGCGAATCCCTGCCGTCATGGCCGACAGAGTGTGCACCCCTTCCTGCGTCTAAACACAAAAGCATCAGTAACATCAGTTTTGTAAGAAAGGAACCAAATCATAGAATACAATGAAATTCTCTGCGATCTTACATGAATTTGAAACCCATAGTTGCGTTGAGCCTGATATTCCGTAACGTTGTAGCAAGTGGACAGATCAATCTCACCGTCCAGGTCAGAAGCCTGATGACAACAACAGAAGCTTGAGGTCAGACAGAGAGAGACATGATACAAGCAGAGACAGTGAGAAGGTCCACTCACCTCCTCAGCGATGGAGTCTTTGTAGTAGCGCAGGCTGTGGTCCGTCAGCACAAACCAGTATTTTTTCCACTGTGGAGCACAAGCGGAAGAGTAAACTACAGGATACACAGCACTTTCACTGTTCTCCAATTAAGAGTACAGTCAAGTACACTAGTATATTGGCAAAGACCACAGACAAAAATTAAAAACAAACATATAAGACTATCCTAAATTCAAAGTGAAACATTACCTGGCCTTGTTCATCCAGCTTCACCATCCAGCCCTTCTTGAAGTTCAGCAGGTCAGGCTAGAACAAAACATCATATGACTATTAGAAATGCAGAAACAGCTGAATTGCTCACTTTATTTTTGTTTTTATACTGCCATGCAGCACAAAATGCTGTTAGCTGTTGTATTCTTTACCACATTAGCTCGGGAAGAGGTTCTAACCACTTCTGAGTATTTAAAAGCCAACATGCCCACACAGGAGGGAGTTGTCCTGACCTCTGTAGAATGGACAGAATTGTAATGATGTGATGGAGAACAGGGTCAGGACAACTCCTCCACACTGTGGTGACCGTGGTGCATCTCTCAGCACTCCAGTCCTGCCTCCTCAAGCCTCTCCTCCGCCCTCCACCCCAGGGGAGGAGGAGGAGGTCATGTAAGGGCCTCTGAGACTATGAGCAGGTCAGGTTAGAGAGCAGAGATGCACCGTGCGTCCTGCAGGTGCTCAGACTCACATCACTCAGTGCCTGATAGTGACTCACAATAAACAGTGCGCTCAAAACACACAAGCACAACACAAGTTAACCTGCACAGCAGAGGGAGAGGGGAGCAACTACTGCCCCCTGCAGCATGGAGGGCTGGTCTACTACATTCACACCGAGAAACACAGTCGCTTCATCCTGTTTCCAATGATACAACATTTGTGCTCAATCAGGTCATAACGCTGCAGTTGACATGTATTTTTTTAAAAAAGGCCAGGCCGTTTCCTCATTTGACTAAAATGGAGTGAAATCTCTTTCCTCATTACATAATGGTAGATGTGAGGTAAGTCCAGAGCCACAGAGACCTCTGTTCACCTTTAATTCTCTTAAGTGTGTTACCAAACCACATACAGTCTCGACAACAAATCAGAGCCAGGATCAGATCAAAACAGCACAGGCTTTGGCACACTCAGCCATTCCACCAGATGCCTACATCCACTGCTGAAGGAGGAGACATTTAACTCCATTACAACTGATCCTTAAGTACATGAAGGTCTGAACTGTTCATTTCAAAGGTTGTAATGGAGAATGAAGAAAATCCTAAACCAAACAAAGTCTCATCATTTTGAATGTTACTCATTGTACATGGGCGTTCTGATGATTGTCAGAAAAAGAGCAGTGTCTTACGGTCATGACAGACTCTGTGGTCCTTCTGTCCAGGGACTTGGCTCTTCTCAGGGGGGGCAGAGTGGAGGGGAAGTCCGGGTCCTGCCCTTGGTCCTGAAGTGCACACAACACATTTCATTCACACATCACCAAGATTTAGAGCTCATACACTAATTCTTCTTTATCAAAGTGTTTGCTGTACAATGCTCACACATTCTACATCACAAAAGGTTCAAACAAGTAGGAAATACAATGTTTTTTTTTGAAAATATACATGTCCCTAAATGTTCATGTGTTAAAGCTTTTATAAACTCTCTAAAACAGAAATGATTGTTGAGTTCCATATTAAAAGGTGCAACTTGTAACTTTTCTGGAATGTTCCACAGTATTTTTAACAGTTTACACTGTCCATTGAGCCACATTACAGGTCAGATCTGTGGAGAGGCAACCCCACTTATAATAATGCACATTTTAAATAAAGATGGGCAGATATAGATTTTTTTTTTCCCTTTTTTTGATCCAATACAATATTTGCTGAAATTGTTTTTTAGCTTTTAAAATAAGGCTCACAAATGTATCTTAACTTGAAGTAACGATCACAGATAATACTCCCTACAACAGTACAACTACTCACCCTTATGCAACAGATAATATTCCCTACAACAGTACAACTACTCACCCTTATGTGATAGATAATACTCCCTACAACAGTACAACTACTCACCCTTATGTAACAGATAATACTCCCTACAACTGTGCGACAACTCACCCTTATGTAACAGATAATACTCCCTACAACTGTGCGACAACTCACCCTTATGTAACAGATAATACTCCCTACAACTGTACAACTCACCCTTATGTAACAGATAATACTCCCTGTGGATCAATAAAGTCTGTCTAAGCATCAAATGATATTGGCCGATAACGCTATAAAAAAACCTATTGATATATCGTACATCCCTAGGTTTGCAGATATTTTTGAGCAATACAAATACGTGTAATTAAACAAAATGCAAAACACTACATTCAGTTCGATACTGGGGAATATTCCATGTGTCATGGAACCTCAACCGGAAAAGTTACATAGTGCACCTTTACGAGCGCTCTCATGTGTTAATGTTAACTGTGAACTGAAAACTAAAAGCGATATTTGGAAAAAAAACACATTATTATTGCAGAGCGTGGAGCTGCGGGTGGGAAAAGGAAGTCTGGAGCCCAAGGGGAATCCCACCACTGAAGGGAAACTGGATATGAACACGGCCCATGCAGACGACCCCTGACCTCCTCGGAACAAAAGCAGGATGGAGGGAATGGGGCAGGGGTGAAAAAGAGACAGACAGAGAGAGAGAGAGGAGGAAGAGGGGAGCAGTGTCGGTACCTCTCGATGGAAGCGCCTGTGCTGGCTGCGGCCTTGTCTCTCCTCGCTCCTCCCGCTCTCCTCCACCTCCATCTTCTCCTGGTTCTCCAGCTCCAGGGCCTCCAGCTTCTCGATCACACCGGAGCGACTGCAATGCCACAGGACACAAACGCTGTCATTTGACTTTTCATGAACAGCCAATGATGCAAACAACACTTTAAGGGAATACTACAAGACATACAGTGCACTTTTTCACTTTAGAATGCTTATTTGAGGGGCTGTTTTAAATTTATACTAACATTACTATAGCAGAGTATTTTTATTTTATTTTTTTAAGTTCCCATATTTGTATTAGTTAGAATTAGAGTTATTATAGAGCTTTTAGCCAGGTTATGTTACTTTTTCACAAATGTACCTGAAGTTGTGTTTGTGTTTTGTTTTTTTCATTCATACATGTTTGAGTAATCCTTTATTGTTAGGCCGTACATCTCCAAAGCTCAAAATGCTCTGCCCCACCTTGTGATGTCACGAAAAGGTAGTTTTCAACTTAACAGCTACCTCTTACTTTTCGTTCAGAAGGGATTGGCAATTCCAGAGCTGAAATTATCGAAATGATCCTAGTGGAAGTGTATGGAGCACTTCCTGTTGTACCATATGATATCACAAGGTGGAACAGAGTGTTTTCTGTAGGGTTTCTGCAGGGTTTGTGTGTTAAACATGTGTGAATGAAACAAAAAAACTCCAGATACAGTATGTTTGAGATGAGGAAACAAAATTATAACAAACATCTGAGAATAGAGTAATATGGACCTTTTAAAAGCACCTTACCATTTATTAGTACAGTAAAGCTTGAACTTACTTTTACCACAGCCGCACTTTGACCAATATGGACACGTTATACCTCTTTTGAACTATTCAGTCATTAGATTTTACATTTCAATGACCAGAAGTCACGTTGAATGCACAAAGAATCGGTATACCACTTAGCAATGTTAATGAGCCATTATTGTAAACATAAGCACTGTGCTGATATCATTTCATTTCATAACAATGAAACCTTTTAAGAGTCCTAAATGTTTTCCTAGTTCAGCTGACAAAAATAGGCGTGTAACGATATCCAAGTCTCACGATACGATATTGTCACAGTAAGAACCTCACAGTACGATATTTACTGCGATATCATGGGGAGACTCACGATATGTTGGGAAGGCTCACGATTAGAGATGTAATAATATCCAAATCTTTCTGTACAATATTTTGACGATATAAAGCTCACGGTACAACATTTGTTGCGATATTTTGTGGACGTAAACAGCTAAAACTGTTAATATGTTACTTTTTCCTCTCAAAATGCCTTGACAAGACTTAATCCAAAGAACTAAGACTTAAAAGTGCTTAGAACTGTTATTTCTTCTTGTAGTCTGCACTGAAATGCAGCAAAGGATCATGGTCTATGTAGTTCCTTGTGTCTTTTTTAGCTATTGCTGCACCATAACTCTTCATTTAAGTAAAGAGACTTGTAATTCAATATACTGTGATGGTCCACGATATTATTGTGAGAACTTTGATGATATAATATCACGATATTCCGGTTAATGTCACAAAAGATTTTAGTGATGTAGCTGCTCTTAAAGTGCACTCTTTACGGTCCACTCCTTTGCTCAGTGCTCACTGTTAACCTGAGAGTTGTCAAATAAAGACCTGGCCGTGGTTCTGTAGTATCAGTTCTTGGTATTAACCCCACACTGATACCATTTTAGGGAAGAAAACAAAACAAAAAATACAAAAAAAAAAAAAAACACTTTTAATGAACATAGCAGGCAATCAAGCAATCAAATCAGCAATCAAAAGAGTATCTACTTTCAATAATAATTTTGTATTGAAAAACAAAAATGTGGCTGTTTGCTGCAGGTCTTTCAAGTGCGAACAGGAAAAGGGTGCTCTTGGGAAAAAAGATCAAAACTTAGAGTAGAGTTAAAAGGATTTGATTATTAAATGGCCAAAGCCAACATGACTGGTCTTCATCGGAGCTTAAGTTAGTATCATAAAAACTGAAGCCGGGTTGTGGCCTTTAAAAATCACCAACCAATCATAAAGGACAGATGTTAATTCGAGTCAGACAAACAAGAGCGACGAAATCTGGTCTAATCTTGAAACCCATATTTTGCAAAATAACATCTGTCAGAATCCATTTGAAATGTTCAATTATAATAACCAACTTCAACAATAAGTAAAAAATTGAAAAATTTGTAAATTACTATCACAGAAGAATTGGGATTTTCTTTTTAAATTCCTTCGGTGTTCCTATATGATTTTTTTTGTACTATCATTGCACTATTATGTATATTCTGCCTCAACTTATTAATCAACTTTATTATTATTATTATTATAAAATTTAGTTTTGATATATATTTTTTTTTTAACTGCTGCTACTGCTACTACGGGGACTACTACTACTACTACTACTACTACTAATCATATAATAATCATCAGTATTAGCAGCAGTAGTATTAGCAGTAGTTGTATTGTACTATTGCACATTAAATCAATAAAAAACTAAATTTATATATATTATATATATATATATATATATATATATATATATATTTATTAAAATAATTATTTTAAATGTATTATTATTATTAATTGTTGTTTTTAATAGTAGTAGTAGTAGTAGTAGTAGTAGTAGTAGTAGTAGTAGTAGTAGTAGTAGTAGTAGTAGTAGTAGTAGTAGTAGTAGTAGTAGTAGTAGTAGTAGTAGTATTGTACTATTGTGTATAACGTCAATAAAAAAAAATAGCATGAGAGAACTTTTTTTTTTGTTGCACACGCAACAAAAAACAAAAAAATGTTGTATGGATTTGTAACGACTTAGTCATGTGTGTCTTTTTTTTACAACCCTACTCCATAATCGCAGCGGTCCTTCAGATACCAGATGCTTCTCTCCTGCCTCAAACTCCACTCCTCTTTTTGAAATGTCCCCTCTGTGTAGTGAATCGGAGTCCTGAGTCTGCATAGCTGTGTGTGTGTTCCCCTGCAGTGACACCAAACCCCGGCCCACCACACAGGCCTTTTGTTCAGCCACAGAGGAGCAGCGGTGCGCGGAGGGAGCACACACAGCAGGCAAATATTACATTACTCCGGCCCAAACTCTGGCCTTATTTGGGGAGAGTTCAGCCAAAGCCCCGCTCCTTAAAAGGGAACAGAGGAGAGGAGCCGGCAGAGGCATCATGGGACCGGGAGAACGCTTTGACGTGGGATCAAAGCATCTTCAGCAACACACAGAAAACACAGGATTTCTAACAGGGCTGCTTTAGAAAGAAACATTTATATTAAAAAGCGAAACATGATTATTTTCCATTTATTTGAGCAGAATTAATCTTACCCCAGGACAGACATATTGTAAAAGCAGCTATTGAGGTCAAAATGTGGTGAATAATTAGGATGCTCTGAACGCATAAGGTAAGTGAGGAATAACTTTGGACCACTGCAAACAGTTTTCACATTTTTAAGACAGTAAAAAAATCAGCTACAGCGCCTTTTAAGAGGACATGTTTTGTTTTGTTTTCTACTTGGTATTTGACACAGAGCATTATTTAATCATTACATTAACAGGTTCAGTGACTTCCTGTACAGAAATGCAGAATTGATTCTCTACAACTGCTTAAAGTTTTCGGTCTCAGTCATAGTCCCGTCACAATAGTTATTCTAGCCACTTATTGTGTAATATATGAGGGCAAGAACAATATATTTTGGTGCCCAGTGTTTTTAATGGGTACATTTTCTGTGCAAAAGTGGTAATTTGGGGTCTTTTTGTTAGATTACAATAAGATTTGAGCTGTAGAGTGTTGGAAAATGTACTTCTATGGCTCATTTTTGGTCACCTGATTGATTAATAAGCGGGTTTCACTTCATTCTGACTTCGCAGCATTAGGATTCGTTCGCTCGACGTTAGGCGGGTAGTTTTTTTATTTAACCAGTCGCTGCTATTTGGTCATGACGTATGTAATGAACCAAATCCCGTAGGAAGAAGGGCAATAACGTCTTTCCCCTTAATAAAATTCACCAAACATTCTCTTTGTTCTGCCTTTAAATGCTCGAGCTTGGGAATTGTTGCCAACACAGAATGTATGACTTCGTCTACATCCATCTCGACGCTGTGTTTACTGTTGTGCTGTTCCACAAAAGGGACCCAGACAGGAGCTTGAGTTTGACATCATGGCTTCACAGCTCTTCTCTGATTGGCCGGTGCGCGGTCTACAACTTCTGGGGTTCTTGCAAACTGTCTAGTGTATTCTGATTCCTGAACTGGTCGCTGGAGAGAAATGAAATTGAGCAGAAGCACTAGGTGGTTTCAATATTATGGTTTCTCGCAATGTTCCTCTGTAGCAGTATATCGTGCTTCAAAATGTGTTATCGTGACAGGCTGCCTCTCTCTCAGTGCAATTCAACACTGTATTTTTTTACTCATCCACTTATCATGGACCAAAACTATTCACAACACAAGCTAATACGGTAAGAATCATACGGAGAGACCAAAATTTGTGTCAGTGCTGATCTAAAATGAGTGGATAATTACCATGTGCAGAGAGTGCTGCATAAAGATTGGCTAACCACTGAAAAAATCTAAATATATATAAATAAAATTATATTGTGAATGTTGCTTTGTATTACACAATAATACTGGGTAAGTTGTTTATCATTTTAAAAACTCAAAATGCTGGGGAAAAAAATAAAAAATTGAAGTATGAATGGAAAGTGACATCTCTCAAGTGACATTTTTGGGGTATTTAGACACTATTTTTAGCGAGGGCCACACATAAAAAAAAGTAACACAGACTAAGGCTACCGTTCAGACTGCAAGGCTTAATGCTCAATCTGGATTTGTTTTGTGAAATCAGATTTTTTTTTGCGAGGTCGTTCACATTTCCAATTAAATGTGACTTGTGTTTGATCTCTAGTGTGAACTTTAAACGCCCCAAAAGTGACCCACATGCACATTGGAGGACACGACGATGTCACACAGAGCGTGTTCAGTGTTTACGGAAGTCGCCTAAACATGGACACGAATATTGAAGATTTGGAGATTTTAAAGTTGCTGTTGTACCGGAGCCACAACATGTACAGCTTATTGAGATTGAGGAGAAGGAGGATGAGGTTTTTGGCCCTGGCGTTTTGTGGGGCAGTGGCAGCAACGACCTTAGAAAGGAACATGTGAGTGCGGAGTCGCAGTCAAGAGTAGTGGGACTGATATGTGCTTCACTGACACGGAGTTCATACACAGTTTACGTATGAGGAGAAGAACGTTTGTGTACATTTGTGACCATGTAGGTGGGATGAACATGACTTGGCCGTTCAGACTGAAGTCGCATGTCAAAAGATCAAATATGTATCGGTTTTAAAAGCATGTATCCAAGTGGCCTGGGTCACATTTGAAAAAAACAGATCCGTGTCATTCAGACTGTTTTTAAAAGATCAGTTACAGGTCGCATGGGGCGAAAAAAATCTGATTTAGGTCACTTCAGGCTGCAGTTTGAACGTAGCCAAAGAGGAGGGCTGATCGAGGGGATAGGTTATACTGAACCACTAGACCTTTAATCATGTTTAGATCCTCAGTAGGACAGAAACATTTGATATGGGCTTTATCGTGGTAAATTTCCCAAATTTTGCTGTAGTACTGCTTAAGGTAATATAGGCCCTTTGGGTTCACCTAAAGGGCTGCATTTGGTCCCTGGGCTACAGTTTGGACATGCCAAGTGCCATTTCCATTGCACTTGTAGCTGCTAGATCGTTGGCCCATAAAGAACAGACCACAGTGGGGCAGTAACATGTTTATGGGCCGTCCCGCGGTGGACAGGGGGCCCGGGGCTTCCTGTGAGGGGAAAGAGATGACCCCTCCCCAGCCCTCTCCACCCACCACCCCCCGATGGAGAGGGAGACCTGTGCCCTCCGACAGTAAAGCCAGATTAGTCCATGGAAACTCCAGCGGTTTGTGTTTAAACAGCCTCTGCTTACAGTGGCTCTGGGAACTGATACCAAAGCGGAGGAGAATATTAGAGGAGGTCCATCCATAGTGGTTCAAACAGTTCGGAGGCAGCGTGCGTCACGAGATAGCGCCCCGATAGCAGCCATGACTTTAAAAGGAGAAAGCTGATGGAGGGTTTCTAGACCAAAAAGTGAGAGAGAGTGGTCCACATACCAAGACAGGGATCTAATTTTCTTTATCAGGCCAATTCTGACAAGGAAAACCGGTTTCCCTGGTGTGGTTCCCTGGCCTAGTATTAATAATACCACAAACTAATACTGGGCCAAGATTGTATCTTTGTATTGTACAGCAAAAGTACTGTGGTACTAGTAATGTTTAAAGGTGTTGTTCTACTATATTTTAAAAAAGATACTCAAAGATACTAATTACAACTGAACCTGTGTCTCCAGAGTCTTAACCTGCAGATAGAGACACATCCAAGTTCGTCTCATTCCCAGTATATCGACAAAACATGCCTCATTTGAAAGCTCAGAAACTCCAGAATTCCCCCCCTGAGCTGCAGAGGCTACACTAGCACTGATTCATGACTGCTGTAGGTGCTGGGGTTTTGGTAGTGACCATTCAGATCAGACAGAGAGACATTTTAGGACTGATTACCAATCCAGCCGCCCTCTTGAATGCTTGGTTACACAGACAGTAGTAGTGGATATGTAGTGTGTGTGATATCAGACCTCCTCTCGGGGCTGATGAGCGACTCTCTGTCCCTCCTGTCTGGGCTCTTGTGGCGGCTTCTCTTCTCAGCCTTGCGGGCCTCTGCCTCCAGCCTGCGGGCCCTGGGGGTGTCATGGTGGTGGCCCCTGTGTGCGCTCTGGCTGTGGCCCTCTCCGCTGGTCACCGTGCTGCCACTGGCGTCCGAGTCCAGGGAGCTGAGAGAGCCGCTGATGTGGGAGCCGTTGGACAGCAGGGAGCTGCCCGAGGGGAAGGGGTCGCTGGGGGCCGGGGACAGGCAGCGGGGGACCCCTCCCAGGCTGGAGCAGGAGCCTGTGGGGGAAAGAGGGTCGCTGGTGGGCTGAGGGGCGGAGCCGTGGAGGACGTGACTGGAGCTGCGGTCCACTTCATCACCATTCAGAGAGTTGAGGTCTGAGGACACGGCAACATCACCTGGACCAAACAGAGACAAGGACTTTAGTAAACAAATGGCCATTTCTAATGAGTCTCCTAATATTAGCCACATATAAAGCAGCAATGTGGAATTTCCTGGAACATCACCGCCTGATTCCATGGAATTGTACCGTTACGCTACAAAGTGGAATATACCGTATTTTTTGAGACTATAAAGTAGTATTTTTTCGGACCAGATTATAAGGCACAATATCAATGATGTTGAATTATCTCGTCTATTTTCATAATTAAGACACATTAAGCAAAACAAACAGATGACACTTGAGACTGATTCTTTAGTCCAGGCATCCACAATTTATTGGCAGATCGTGATGTAATTCGACAGCATTGCCTCCCTGTCTTGTTGAATGTGTATTATGAATGTAAATGTGGGTGGTTTTATTTCCTATGAGGAGGACTGAAATATACATTGAGTAATAATGTGTTTAATGCAGCTTTGTGCACATTTGTTTACGTTTTAGAGAAACGAAACTTAAAACCACATGGCTAATTTGGATAAAATATAAGTGCTGAAAAAAACAGCTCGCTCCTTGTGCCTTGATGAAGTCAGCTTCTGTCAGACTAAGGACTGTAAAATTGGGCTTTATTCCGCAAGGCTCCTGACTACACTAGCCATAATGGTCCGAAAATCCATCAAGCAGTGCGGCTTCGTAGCTTTCCAAAGTTATGCTAAAACATTTTGACAGATTTTTGAGCACCGTGTACCACATAGAATCAGTTTGAGGTCAGTAAGCACAACCAGAATTAATACATAAAGCACACTGTTGATTTATGAGAAAATTAAACGATTTTAAGTGTGCCTCATAGTCCAAAAAATACGGTAGTAACGAATGGAACATTTCCTTGGAAACACATGTGGAAAATGCCAGCCTGCTCACAGTAAGAATGTTTTTTCAGAGCAATAAAAACATCCAAAAGTAAAAAACAAACATGCTTTTATGCCTGGCAAAAAAATTACACAGTGAGAAGTTATTTTGTGAAAACACAGGCAAACAAATACAATCTCCATGGAGACCCTCACCGAGTTAAGTTACACAGAGCACCTCTAACGTCAGTTCATTTTATTGTTAGAATGAAGCTGAACAGAAAATGGATAAGTTGAGCAACCAGAGCACCAGCGCTATCAGAGTTTATTATTAAAAAGCATTGTTAAGTGAGGCGAGTTGTGGCATTGTTTTTCTTGTCATTAATGTTCACCAGATTGTGTAACCACTGGGCCTGTTAACTAGCCTCTAAGTTAGTTACACTTTCAATGTGCAGTAACATGCATGCAGGAAACAACAAATGCACCACAATTAATAATGTCTTAAAACCTCTCCCTGGCAGATTTACTTAATACTTCCTGTTTGTTTACTAGCCTGAACAAGGTCAGGACCAGGAAGTGGCCAGATAAGCCCAGAGATTTCCCTCATAAAAGTGTGTCCTTCAAGTATGCATGAAAGTGAATGTATTAGAAGCACAAAACCATGAGCCTGGATGTGCCCCGAATCAGAAATAGCTTGAAAATATTAGGTATGTTGCGTCACAACAAATTCCAGTCAATAGGCTAATCGTGTCATCATTTCAAGTGTCATTCAAGAACTATCCAAACTTATGATCCACAGTTAAAATCCTAAAGCCCTTTCAACTAACAACAATCAGGTCTTTGGGGTTGAATAAAGGCACCTCTTTCCAAGAAGTGTCTTTTGCTTATGTGTACTGACCAAGAAGACGTTGAACTTTGTGTCAGTTTTTGTTTCATTCGGATAAGCCCAGTAATTACTAAGATACTGTAAGAACCATAAACAAGGTCAAGAAATCTGCAATCCGAATTCTGACTTGTCCTCCAGCTCTGTTTTAAACATTCAGGATTCTAGACAGTTGGGACTGCAATGTTATTGGAGTGGGACTTGTTTAACAGCACAAAAGCTCTTTACGGTCAGACTGTATTAAAACAAAACTCAGAGTAAAGTCTAATTTGAGTAACAGAGCTTCAGACAAAGAGGCCACCCCAGAGAACATTGATGCCATCAGCTGCAACGTTTCAATACAATCTAATATTCTTCTTCTGGCTATGGGTTGTTTATCTGTAGCCTGGATAGCCCATAAACATTGTGAGTGCATCGAGTTCCTCCAGACCTGTAGGGGGCAGATCAGCAGTAGCCCACAGCGCTGTTCCCTCTGCCTCCCTCTGACTCAGCTCTTCCTGCCAGATGATGGAGCTGGAGTCTGGGCCCTTCTCCGTCTCTGGGATCCCCGAGCCCGTCACTGCTACCTTCGCTGGACCAGGCTCCTGAACACAACATGCAAATAACATTACAAATATACTCAGTCTGAATGTTAAGGAGAGAAGGAACAAAGTTTACTTGTGAGGTTGCAGGCTCCACCTTGCGTTTCTTCTTCTGGTTCTGTTTGTTGGTGCGAGGATAGACAGACAGCTGCTCACTCCACCTGCAGGAATTCAACAAATACATTTTAGTGTAATGACTCATTTGAGATCAAATATTGTCATGGTGATTGGATATGACAATCAATTAGATCAATTAGATCTTTCATATTGACAATTTCATTGAATCTCTCTAAAATAATTAGCTTTCTGAAATGTCGGTTTATTTGTTTGGAGGATAAGCCCCTTGAGATGTTTAGCAATCTCATTTTCGAGGCCCTTCTGGAGCTGACTCTCCATGATAATAGGAAGCTATTTTAAAGAGCCGTTAAACCCCCTCCCAAAGCTTTACTCCGCTCTAAGCAAAATCTGAAAAATCCTCTAGGCAAGTTGGGTCAAGTGGGTGTGGGGTGGGCAATGGAGCTATGATTGACAGCTGACCGACAGCCAGAACAATCCAACATGGCGTGGATTGGTGCGCTCCGGACTTTGAAATAGAGCAGACATTTGTACTCTGATCACGCCATTTCCCTTTTCTCCAGACAAGGCGGGACGTTGCAGTGCCCGCCGGTGCCAGGTAGAGGCGAGGCTGAGAGGGGCTCCTGCAACCGACTCATTGACGGCCGTTTGTCCTGGCCGTAGTAGATCCTGAAGAGACCGTTACAGACACGGCTTTGACCTAAAAGTCAGATTTTTAGCAAATATGCACTAAAATGCCAAAATAAGGCCAGGAATAGGTATACACTTCTATTTTAGACCCATTTGCACAGATAATTAGTAGAAAAAAGTGATTTTGGTGTGTAGTGGCCCTTTAAAACCACACTTGAGAACATTCTCCATGGTGATAGATAGATTTATAAAGCTAGTGCATTACAGTCACAACAAAGCCATAAACTAGACTCCAAAAGTATTTCTGTGTGTGTGGTTGTGTATGCGCATGTGGTCGCGCATACCCATTGATGATCTCCTTGTTCTCCCCTCTGATGAAGTACTCCTGCTCGGGCGTGATGATGCATAGGGAGTTCTTCTGGCCGGTCTTGGGCTCTGCGTCGATCACGTCCGTGCACTGGTTCATGTTGACGGTGCCCTGGGGCAGTGTGCTGGGCTGTACACAACACAACACAACACAGACACATTAGAACAAAGTTGGACTAGACAGAGGGTCAAAAAAAAAAAAAAAAAAAAAAAAAGGTCAAATGTCAAACGAAGGTAAATGTGACCAAATTACTTGCATGTAATGATACAAGGGAATCATATAGTGAGTTTTTACTTGATTTTATTTTCATATAGTTGCAATAAAAGCCCTTTATATGATTCAGTTTAAGTGCAACATAAAAGGAACATAAAATACGACTGAAAGACATAACATGTGCATTTGGCAAAGCATTCTGTCGTGTAATAGCAAACACAAAAACCACTGACAGAAACCATCAACGTGTCCAATCACACATATTGTTTGTAAAAATCACGGGAGATTCAACTGCCTGACACTATCCCAAACATCTGTCATGACGCATTACGAAGAGTGAAAAGAAAAAAAAAGTACAAAGTGGGCGGAGTTTGATGAGGACCATGCAGAGATAACTGCATGAGACAGTCATTTCTGTGTCTTGGTACATCAGAGGGGAAGAAATGAGTGAAATCTGACCTTTAATTCGGTCTGGTTTGACGATAGAAAGGTTTAATACCATACTGTGAATAATTCCAGACAAAGTAATAACATCGCCATGGAGAAAAAGTCCAGAAAGTTGCACAATCAACATTTAATATCATCCTCTTGCCTGCTCTCTATCACACTGCATAGGCCAAATATAAAAATAGGTATTAGTCAGCTATTCCAGTTTGTTTACATCCAGTAGAGCCAGGCTTTCCTGTCAGATCAGAGAGGAGTGGGAGCACATGTCACCCAGGTGCTCCCCGCTCCTTCTAAGGCCCGTCTGAACCCCTCCGGGCCCGGCCTAATATGGACTTTTACACACTCACACAGGAGGACTTCGCCGAACCACTATGCTAATCAACTCACCCACATACTTTGGATCATTTGAGCGTCTGGGTAGGAGGAGGTAGACAGCTCGAAATTGTGACCTTATAAAACTGTCGTCATTGTTATATCATTTCTGATGTAAGAAATGCATTTGAAAGTATGGTTGTGTAAACTAAATTAGCAGGTAAATGAAAATAAAAAACAGAATTGTGATTGTATTTGATGATTAGCTCTTTGATGATATCGTTATATTATGAATCAGTGCTTTTCGTGCAGCTCTATTCTCAAACACAGCCACTTTTCCCCTCCCACAGCTCTTATTGGTCAACCTCTGTCATGCTCTCAGTGAGTGACATTACTTAATTAAGTACCATATTTTCCGCACTATAGGGCGCTCTGGATTATAAGAAAGCACCGTCATTGAATGGTCTATTTTCAAACTTTTTTCACAAATAAACCGCAACGGACTTTGAAGGAAACCCAACAGTGTGATGGGTGAGTGGTTTTGTTTGTTTGTTCGTTCACGGTGACTCTGGGCTTTGTTCAGTTGTGGCGTGTAGGGAGGGTGTGTCTGGGACCAACGGATTGTCGGCGTGTTCGCAGTGACTCAGTTGTTCAGTTGTGTCTAGAAGTGGCACATTGCACTCGCTTTTTCAGTTTGTTCCTCCGTTCCGTTCCTCGTCGGCGTGGAGTGATGAGTGTGTCTGCGGGTGTGTTTGTCGCTGTGCGGTCGCTGTCTGCTCCGTGTGTGTTTGCATGTTCTGCGGGTGGTGCGGCTTTGTAGTTTACTGAAGTCGTACTGGGACACCCAAGTGGATTCGTGTATAGGGCGCTCTGGATTGTGGGGCGCACATTCGTTTTTTGATGGGGTTGGAGGCTTAAGAGTGGGTCTAATAGTGCGGAAACTAAAGTACTACTACATTAATACACTAAGTTACACTACTACATGAATACGCTATGTTACACTGTCAAATACAGTACTTGAGTTGGATCAACAGGTAGCGTTTTCAGACAGAACTTTGCTGGTGTTGGTTCCCGCACCTAATCTCAAATTGACTGACGTGTTCACAGTGAAAATCAGAGCGTTCAGGAACCAAAAAGTTGGCTCCCAATTGTGTAACTTTTCTGGTGGACGGTCATTCATGGAGATGTCATTGCTTTGTCTGGAATGTTTCATGGTATGGTACTAAATCGTTCTAGTTTCATGAAGACCAAACCGGTCTAAGTTACAGGTCAGATCTGAGGAGAAGCGACCAGAATGTCGTTTTTTTCTTGGTATTGTTGAGCTATAAAACCACCTGTAATTGAAAAAATGTAAGATAGAGCTGTTTAATGTTATACTGGGGAAAATTCCAGGCACAGCAATGATGTATCCATGGAATCAAACAGGTGGCAGACTCAGAACCAAAAAGTTACATAGTGCACCTTTAAGTACTTAATTTATTGAGTACTATCCAGTTCTCATAGATATGCAATAAACAAACAACAACAAACATATAAACCAGTGTTTTGGGTGTGCCATTTACTAAAAAGGCTAGATGGCTAGTAACATATTAACTGATTAGCACCAAAACAATGGCGAGATTCTGACCAAGGCTAACCCTGAAAGCCTAACACAGTTCCATATCCTCCCATTGTGTGCTTCCACGGTCAAGCTATTTATAGCTGAGCTCTGGGATATTATTAAAAGAGACTACTTTCTCACACAGTTCCAGAGCTCGCTCCGTCTGGTCCCGACACCACTCAAGACTCCTATTAAACGCACACTGTCTGCATGTGAGAATCTTTACACTACTTTTATGACAGTAGAAAGTTTGATACATTTCAGCATGAGACCAAATAAAGCAGCGTGAAGTAAAGCTAAAGGCACAGGCTAACTCAGTCTGCGCTAACAAAGTGCTGTTTTATAAGCTCCATGGTAACAGTAGGCTTCCCGCAGCTACACTGAGATCTTAACAGTCTCCATACTCTATGCATTATTCCATACATTTAGTCTTGCCATTTCAAATTGTTTACAACTTCTTTTTTTTTTAGCATAAATTGTATGCAAAAATTTGAGTAAAACTCAGATTTTTTACTTGCATGACTCCATGGAGTTTTGAGCTTTGCGGTAGATGTACCACAGTTACATTTAAACTAATTATACATTTATTCAATTACACTTAAGGCTTGGAGATATGACAAAAATCACTTTATTTTACACTCAAATTGATGAATGACAATCTCAGTCTTGATTTAAATTTGATCAACTGCAAAGATCCAACTGCGGGTGCATTGTTTTGTTTTGCACAACTTAAAAACATGTATTCATCCTGTGGGCAGGGTCACCTCTTCATAGATCTGATCTGTTTGTCTGATGGTGTCATTTGTCATCCCTGTAGCAATATATACATTTAACACCATAAAACTACGAAACATTCTAAACAAAGCAATATCATCTGTGGAGACAAGCAGGTGCTGAACACTACCCGAGAAAGGTTACAGAATGGAACTTTAAGCACGGTAAGCCCAAGCTTAGCTTGACTTACATGAGAATGGAACCACTAACCACTCCTGAGGTGAAAGCACAGCACATTGGTTATTCAGTCAGAAGATATGTCACAGGACATTCATAAACACACATAAGCACTAGTAGTTGATTATGGATTATATTTTACAAGTGTATCTCTGTTATTGTCAAACTACAAATATGACTTGTGCATCTCTTGGGGCAGTTAACCCCAAACACTGGTGGAATTAACTCTGGTAGATGATTGGAATCCTGGGCTGATGGAATATGACTGGCCCCTCTGAAATGAGTGATGCGAAATGTGATAAACGGGTGATGACACAAGTTTTCCACCATTCCCACAACTATAAATAGGACTTGTGTGAGATGCGGTGGGACAGTGGAGGCTGTGGAGTAGGGGTTTGCATTTAATCTCAGTTTAATCAAGATTTAGACGTTTCTTATTGTAAAAGATAAGCTTGGGTCTTTTAATGGAGAGGTCTGCAGCCAATCCTCTGTCAGTAAAAGTCTGTGGTTTGGAGCAGACACAAACTTTGGAAGAAGAAATGTGACTATGTTCTGTGTTAAAAGAACTGTATGAAAGATTTGTGTTTAAAATTCTATAAACATGATCCATTTATAAAAACATTGGCCATGATGTCAGAAAGCAGAATGAGCCTTCTGTGAGTCTCTGCCAGTTCCAGCTGAAATTCAGTTGATTTAAACCTCTGATCCGAATGGTCACTTCCTAAACCCCAGCACTTGCAGCCCATAATGAGTCAGTGCTAGTGCAGCCCCTGCAGCTCAGGGAGGGAATTCTGGAGGTTCTGAGCTTTCACATGAGACATGGTCTGTCCATAAACTGAGAATGAGACAAATGTAGGATGTGTTTCTATCTGCAGGTTAAGGCTCTGACAACCTGCAGGTCCAGATGTGTTTGTAGTACTTTTTTTTTCTTGTTTTTGTTCATGTTCAGGAAAAATTGATATGCCATTTTTACATGAGAGCTTTAATTCCGATTAAAATAATTTAATTCTGCATAAAAATTAATTCCACTTGAAAAATACCACGTAAACACTTAATTCATAATGAAAATGGGAAGGTTAGTGTAAATTAAAGTAAGTGGGTGGTTTATTCTGATTTTAAAGCCGAATTAATGTATTTCTCAATCATGTAAATGTTTATTTTTCTTAAAAATAATTCCTGTCGTTCAGTGTGGTCGCCCGTCTGACCAGTCCTGGCTTCGGACTTTCATCTACGTCTCTTTGGATTTGTGAGCGGGATGTGGGAGTGGGCTGAGGTAGAGCAGCCTCACACTCAGTTTGTCTTCTTCCTCCCTTCTCCGACACTCTTCCCTTCTCCTCCTCAACTGACAGACGTAAAGCGTGATGAGAGAATTCTCCAGCTGCTGCGCAATTATCATCTGATCGACTGAGGAAAAGTTTGGATCGTGTTTGTGTCCGTGGAGTAACGACAAACCGAGATGACAAAAAAGCCGGTAGCAGCTGAAGTGTGTGTTTTCTTCCGGTCAACCTAAATACGCCGGTGTCCCTGTCCAATCAGAACACTCCCAGATGTTGACCAGAATTAAATCAAGGCGATTTAATGTGTTTTCCATGTAAACCTCAATTTG